ACTATCTGCTGAACCGGGTGTGTAAATGAAAAGTGAAAACACGTAAAACGTCATATTTGACTCTTTGTTTTTTGTCGTACAGTAACAACTCTACAGTGCTATTATGTTCTCATAATTTTAACGTTATTATAGTGAATATTATATAGTTTTATCCTTGTGCTGTGAGGGTATTTTTGATAACACGGATAAGAAATTGTTTGTGTAGCAAAAGTAAGCTTCTGGTTTTATTTATATGTGTATTTCGTTTTTATCAAAGCAGCTTTTACGGTTTTTAAAAACGATCCGATTTTTCCATGAGCCTATATACGCCTATGTACCTATATACGTTAAATGATGTGGAATTTTGACATCGGGCACTTATAACTTGAAAGGTTCTTAACAGGTTTTCTTTATATTTTGAAATATAAACCAAATGACAATAAATTCCCAATTCATCGGGTTAATTTTTTTTGATTTATGAAGGGTTTACTATTCACTACAAGTGGAAAAAAAAGTTTAAAAACATGACTAAATATTATGTAATATCAATTTACGAGGAGTTTACCGAGCTCCGCTTAGAACCTTTGATTGCAATGATTTACCGTTACTTCCTGCAATATATTATAAACTAAATTATGCTGTATATCTCCTTAACTTTCCACCTAAAACTGTACATGGCCTACCGATAGAGTGGAGTATGTCCGGATTTTTGTTGTACACGTAATATGGAAATATACCTAAAATCTTATCTTCCCTACACCTCTTATCTGTCTCTCCCTATTTTGAATCTAAATATGGACAGTTGAATTGTAACAAACCTACGGATGTGATCAACTTAGAAAACAATAAAATTACAAACATGTTTGATTCGTAGTATTAATGGTGTTTTCAGGATTTTTTCCCCATCATTTTAGATATAAATATTGGAGTTACTTCTTCGAATAACTTTTTTCCCAGTGAAAAAAGAAGTAACTTGGTTTATGGTTCTCCACCATAAAACAAATTCCTGTGGAAGTTAAACAAAAAAATTATGGTTATAATATTATATTCAATCAAACATCAAAGGTACAAATTACAATTTTTAACAGGACATTTAAAAAATGATTATAATCGTTCTGCTGAAAAATTATGAAATTCGAGTGACTTCCCTTTTCATTGGGAGAGTCGAACAGTTGCTCACAGACAGAAAAAAAAACATCATAGTAAAACCAACAGATCCCTCGCTAACACTCCGAATTTAAAATGTGTATATGATATAATGTACCTATATTGTACACATACGTGTTATAATTAACAATTTTTTTTTTTTTAAATGCTCGTCGCAGGGCAGGTTTCCCGTCGTGTGTGTCCCCAATTAATAATAATAAACAATTGAAAAAATTAAGTTCAATTGAGTTTTTATTCGTTTAACCTCAATAAACCAACTATATATATGTGTATACGATGGACTTGTTTAAATATAGTTATCATATATGAGCATTCGTGTTTTTCCTGCAGTTAATTTTTTCATCTGTTCATTCGAAAAAATATCAAACTTCGATTTTCGAATACCTATATAATTAACTGGTACATACAGTATGCGTACCTAACACACGCAGAATATTGTTTATTCGATTCTAAAATTATTTTCAATTTCAACCGAAGCATTTTTAAATATCTCTTCTAAAAAACTAATATTAAAAAAATAAAAAAATAATTTTTTTCAGTTTTATTCACTGTTGTAATTTAATATACCTAGCAAATATTTGTATATATATGTTCCGAATTTTCTTATATTTTATATAATTTAACATCAACGATGTTTCAACACGATTTAACATTATACGATAAGAAGCCATGTTGCCAATTAATAATTATATTTTTGTATACTGGATTGATTTTCATTGATATAATACTTTCAAGTAATTTATCTATTATACATATTATTGAAATTGGATTATAACTTGTTACTTGACTAGTGTCTTCTCCTTTAAAAAATTGGTGATACGTAGAAAACTTTTCATTTATCAGGAAAACATCCGATGAAAGAGATAAATTGAATAAGTGTAACAGGGTAGCATAGCTATTTTTGACCTATTTATAGACATTTAAATTTTTTTAGTTTTAAATTTATCAGGAGGTTCATTATAAGTCATACATTTTGTAGTCAAAAAAAAAAATAATAATAAAATAAAATAAAAAACAACGAGTGTGAAGTAAAATGTTTTTTTATAAGAATTTTAATATCAAATATTGATGAAAATCGTAAATATTACGGCCTTTCAAAACATGTAAAACCGAACTTCGCTCTGAACCATTTTTGTTAGTAATGAATTATCGTTGCGTAAAGATACATTCTATTTTTCTCTATATTCTACTTTCTCAACTACTCACTTACATTAGTAGCTCACCCATTGTACGAAGTATGTCTGTATATTTTTATTTTATTTTATTAAATACATTATAAATATACGTCGTATGCTGTAAACTTTTTTCATTTAATATTCTATATGTATATAATCTATCGAAAGTATTTATCAGTACCGACCGATATTAATATCGGTTCCCGGGGTTTTTTTTTTTTGGCCCTACTCAAGTAATTATATACTTGCATAGTGTTCGAAATAATCGGACACCCAAAAATACTAAAAAAATATATGAAAAATAATTACCCATCTAAAAAAAAAAGACATATTTTACTTTCTGCTTTCACATTCTAAACAACATAGTATACATACCTATCTATCAAAACTATATTTACGAGCAGGTAGGTTTTTGTAGAGAGTGTACAACCGCTCTTATCAGCGTTTTATGGAACACGTCATTTTATGATTATGTGTTATAATATAAAGGTACATAAGGTTATTTCATTTATATCTGTGAGCAACGATAAATCATTGCTTGACAAAAGACGATTTCGAGGGCAGTTCGGTAATACATAATTTGAAGTGCCGTATTTTTTTATTTTTTTTTTTTTTTTTGCGAAATTTAGATACCTAGTTTATTTGACGAATTATGTAGACACTATTCTATTTAAAGTGTTATTATTTCCTAAAGATCCAACTAAGCATCGTGTGTCCCTTACTCTCATCTATATTGTTCGTTGGTAATATCTTTTCGTTATATTTTAACCTAGCCTGTACTGTGATATGTGTGTTTTTCAGTCCGAACAACTCATTTGTTTGATTTTCTTATTTGGCTTTGGGCCCCCAGTATTTAAATATAGCCAAGGATCCGTTGGGTGTTTGGATGAGCCAAACCGATACAAAATATAATGCCTAACCTAAGTAACCTAAGTTATCTATATAACTTAACCTATAGCTAATTTAACCTTACCTAATCTATAGCTAACCTAACGTCCTAACTCAGATATAAAACAGAGCAGTGTTTCTCAACTTGAGGGTTGGGTCCCGTTTGGGGATCGTTAAAAATATAAAATATTGGCTCACGTATAAAATATACATTTAAAGGTCACTAAAATATTAAATATCCATGAGACACACTGGTATAGAGGATTACTATGTAGGAGCGACTGGTGACTAAGAGAAGTACGAGTTGTACACAGTAGTGTGGTGAATATTTATAAACCATGATGCACAGTATAAATTTCAGTGTATATCCACTCTTAACCCTCTAAATATAGTATAAAATATATAATTGTTATAACTAAATGTAATTGTTGTGTTATACTATTGCTTACCTTAATCTAATCACCCACCCCCTCCCAAATTTTTTTTACCATGACGTCCAGGCGTCATAATACCTCTTTTACCACGCCACTGACTGTACACACCCGGTCTTTACACGGTAGAGCATTAAGATAAATCGCAAAATGGCGGAATCCACAATGACAAGTAACCAACAGAAAACGGTTCCCTAAAGTCTGTATTTGACCATTCTAATTCCTTATAGGATCTCTATTTAAGTTTTTGACGTTCATTCAGTTCGGTGTGGTTGCTGTAGTAATTCTTGCATATTATTATTCGTAGTGGTTTCGATCGAAACGAAACTGCGTGCACGATGAAAAACTGTGTACAAATGTGTTTTTCCGACGCTGTTCGGCTATAAACGTTCATAGTAAATACGGGTATAAACATCGAACGGAAAAGTGAAAAAGAACAAAAACCATAAACATAATTTGTCCGTGTAACGATCGGGTACCAATGTAGGACTGGGAAAAAAGAGAATATTATCGCTTCGTGTTTATTGTTTATTGTTTTGTTGTACGCGAAGAATATTGTACAGAGTGTCCGCCGTGTGTAATTAACATTATTTCCAGTAGGATGTATAATTTTTATAACTTCGATTTTTGGAAATGAATTCCTTTTTGCGTCCGAGAAAACTGCTTAAATTGTATGTTTTATAAAATGTATAGTATAGCCGTTCTAAAATCAGAACCTATGCCACAGATCGTAGTTATGATTTTTATGAAAATTATCGAAGTTGAATTATTACAAATGATATGTCTTGTATATATTCAATCGTTACTCCGAACTCAATTGACCCTTTATTATATAGAAAATAACTATTATGAATATCGAGACGAATCAGAATTACGAGTGAGTTATCTCGATTTTTTAATTTCGATCATAAGTTTTTGAAAAATACAATTTACGTCCAAAGTATCTAATGTTTACAAAAAACCAATATTTACTGCGAGATATAACACGGATGAGAAACACCCTGTAGATACAGGTAGGTAGGTAATAATAGTAATAATAATGATAATAATAATACGAGTATAAATAATTATTGTAATACACATACAATACTATGTACTAGTGTTTTTAAGTTAGTTTTTTTATCCCCATCGTCGGAACGCGCGCGCCACAGGTGTATTCGTGTGTGTAAAATAGAGAAAAAGATCCGCGGAAACCTGTTGCTGTTGGGTGGGATGGTTGGGACGGCGTTGCGGGGTAGGCGCGTCTCGTCGTCCGAACCGGCCGGAGGAGTCGGCGGCGACCCGTGGTGGGGAGGACCCCGTCGAGGAATCGGTCGTTTCGTAGGAGAAAAAAACCTTCCTCCACCGCACCACTATACCCGCCGCCATTTGTTCGAGCCGGTCCGTCTGTCTCAGCCGTTCGTCGCGCGCGCGTTTTTGTGTGTGCACCGTGTGTTGTGTACACCCGACATTATTGTTGACTGTTGTTAATATTCCCACAGACCGTGAGCGAGCGTCCGTGAGTGTAGGTACGTCGTTTGTGCCCGTCCCCGTCCGTCCGTGCGTTTGTTATTATTATTATTATTTTTTTATTTTCGAGTGTATCGTCGTTTCGGAAAAACCATTCGAGTGTTGGTTTTTTTTATTTTTACCGGCTGACAATGTGCTAAGACCCCCGTCGTCAACACCCCCAGCGCGTTCTCTTCCCGCCAGTACCCGCAACCGCTTTTACCTTATAACATCGCGTAGTTTTTTATATTAATATCGTCCGAAAATGCCTTGTTCCGCGGTCACGCTGTCGCTAGCCACCATTACGGCCATCGTGGCCACGGCCCTGTTGGCCATCGCCTTTTCCACCGACAACTGGGTGTACTACGAGGTCAGACGGAATCAGATACAGGTGAGCGTTGTTGTTGTTGTTGTCGTTGTTGTATAGTTACTCCCGAAGTTGCTTAACCGAACCTGACTTAACACGCGCATGCAGCACCCGGACCGTTTGTATTGTAATATAATTTAGGTTCTCGACCCGGCCGGGATTTAAGACGTGCGGTCAGCGTCGCACCGGAGAAGATAATAATATAATGCCTCGAACCCGAACAATGAAGGCAAATAAATTAATCTATTCGGTCCGCCATTGTACAATGGAAAGACTACGCGCTTTTCTTTAAAATAATAATTTTTTTTTTTTCTTCATTATTATTCACCGGATACATAATAGGTGCCTTAAACGCCGCCGACCAAGAACACCCGCCGGTCGATTCCCACGGGGGAATATCGATAAGGTTAATAATATTTTCGTCGACCACTGTCATTGTTGTTAACCTACTATACCTATAATAACTAACCATAATAGCCGGTATCGATATTATGGTTCGGGTAAAATGTTGGTCAACCGAAAATCCATTTGATACAATATTACGATCACAATTCTGTTGCATTAGAAAAGGACATCGAATACGATTTTCGACATCCGAACAAATCGATTTGAAACCTGGGCCACAACGCACGCGTTTTGCGGACGTTGCCCTTGGCGCGAACTGCTACAGACCGCAAACGGCACGGAAAAACTGAATACTGTGCAACGTATTATTATTAAATTTATTATTATTAATGTGTCGGAAATGCAATCGACGTTTTATATCATAGGAGAGAGCTGGTGTACTGACACATATCGTATTAATAAAAAAAAAAAAAATTCCGTAGAGCTATTTTTACGAGGAGTTTCCTTATGGCAGTGGAGGGGGGTTAGGGGTCAATTGATCCCCTCTGTAATCGCACAATTGGTCGAATTGATCTTAAATCATTATTTTTAACGACCTCGTCAAATGTCTGACATTAATCATGTTACTTCGCATACGATTTTTTCACGTGTGAGGGGAGGGGGGAGCAGTCATATAATTATTTTAAACAATTGTTTATGGGGAAATTAAGCCAATCCTAAACTATTCTTTAAGGAGCTTTCCAGATGTAATTTCCGGCGAAATTACTGTATATTTCGAAAAAGTTCTATAAAATCAAATGATATCTCTGCAGTTCACTTGTTACCCAAAATCGCTTCAAAAATACAAACAAATAAAACGCTACGGGAGGATACGACTAAAAATACTATTAAGATATTTTTATATCAACAATACAAATAATTTAAGAACTTTGTGTTACTTTACAGCTTAGCAGTCGTGATATACGATAGTTGAAGGATACCTATTAAAGTTGAAGGATATTACAATTGCAGTACGAGGGCGGGGAATTATTATGTGCAGTATATAGATGGACAGTAGTTTAGCACAGACAGCTTACGAATAAAACAAAAAAACACAATTCATTATTGTATCAAAGTCAAGTGGCCTCTCGAAACCGGGCAATTATTGGTGTACTTAACCGCTTTTAAAACATCAAACCCACCGCGCGCAGTGCTGAAATCCTAGAAAAAGTCACCGGTGGCAGCATTCCGGGTTAGGTTTTGATTGCGTCCGGTGACATCGAAATAATAATTTTAACACTGTCTATATTAATATATCTGGTGGGCCGGGATACATCATGTCAGCCCCCTCGTTTTTCACTCGTATTTATATAAGTATAATTATATTTGATGAAACAACAGAAACGCTGAGAGTTATTCCAGCATATATACTCGTATTATACACATCATTCACATCGATGTACCCAACCAAATATATTTAGGTACCAGGTGCCAGGTAGATAATAATAATAATATGTTTTCATTAGAAAGTTATATTTTTCAAAATACACGGCGTTTATCGTCCGCACCATCACAAGGTCTAAAAATATGTCAGATTATTATTATAATATTATTTGAATAATTAAAACCGTCTCACACATCATTGTTATGTGTTTCGGTACCACGTTTCTATTTTTGTTAAAATATTTATACACAATATTATGAATAATAATGGTACCTACAGTATATTTATGCGTTTACATCATTAAAACCGAAACGTTTAAAAAAAACACAAATAATGATACTCACAACACTCGCATGTACTTATAAACGTTTTCAACGATCTCTGTGGTCTACAAAATCCAAAAATAATACAAAGTGTGAAGGTATCGATACTTTTTTTGTTTTTTATTTTTACTTCCTTGTTCAAAATCAAATAACTTTGGAATATTATTATAATGCTTCGTATCAAGGTCAGCTCAATTACATTTTTACAGTTAACTCGTCTATAATATACGTGTTTCGTTTGGCATATATTATTAACGTAAACCAGTGTTGTACCTGGTAGGTAGGTATATCGAGTAAATGAATAATAATTCGTCTCTCATTTCGAATTTGAAAAACCGGTTTAGATGATTTTGTAAACATTATCCGCGGTTGGGATTATAATGTATTATATACTCGTGTAATATTATACATGTATGTACAGGTACTGCTAGAATTCTACAGATGTAGGAAATAAATGTTTAAGAAAAAACTGCGGAAGAATGACTGAAAAAAAAATTTATATTCTCTAATTCATATCGTGTACCTATCTTTCCCAGCGAAGAAGTGAGTAAGTCAAATTTGTAGAGTTTTCAATGCAAGTAAATACAATTTTAAAAACTGCTAAATAATTGTATAATTGCTAACCTAAATATGGCGTTCTAAATGGCTTAAGTAGGTAATATAATTGTGTGACTTATGACTTTTAACCAAACAAAAAACACATCATAGTGGTTTAAGATTGTTTAATTTTTAGTATAACACATGTTAGAATATGCATATAGACGATACGCTTGTGCCATTTAATTTAGACCAAATGACTATACTATAAAACACTCTTAAGCAGTGGAAGTCCTCAACTAGGGTCGAATATTTCTTCAGCATACTTGTCGACGTTAAAATATTTCATAATTTTTTTTAAAATTTTCTTTCAATAGTTATGGTGACCAAAACAGTATTAATTTTTTATCTGCAGGGATATTAAAAACCCGGTATCTAGGAAACATAATATTTGAGCACATAAATGGTTGGGACGGGGTTTGAAAGTTGAAACTCCCAAAGGCACATCTTTGATACTTAAACTATACATATTTAACTTAAATACCTATGTTTTTTTTTACACTTAGTCACTTTTTACATGACGGTGACCATATATTAATATTATTATTGTTTATTTTTTCGAAAAGATAATGGGCCCCACTGAATAGGTTCGTGTGGGGACCCATGAGTTCACAATTTATTATAAGAAAACTATTACATTCAAATAATAATTTAAATTTAACTTTTTTTTTACAATTTTAGACTTAAGAAATTAATTTAAACATATGCAATGTAGGTAACAATAATTAATACATGTATAATACAGTTTGATAAAATAAAAATGCAAGCAACTAGATTAAAGATATACAAATATTTAAAGTTTTAAATTTGGATCATTTTGCAACCAGTTAGTTATTTTTAGTTTTTTTTATATGTCTATAATAAACACAATACAAGGCAATAGTTTCTATTTCCGGAAAAAATTGATAATAAAGGGAAAATAAGTACAAAAAACAAAATTATATATATAAAAAAAATGCCAAACATTTGACTAAGCCCCACTTTTCTGGGATTAGATATATCTCTGTAAAGATACGATAGTCAATTACAATATTATTATTAATTATAATAATGTGCGAAAAAAAATCTTTGAATTTATTATAATTTGTTTTGGTGGGGATTTTATCATTAATTTAATATTGTTGCTTGATTTTATAAAGGTTACGAAAGTAATATTATACATACATAGCAGTTAATTATGATTCTAAAAAAAAATTTTACTATACAGAATAATATTATTTCACAAGAATATAATCAGTTTTCAATTTCATAGTATTTATAATATTAACATTCACGGTGATTCCTTAAACTAATTTCTCCGATATGGATTTTAAATTTAAAAAAAAAAAAAAAAAAAACGATCATTATTCATATAAATTATATTGAATTTTTACATTTACGAGTATCTACATAATTGAATAAATACATATTTTACTTTGTGATGACTGCTTGCGTCTCTCCAGCCATGCGTTCAAGCCCCCCTCACCTCGTTTGGGAAATACTACTTTAACATGATAATTTTAAGTATATGTATATCTATCTAAAAAGTTTAAATTATCGTTTTTCGTATAAGCATTGAAAGCTGACATACTTTTTAACATGATTTTTTTTTTGTTATCTGTAGTATTTTTCACAGATATTTTGTAATTTCCTCCGTACTTACTAGATTATACGCGGTATAAACATTTTATTTATACAGAAATCATTGATAATCCATTATTTTTTTAATATCTGAGTGATAAAGAAAATACTCTGATTAAAAAAGAAACATTTAGAGGAATTTTTATTGAGTTTAAGCTGAATTCCGATAGATTTTGAAAATAATTACATTACTTGTTTAATAATGTTATAGGTTCTTTAGGTCAGAATAAAAAATTGTTTGTGGTTTTATTTTCGTGTTTTAATTATGCCTATTCGTTAAGCATATTTATTAGGTTGATACTCTTTTTTTCACATTATAGAAATTAAAATAGATGAAAAATATCTAATTTTGTATTTTTTTTCCCGGGTAATATAGGTATGTAATGTAAAATTTCATTTATCGAGGTTATTGCATTTAATATAGGTAGGTACGATTTCGATTCATTAATTGGTTTCACGCTATAGAAGCACGTCTATATAACATTTACTATATTATATAGTATATATAAATTCGCGCATTACTCGCAATATTATACGAGTAATAATAGTTTAGTTTCCAGTTGCAAGTATGTAATGTATAATAAGCGAATAAAACAGATACGTCTGCACGTAAAATTGGAACGAGAAATCGAAAATTCTCAAATGTTTCGTATTTTTCCGTTTTATTATTCGCGTTTATCGGATCGTTCAGTTCCCGAGTCACACCGCACGTCTACAACATGTAGGTATATGTTTGACATTCCAGCGTCGGCTATATCCCCGTCTCTCGGCTCGTTTATATGCGTTAGATACGAACAATAATCTATTTCGAATATTATATATAATAGCTCGTGACAAATATAATATATTTTTATACGCGATATTATACTATCTGTCGTCGTTACAAGAGAAATCCGGACGATTATGATGAAATAGTATACTCGTAAAAGTTCGTAGACAGGAAAAGTCTCGGGAGTATCAACGCGATAACATACAATGTTGACCGAATATCTTAATAATTTTTTACGTTGTTTTTTTGACGTGTATTTGTTTTTATTTCACAATGACCTCACTATTACAATATCGGAGACTCGAAAGTTTCGATAGTTTTAATTTAATTGTCTCTCTGTATGCACAGCCGTTTCGAGCAGCTATAATCTTTTTGATCGTATACATATATTATATACTTAATACTTATTTTATGTGTTTAAACTCGGTGTAATTTAATGACGATTTGAGCGTACGATTAGTTTTGAAATTATAAATTGTACAGTTATTATAAATGTATACTTATAACTATGGTATGCAGTACTTACCATATAGATTTATTAAAGAACTATAGATAGCTAACTCTATGAGTAAAATTGGGAAGCCTGGTAGCTGTATAGTATATACCAAGACAGAGGCGGATATCTGGGTGAGAGCCACCCACCCCTTGTAGTTTTCGTCACTTTATATTTATACTCTATTGATCAAAATTTGTTGTTTTAATAGTTACGCGGTATATTTTGGTATCTGGTAAATGTATATTCTAAATATGAAATACCTAATATGCATAAACTGTAGAAAAAGGGTAGGATTTGAACAGGAGCTTACTCAGGAATTTTCAATGAGTAGGGTTGTAGGGAATTTTTTTCAATGAAAACCATCATAATTTGTATTAATATCAATTTCTGTGCTGATTAGAGAAATACATTTCCAACAAGGATAATGGGAAGGACTCAAACCTATGACTTCTCCTGTTTATTTTAAATTCGTCCCTCTAAAACTAGGATATAACCGCCATTAACCAAAATAACAAACTGTATATTGATTGATAAATACATGCATTGTGGTGATATGAAAACTATTCCAAACCTATGCATCAAGTCCACCCTGGTTCTATACCATCACATAATTTATCGTATAAACAATTATTTCATGGGTCAAATAAATACAATTTGTCCTCTAGACATAATATGCAAGCTACTAAACTTATACAAAGCCCGGTCCATTTTTTATCCATAACACAAACAATAATATGAGTATATCCCGCCGCTTAATATGCGTTTTTTTTCAGTTAAGTACAGGAAGTAGGTATAATCCAGTATACTATAGTAATAAATTGTTAACGACACTATAGGCACTTAATACTTTCGTATTTGCTTTACGCGGTTTGCAGCAATGCCTATACGCTATTGTTTACGCGGCTCAAAAGGCCGAACAAGTAGAAAAATTCCGCGACGGCGGCGTTCGAAATGAAAGTTTTCCGTTCCAAGATTATCGCCAACGGCGGTGGCGACGCGTATTTAGTTGCGCGAGGTCGTTTACCCGCCCGACCGGTGCACGTCTGCAAATATCATTGACCGGTACGCGCGAGCGCGATGAGATTCGTCGGGATTTATAATATTGTAGAAAATGGTCATCGCCTTATAATATTGGGTACTGTTTTGTCGATTTCTATCACGAATCCCCCCCGCGGTAGATACCTATGAGGATACCATTATTATCCACCTCTGGGGATCTATTATTATTGCTTTCGACGGATATAAAATGTAGACAAAAAGAAAAAAAAAAAACAACCGAACAATCCCAGATAAAACTTTTATTTAAGCATTTATATATATATATTTATTAAGTACATAGACGTAGGATTTCCCGCGATTATTATTATAATATAGATTTTACCGGACGTAAGACGAGAAACTATACAATGATTGTTGTCAATTTATATTTTTTTTATAGTAACTATGTACATATTATTATAACAGTCGTTGTTGTTTTATATTTTGTTACGCTTCGATTAAATTTACTACCTATTTATATTATTATTTCATCTGGCATTAAATTCAATAAATAAAAGAAAAAATAAGAAAGAAAAAGAAAAAGGAATCCATTTTATACCTTTTTTTTTTTTAATCTGAAAATCTGACGAAAGTAATAATATTGTTATTTTTTTTTCTTTCCGTCGAGCCGCGGTGAAAACAATAATAATATTATTTAATTATAATTTTTTTTATACAGTATTACTGTAATAAAAACTTTATGGAAACTAAATAATTGTGTTGCGCTCGTATAAAACAAATTTTCAATTCAATAAGATCAACGATTTAACAAAAAAACTAGACAACTTTCCTTTAGGAAAGATGCTACTCTCGAAATTTGGACCAAAATTTCTGGTAGAGAACAAAATCCTGGCGCTGTAAATATTTTCTCGTTTTTCTTGTACGTTTTTCCCCACTTTTTATGAAAACCGTTAGGAAAATAAAAAAAAAGAAACATCCTCATTGTATCGATTTCTTGGCATTTTATGATTGGAGTAAGATTTATTGTAGAAAATTTGTTTATAGATATAAACTAAATAAACTCACATCATAGCAAAAATAACATTATGTTTGTATCGACGATCACAATGAGTGCTTAATTTTAATATTTATAAAATAATAAAAGATACATTATAATATTTGTAACAGTATTGCCGAACAAGCAAACTATCATATAGGGCGGTTCATTTATCACGGATCAACTAAGGCCGAATTAAGGGTCCAGTGGGGGGCACACCGGGGACCGGGGACGATCATCTCAAAAAATGTGAAGTCTTTTTATAAATTGTATGCACATTTTTGTACTACAACGGTTTTAAACAAATATTTTATACTTATAATATCAACGATAAACTCATACATTTCGATGTTTCAAGTTAGTGTACTTATTTTTTTATTTTTTTTTGTAAAACGTTTTCTCTCACTATATTATCGGAATAATATATATATATACATAATTTAATAATAATTAAATAACACTCTCGTAATAATTGTACCTATAAGTTACAACAATGAGTTGTTTTTGTTTTTTTTTTTTTTGAAAATCGTGTAATTATATTGCTATAAACGAGAAGCTCCGTGAGAACTACGTAAATAATATGGAGTTCTCACTTTCGTGTTGTTTTTATTTTTTTCATCTGTTCTCCTCTCAAAAGGCAATGAACAATTATTCGTATTTTTTTTTTTTCATCAGCAAGTGAAACTGTTTTTTTTTTTTTTTTCATTACGTGGTAAGTATAAGTACAAGTATGATATTATATTGTACGACCGAGAATGTCGTTTTTATAGGTATATTTATTAGTTGGCTGGTATAAAAGGAAAACGGGGGGGGGGGAAGAAAGAATTCCAACCGCGTGTGTATAGGTATATAATATGATGATGGAAACGTGAATGTTATAAATGGCTATATGTTCCCAGTCGCGAAGCAAACGTCGTCGTACAGGATAGAGAATAATATTAAGTATAATATTATGTTGTTTACAAGAAATGCATGATTTCGAAAATTAATGGATACCTAGGTACTTTCTGGACGAGCTGAATACCTTTTACGGGACTTCGAATTGAATGGAAAAAAGCCGGACATACATATCGCATTTCGCAACAAATTATTGTCTTGTAAGCGAGAAGTTTGGAAGGTATTGTTGCCGGATATATCCGTTGATTTAGTGTATACTGCATAGTGAAAGCAACGTGATTATTGCGGTAAAAAAACGATTTTGAACGGAGCTCTGAAGTAAACCGTGATAGCATAGAAACCAATGAAAATCAAATAACCAATGTATGTATTTGCTGTCGGTTTTTTTTGTTGAAAAATTTAAAAATATCCAAATGCTACCAGAAGAAAAAATTGCGTCTATTGAGGTTAGGTATGGCGCGAAAAAATCAAACCATTTTTACTAACCAAAAAACCGTATTCTATTCGGAATTTATTATATTGGACGATTCTCGAATTGTATTCGCGGAAAATTAAGAGATATACATGTATTATATCATTTTAATTTTTTCTACTTACGCCAGCGTAACGACTATATTATATAGTAATTTATACACACATAGTGTTCCGTTAATAATCGTATTTTCAAAAAAAAAACTGTAATTTACCGTTTTAATCAGAGGTTTCATTCGAATTAATTATGGAGGAAAAAACAACAAATTAGTTAATCTCTACTATATAACTACGCTTGATGTGGATGGTTCGACTTTTACTCGATGTTTAAAAATATATAATATATGAATATAGTAACTCACAGGGATTTTGGGCATTAGTTCATTTTTTTTTGCTCGGCATAATGGAAATTTATGCAATTAAGGTAGGTACTTATAATATTTAAAATATAAAACAATTTTAAATTGCTCCGATGATTTTTTCTAAAAAAAATCCATTTTTTATGTATTTGTCCACGATATACGTGTGTTATAAAAATAATTTTACCTTTTGTGTTTTTTATCTAATATAGTGGCGCTGGTTATTGGCGGATCTAGAGGAGGGGCGATAAGCGCGACCGTTCACCCGTTCACTCTTCGATAAACTCTTAGTTGGATTCATTATTTTGAGCTCATCATGAATAAGCTTATGAACATCATGAACAACCTTATATGTATTTTCAAAATCGCCCCCTTCTCTTATCCGGATCCGCCCTTGGCGCTATTTACAGTACCCAACTCGTATAGTTTTTTGTTATTTACACTTTCCGGTTTTTAATTTTATAGCTAAGTGAGCGGGCGTCCAAGTTTTGAAATTGATTTTTGTTTGGGTTATTTTGATGATTTTAAGCGTCCGAACTTTCTTTTACATAGATAATTCCATCTCAATAGTTTATATGGAATTATAAGTCCAATCGTTCAAACATACTCATTCAAAATTCTTTAGCCCGCCGCGCCGTTTCACAGCGTGCCACGATTAACTATCGATTTTGCCGCAACGTAAAATAATAATGTAATAACACATTATTATAACTATGTTTTCACATGGTTTTTATAGTTTTTTTAAAAAAAAATCGTTTAGACCACGCTATAAACGGATCGGTTTTTTCGCGATTTTCAAAATTTCCAACGAAACAAAACAATACAATTTCGTAACTATATACGGCGTCGGCGGTGTGGCCGTTATAATGTTTAGCTGACACGAGAACATTATTATCACGGATCGTGGTTGATAGCCGTATAATAATAATAATTATTATTATTATATCGGATTTAGCCGTTCTGTGTCAACTACCTATATAATCCGAACCGACCAAATTCCTCGAACATAAAATATTAATGATCGCCAATATATTATACGGGACGCCCATAAGAGAATTTCCGGGTTTTGATTTGATATATTTTCAAAACGGACAAAATCTACTTCCTGCCATTTGCTGCATTCTCAGTACCAAAGAGTTCCGGAACAAGCATTTCAACACGTTGGGACCCCTTCTAACTGACATCCATCCGTCTGCCAGTACCTAAGTGAAAATTTGCCTAGGAATTGAATTGACTAATCAGGCCCTCAAGACACGATCATTACGTTCCTGGTTCTCGAGGGTCAACCGGTCAAGACTTTGTGATTTTTTTTTTAATCGGGGGTTTTGCGATGAATGAAAACGACAAAATGTAAATACCACCATTTCAAATACGGATTATCAATGAACCAAAGTAACGAATCATTATGGCCGTGAATATGATGGTCACACCAAGATATGACTATGGAGCCGTGGAACGAATTAGATAGATTGATTTTGTTTTGAAAACCAAAAATTAAAAAAATTACAATGTGCACAGTAAAAACTGTTTCAACTGTTCAACAGGCTAGTTAAAATCAGTCATAATAATCGATTGCCATTATGACCAAAATGATAAAATAAAATTTAAAAACTCGATTATGTATATATAATATATATGTATTTATATGATCATAGCATTGTATTACAATCAATGTGCCATATTTTTATCACTAAATCGTGACTTCAATACATATAGAAAAAATAAATTTACATTGTATTAAAAAAATATTTCAATAATACAGTAATGATATTATAGATAACAAATCTGTCTAATATAACCAAAAATAACCGTCATGATATCTGTATAGTCATTATACAGACATGATAATCGATACAAATTAGTCCATAGTAGAATATAAGAATTTCCCCGGACCTTCAATCTAAGGTTATTACACCCGATATGTCACTATAACCGGTGACATTATAATCGATATCTACTGTGTACATCGATTTTGGTTGGTGGTGGATTTTTGCATCATTTTCTTGTTTGTAAATATGAGTAGTTATTCAAAACCCGGACATTATATTTTGGGCACCATGTAATATTATCATCGGTACTACGTGTGCTTATAATATTTTGTAATAACGTGCAGTTCGAATTAAAAAGTAACGTGATACCAGCTATTATTGATTTGCTACTAGGTATACGGGATTACGGACAGATTCACGGACGCCTGGCGTGATGAATACGTGCGTTTAAAAAGAAAAAAAGAAATAAATAGATTTGGCGGTAAGATTAGAAAAAAATCAAACTGTCGATCTCATCTGCTATACCTACTGTAGTTGCAGGTGGTATGAGTTTCTGTTGCGGCTTTACATTCATCGACGGTGATTTATGAATATTTTTGGGTGACGAAGACGTGTAATTCGATACGATATTCTGCCCGTCATCTTGAACTTGATTGTAATATATATATATATATACATAGAGACGTGTGTTTATTGCAGGGTAACTGCAGTGCAATAACCCGATATAGACCGTCTAGAATAACGATAATTTCCAACGCACCTCGATCGTAGGTTATCTATTATAATATAATACTACCGGCCAGATAGCGTGTTTCGATTAGAAGAAAAAAAATTAGAAAAACACCGATGATAATTCATTATACTATGCTGTTTAATATATCGCATTGAACGACGACGGAACGACAAATTTGCATCGTAATCATCGGTCCAAAACGGTGTCGTTGTATTTTTGAGTATGTATATACAAGACGAACAAAAAAAAAAGAAAAAAAGTCTGCGATAATTGTTTACGCGTACAATAATTATTGCGTCTTTATGCATTCGTATTTTATAATTTTTCGTCGAAAAGACAATAATATTGTATTTATTCCTATACCGTTCAAATATATGGACAACGCGAAATTTACAGTAATAGAAACGACGAGATGCCAAAAATATGTATAAAACCTATTGTCGTAATTTTAATTTTAAATCTCCTTTTTTTATATCCGCGACGATTTAGTTTTAGTTTCATAACTTTTATATCATATACTTTAAAGGAACGGGATTTTCCGTCAAGTGATATTATTCGGACTTTTTTCTAGATTCCCAAAAGTTTTAAATAAAAATGTATCGGTATTGTAGGTAAATCTATAATGAGTAAAGATCTGCAATTTTGAACATTTCGAAGCCGGATTTCAAAATAATTTTATAATAGTAATAAATAATTAAATTTATATATGTGTGACTGGGATTTGAATTTTAAACTTTGTGTTGATTTTTACAGTCAGCGAGGGATTTTAAACTTTTTCAAATGTATCTATTAATAGATGCCTCTTTTTTAGAAAACGTTTTATTGAAATTATATCGATGTCTGGGAGTCCAGACCCCTGGACCCTCCCCCTTAAATCCATTAATGCCAGCAGTAAAGTTACTTTGGCTACTCGGGGGTGGGGGGAGGAGATTCTACTTTAATTATTCCTTTAGCCTGCTGTTTTTTAAAATTTAAAGTATAAACGTGTATAATAGTCGTCATTATCAGTTTTTTATCGTTATTATTTCCCCATACAACGTGTTTACACTTTGTATCGTATGTTTAACGTAATGATAACAAAATCCAGACTAAGTGATGAAAATAACTATACCTATATATTAAAATCCGTCGAAAACATTCTGGACTATAGTACCACGAGTATATTATAGTGTTGCAGTTTATGGACTGTTGGTGTCCTCGTGAGTCGGTTACTGTTATCTATCGCTTGCAGTATACACGTGTATATAATAGAACTAAGTGAAATTTTATAAAGGACCAGGGAGGGGGTGGGAGAGGAGGGAATACGTTTACATTTAATAACAAATAAAAGAAAAACTATAAGTATCAAAATATAACGCTCCATTAGACCCATCTGTTACCTATACAATAATAATAATGTCAGTGTTTTTATCGTCGTCAGCATACTGCAGACGCATTCTTTTCAGAGCACATAACGTATTCTGTCAGCGTAAATACACTTTGTTGAAACCTCGTTCACCACATCGTCGTCGTTGTGTAGAATCGTCTATAAGGTCATTGAGCTATTGACAGCCAGTAGTCGTTGTTCTTAAGACCTGTGCATATCTACCTGTAGTTTTTATTATTTTTACCTTTACACAAAACGAACTCATCGTCACACCGGAAACGATGTGACACTCCGCGAACGGAAACGGCACTGTTATAATATCTCGAGGTGTTGCGTCTAATTCGATACCTTTTATCAATACCTAATAATAATAATAATAATAATAATAATAATAATTTATTATCGATGAATGTGTTATTATTATTTTATAGTTATTGTGACGTCGGAATACGTAAAATATAGAGCAAACAGAGAGGGGGGAGGGGGGCTGACCACGTTTTTTCGGTTAACGTTTCACAATATTATATTCCAGTAACGGCAACATGTCTGTATAAAAATATAAGCGATGAAGTCACGAAGTTACATTATTCTATACAGTATAATATAAGATTTTATTGTATTTGTTTTCTTCCGATTCGAATTTAACAAAATATAAATAATTATAATGCGTTAACCTAAATATTATTGTATAGAGTTTATTATATTGTTTATAATATCGAACGACTGTCGAATTTTTTTGAGGCGGTAACATGAGCGGTGCATGTTTCAAAAATTTCGTTGCAAGTATACAAAAATACTAAAATACCAGTACAGCAAAACAATAAATGAGTAGACATAGACCGTAGACGTATTATAATAATAATATATGGATTGTGTAACTTTTGAACAGAGGAATTTTAAGTGCTAAGTGAGGTCTCGTCACTAACATTTTTTCATTTTGCCCTAAACTCAATAGGTATCGGATAATCGCAATCGCGGAAGTGCGGTGTGCTTTTGGCTGCTTAATTATACGTACAAGACAGACAGCGAAATAAAATTTGGTGACGAGGCACAAGGTACATAAGTATCAGTGTAAGTCCGATTATATAATATGGACTTGCACTGTGTTGTATGTGTTTCTAACAATGTTAGTTCCCCGGATCTCTCTTCATCACTCATTCTGCTATCAATCCGTTTCTTTTGTAGGTCTATGTGATAGGTTAAAGAAATATACGATGACTAATAAAACGATTTTTCGATAAGCAGTTCGCAAAATAATTATCGGGTAATTGTTCGTATAATAAAAAATATACATATTATATTCCGAGTAAACATATTTTATTTTTTTTTGTTAAAATCGAATGTATTGACTTTCATAGGAACAAATAACCGATTAAAACTCATCAAAGTAGCAATATGTACGTAATCAAATATATATATATATATGTTAATTGAAAATTAATCTATTGATATAACTATTTTTAGTTTACTGTTTTCTTGGAGTTTGTATTAAAAAGAAAAACAAATTAAAATTGTTTATTATTTATTTTTCCGCGTTTAAATATTTACCGAATTGTGTTTAAAAGTCTCGCTCATTACCAACTACAGTATTATCACTTATCGATAAAATCAACATAATATTAAATTTTTTCAAATACTCCGTTTGATTAAAAACGATAATTTTGTACACGCATTTATTTTCTTAATAATATGTAATACAATATAAAATATAATATTATTATGCGTCGTCCTAGCACTATATTCAAAGTCAATTAAAATTATTGTTATCATTTTCATTGTATCTAAAATAATGATAATGTTGGAAAATTTATATTTATAAAAAGTATAAAACACGACAAATGTGTATACGTGTATACATAAGACTAATCGGTTTTTTTCTTTATCTAAAATAGCTAATATAAAACAATCAACGATGATCAAACATTTTGTTAGAATTATTAGAGAAACTAAAATGACCCACAGAAGACATAACAAACTCTGAACAATTTCTTTTTCTTTTTAGATTCTGAGCGAAGCTAGTAATGTATTTGTTTTATAATGATGTCTATTTTTTATTTCTTTACTGTGTACACAAATTTCATCAGAAATCTTTCTTCAATTTTCAAGCATAGTATTTTTTCTGAAAGAAAATTTTACCTGGATAGTACTTTAAGAAGGTCATTTTTTGATTTTTTACGTGGTTTTCATAATAATGTCATTGTATCTTTGATCACAAAAAAAAAAGTAAATTTGATATATTTTTAATAGATACAAGCAATTTTAAAAGTACACCTATACACTAATACAATACATGCACAAAATTTATAATTTAGTCCAAAAAGTTAAAGAGAAAAATGACATAATATTAAGTTGTATAAATAAAAAAATCGAAAAATTGATTTCTGTCCCTGTGACCTAAGAAACATTAACGTTATTTTAAAAGTTTTAAAGTTTTTATATACATTCAGATTGATTAACACGGCGTAAATGTAATAATTACGAATACAAAGTAAATATTATGGACGTTCTTGGCCAGGGTTCATAAAAAAAAAAATTCATTAAATTGAGGGCAATGGATAATATACTCGAATTATTATTACGATGTGGTTTGTATAAACGTTATACACTAGATTTTTTTCCCAGCGATAACTGTACCTGTGTGCAAAATCAGTAGTATCGATAATATTATTAGTTAGCTTGCAGTCCTAACAACAACACCGAATTTCCGAATTCGTATGTAGGTAAGATATACGTGCATCGTGTTATCTATATAGGCTAGTTTCCGATTAGTCTTGCAATTGAAGCGTTACTTGACGAAAAAAATATCGAATATTCGTCCTCCCCTCTACACACACATACATCGGCCACCACTACTGCTATAAGAGAGGTCAATCGCTGTGTATTCATTGCTTGCCTTCCCCATCACGTCTCGGTAAATCTACCGAAAATCATCATATGGTCAAAAGAATATTATTTACTTCAATATTATAAAAGACGCGGGAAGCTATTTTGACAGCGACACAAAGCCGAATGACATTAGGAATGGGGGAGGGGGGGATAAACTAGGTCGATGTCGTCGAGTAATAATTAATAACGCGCCGTTCGTCCGGATGTATTTTAGCCCGAAAATCGGCATTTTACGAGAAATACGAAAAAAAATTACGCACATATGACAATATAATGTCTATGTAACAATATTGATAATTGATATAAAAATATATAAATTCATATTCCAAGTATCGTGATATATAATTCATTTTTAATATCTCGCCGTAAACGTCTTTGGACTGCGCCTAATGGTTTTTTGAAATTCTATTTAGAACGTAATAATATTACGACCATCAAAACTGTATTAGTTTGTTCGAAGGTTATTCGAAACGTGTCGTATATCGTAACGCACATTCAGTTATTTGTTATTACAAACTATGTATTGTATTAGATACGTAAAATAGTATACGTCTTGCAATTTTAGTTACTATAATATACTTACAGGGTAATCCTGTGTACTTATAGTGTATAGGGCGATTTTTTTTCATTGCAAACCACGAACTTTTCGAGTAAATATCTGAATTTCAGTGCTATTTTACCCATTACGTATATAGGCAATTGTTTAATGATCTGGTTTTGTGATAAGATACAAATTTTATCCAACTTCAATCCTATAATCGAGACAATCTAGTATTCTATTTTGGAATAGACGTTTACACATAACACGGGTTGCTATTTATACAGAATAAGGTTAAAATGTTCAAAAATTTCGTGTATAAAATCTGAGTAAAAAAATATTAATAATTTATTTCGAGGTCTTCGTTCAAAATCATATGGCTTATTATGCTGATTTGTTACCACTCTGTATATGGTTTTTACGATACACTCTATGAATATTACTTTTTCTGTTTAAAATATAATTTTTGCGTTGCAATCCGACCGTGTAGACAGACGGTTTTGAAATATTTACACTGTTCGAACAGAACAGTAATGTACACGTCTCTAATTAAAAAAAAAACTATAATTAAAATTCATTATTATATCTATGTAATCCAAATGTTACCTCAAAATACGAAGATATTATCCAAATCTAATAACCTAACCTTCTGACGAAATCATTATTAAAATTACACCTTATGCAACGTGATTTTCATTGTTTTTTTTTTTTTTTTTTCCAGAACGCCGTCACCACTCAACGTCAGACTTCGATACTCGAACAGTTGAACAAATATTACTACTTCACCAGGACGAAGGGTCTATTCAGAATATGCTACCCTAAGGACAGGCCCCCGACCGGTAAATATTATTGTTGTGTTGTCAATAAAAATATTTATCCTATATATATATTAGATACCTAATAAAAATCGATGTTTCCGTCGGGATGATGGATGTGTTTACTATTATGGTACTCGATACATTTTTGAAAATTCGATACAGTCAAATCGATTTATCGGGTTACCAGTCACGTTTGGGTTTTTTTTTTTTTTTTTGTTACACGCGGAAAAATACAGTTTAAAGAAAACTCGGCTATTGGGAAAATAATAATGTATTATAATCGTCGGTATAAATTCCTGTACGCAGGCAAGGCAAAAATAATATAGTAATTCGTACGACCGTCTTGTGTTACATTGAAACGGTTTTGCGTACCCAATATTTCAATCGGGTCTGATAGAATACTGCAGAACCGAAGGCTAGAGCAATACTACGGAATGCGATCGTTTTGTTTTGTTTTTTTCGTTTGTGTTTTTTTTTTTCTGCACTGCGTTTCGTTGTACCGTCATAACCTCTCTACTATGTAAATTATAAACAACATCGCGCCGTAAAAATGTTGTTTTATTTACACGGAGTGTACCTATTAATATTTCGAATAGCATTTAAACAATATTAATAGTGAAGATGTGTTTTATATGCGTTTCGCACACGTTCGCGCAATGTTATTACAATAAAATTGTTGTGACGGATAATAATCAGGGATGGGTACTTGAAAAGTATTTGAAAACGAATATCTAGATACTATAGATACAAGATACTGTTTACGTATGTAAAGTTATGTAATGTCAGAATTCAATTGCCGTGCGCCGTGCCGCCATTCAAATGATACTCTACTATACTACGAAAAACTCAAAAGTCGAATATTTCGTCAACGGGTCAACGGACATCAACAATTTTAATACCAAAATGCATTTCAACCGATACTACTTATATTTATGGAATTTCTATTACAGGTTCCCATTTGTAAATCTAAAGTAGGTAGTCGTTTCACTTCCAAGAATAAGGGTGACCAAATAGCGGCAACGTAACGTTTTAGAATATTCTGCAATTACAAAAAGTTTGTACGTAAGTCGTTTTTTTTTTTTTTTTAAAACAAGTATTCCATGGAAAATCTGACTGTATCATGAAATTTGAATTCTTGAAAAATCTTATTTGGGTATATATTACTGTGTAGATATTATGAGTGTAATAATTTAAAATTTTTCGCGCTTGGCCGTTAATAATATGTAGATTTATACTTCCTACGTTCGGTAACAATTCCAGTCAATCGACGGGCGACGGTTATTACGCCGAGATTAGATAACTCGTGTTTAAACTACCTGCAATATAATAACGATTTATTATAATCTGCTGGCAATTTTCGTTCATTTCTGGCCACGAACTGAAAACTCAACAGTCGAATTCGTCGTGTATGGTTCGTATTTAATTCGTTATACCTACGCCCGACGATTGAAACCTAAAAAAAAAAAAAAAAAACCAACGATTTGTCCAACAGTCCTCGCCGGCGAAATCCAACCGGACTGAAGAGACGGACGGAATACAATAGTGTTTTGCGCGTTACGTGCGTATAATAATACGGTACACGCCGATACGCCATTGCGCAAAACGTCCGTAAAGCACGTAAGTGCGCGATTTTCAGTTAAAGCGAAAATCTCGGCTCGGCGATGTCGTGTGCGGCGAACAAAAAACGCGCGTTTGTTGTTTAAAACACCGAATACTGCAGATGTTGGTGTGCGAAATGCGCGGTAACGAGTACGTACGTAGGCGCACATTGTAATAACGACAACAATAATAATCACGTATTATTTATAGTACGGTACGACCGCGTGAGAAATCCGGATAGTCATTTTTAATTCGGGTATTTAATTTATCGTAATGTACTGCAGTCGAATTTGCCGTGTTATTACAATACGATTTTTCGGACCGGGCGTATAATATCGCATTGCGGATTACGAAACTGTATTCTGATAAAATCGCGCGCGCGTTGCGTAATCAATACGGTAATAATTACAATTGCTTATTATGTTACCATTTCGGATGTGTCCGTTCACTGTTTTCGACTCGACGCACGTGCCTCACACTTCACTTCTTTTTATTATAATTTTCATAGAATGCAGCCGGTTATGCGCAGAGCGCGATGCTCTATTTACTTTGTCACATATTCATTTTGCCATGACCATTAATAACGATGGACATTAATGCACCGCGCCGCCGCCGTTTGAAATGTCCGTTTTATTAATTACCGCCGACGTTTCAGTTTTAGAGGACGTGATGCCCGCATAATACGTGCTGTCTCCGTTCTTATAAGCGCACTGCATAACGGATTTGCGTCGGACAGGGACAATTCTGTGCCGTTCGTGCGGACGAGATGTAGGCATTATTAAATTATTTTATTCCGTGTACTCATATCTCCCCCTATTAAAAATTAAAATATCAAAACAAAAAAATGGCACCGGCATTGCACAGATCGTGTTAGTGGACAATAAGTATAATATACTTTCGATAGCAGGCCGTCTATTCACTCTAGTGTTAAAACTGACAACCGCGTATGGAATGTACCGGTTCACCGAGTTTTAGGATTTTCACCGGCCCAAAATTATACAAAATAGATCAAATTGACATAAATTCAATTAAAAACAAGTAGCAATCACTGCGGGTTTAGCGGCCCACCGAGATTTTCTCTGTAGCTCACCGGTTCAATCCGGGCCTGTTGATGTCGTCCCTGCTGAAAGCACATTTGGTAAGTCGTACTTTGTTAGACGGAGACAATACCTACGGGAATCGCATTAGGATGCGTTTAGATTATGGTCCGAACAAGAACGAACGAACGACTCTATGTAGACAGCCTGACCGAAGTCGAACAAATGTTTTCGCTTTGTACTTGTTCGCATGTCTATTTGTAAAACACAGTAAGTGTCACTTAATCAATTTAGTATTTACGTTTTAGATTCTGAGTGGAGTTAGGAATGTATTGGTTACACTATGATCTGTGGTTTTTTTTTTTTTGTGTGTGCTTAAGCAACTTTTCTAACTGAAATCGTGTTCTAGCGAATGAATGACAAAAGATCTTTTTGTAGAATTTTGGATTTAGCTGGTGCATTAAGGTCATTTTTTGATTTTCTTAGGGTTATTAAAAACAATTTGGGAAGACGACGTTTAGGAAAAAAGGACAAATTTACAGCGTTACGTTTTTATTATTTAAAATGTTTACGCTTCATATTTTCTATCAGCAATATTTTTCCATTAGATAAACAACGCGAGAGCTATTTTGTTGGATTTTGGATCTAGTTGGTAAGGAAGAAACTAATTTTTTAATTTTTGATTTGTTAATAATTGAGGAAAACTGAAATAAACGGGAAAGTTTACGAAAATAATGGTTTCATTCTTTTTCAATTTTGTTTTTTTGTTTTAATTCTGTTAGACTTCAATTTTTTTAGAATATATAGACTTTAACTATGTTCGCTATATTTGCGTTTTGAGAATTTTTGAAATTTATGAGCATTTTATATTTGTGAGTTTTTTTACGTAGTTTTTATTCGTTAAATACTATATGGATAAAATTGTTTTACCAAACAGAAATGCTTGATAATTTAACTGGAAATTCATTATTAATCGTTCGTTGGGTTATAATTAAGCTGTAAATAGTGGTAAAAAAAGAAGAAGAATGTAATACAGTTGTTATTCTGTTATATAAAATTGTTGAGTTCAAACTTTGACGAATATTGTTAAAATTATGGCATTTCAAAACATGTATAATCGAAATTTTTCGTTAGCAATGGTTTATCGTTACTTATAGATATAAATTAATTACTTATTGCATCCTACCTTTCCAACTTCCTACCTACAACATTGGCACACCTGTCCCCAGTATCAGTTCTTTTTTTTGTTTTTATATCGATATTATTTAGTAAATTCGAAATAAAATTTGCAAATCGATTATATTATAGTGGCGCTTACTGTGTTTTACATAATATAGACAGCCGCATAGTCTAAACGCACCTTTAAAGGTGGGCGCTCTTTGCCTTTTTTCCTCCTAGTCAAACGTGATCGAAATAATAATTCCTAAGTATAGGACATAGGTATTTAATAAAAATATAATAAGTATACTCATGGGCCACCTGTTTTCCTTCTCTCCGGCCAGCAGCTTGGACAAAAAATAAATAATAATAATAACAAAACCATTGTCGCAATCGTATAGCAGTAGTTATAGTAGTAGTAGTAGTAGTAGTAGTAGTAGTAATAGTAGTAGTAGTAGTAGTAGTAATAGTAGTAATAGAAGTAATAGTAGTATTAGTATTAGTAGGTATTTTCGCTCCGTTATAATATTATTATTATTATTGCGTCACCTGTCCACGAATTCCGCGGGCGCGCAGTCTCTCTCCCACGGAATGGAAAAAACGACCAAACACAACAACAATAGAGCACCGAGTTTTCTACGTGTACATCTACCTACCTACCTACCTACCTAATATAATAATATGTTGTGCTGCTGTGCTGTGTTGGTCAAGGATCTTTGTTGTTGCAGCCGAGTAAAAAAAAAAAAATATATATATATATATATTAATACAATATAATGATAATGAAAGAAAAAAAGAAGAAAGGGCCTGCGACTGCTGTTGTAGCCGACTCGCTTTCATCCGATTCTATCACGTACCTATGTATAATTTTATTATAATTACATTTAGAAACCACGTAACATTTACACGTAGATACATTTCTCTCGCGACGATTGATAAAAAAGAGACGACGAAAACAAAATTTTCGATTATTTTGTACAATAGGTTCGAGTTTTCAGCTACTAATTTTTCACTCAAAAACAACATTAAACTTAAAGGCATTAACTACCTTCGTTGAAGAATATTTGGCTTTTTCGAAACGTAATAATTAAGTTCGATTATTTTTTTCGAAAATGAAACTTTTATCGTTTTTTATCCCGTGCAGAATAAAATACTTTTCGGAAGAAAATTGACTTTCACATGTTTTTTTTTTTCATTTTGCTCGTCGGTATTATTTATCTATTAAGATACATTGAAATGTAATGTTGTGGTTTTTTTTTATAATCGCGCTGTTTTAAAAAAAAAGAAAATATACCTTATAATATTGCGGTGGCGATGAATAACCTCATTCGACCGGTTTCCTAGGTTTTTCTAGTACTATTATTACATACTTATACCTATATAGTCCAGGTTTATCGTTTTAGATTTTGTTTGGTCGCGCGTTTGTGGTCAGGCGGATATTATTATCAATATGATAAAAAGTAGACGTTTTCAACGAGTTTTACTACTTAAATTTCCCGACAAAATTCATCGGTATATTATACATCGCTATTCTATAAAAAGTTTAAAAATGTCGATTAATACCACCGAAGTAAATTATACCGTATCGTGTTATTATTTATATACTTAACCAATCAAGACGTCAATATATAAATTCAGTAAAAAAAAAAAAAGGAAAAAAAAAACTGTAATTTATTCGTTAGCTCACTATTAATCATACACAATACACAATCCGTTATTTGCAGTGCGTGTCGTTTCTAAATTATTATATTACAGCGGACCATCAATAGGATAATAACAATATTATAATGAGGCAATTTAACGATTATATTTAAACAGTTACGAGTACTGTAATTCATATTGTAAACTGATTATTTTTTTCTTTTTCAACCCGTAAACATATATCAAAAGTAATAATCCCTCATCACACCTAATGCCGATTGGGTTTTGACAATAGTTCGGTATTTACTAGTTTCTCGGTTTTCGATAAACAAAAATTTACTCGTCAATTACCTGTTGGATTTTAAAAATGTTGATGATTATTAACATACTATCTGTATAAATACTATATAATATGTGCTTTAGTCATGACTTCTATGATTCACCGCGTGAAAAAATGATATAATTCATACGGTTTTCTCGGAAGAATTTATTTTTCATGCGTTTATTATTCATTTATGACGTAATTTATTCATATTTTGTACAGATCACGACAGTAATAAGACGATAAGACGAGCTCGTATAATATAAACAGTTTTGATAAAATGTGCGGTACTATTCCGACTGTGATTTTAAATTTGAATACCTTCATTTACGTGTATGTCACAAACACACGTTAAAATAATGACATGAAAAAAACAAAAACCGAACAAATTATCTCATATAACAATCTTTGTTTGTTGATCACTTCAATCACGACAAAACGCACGAAATTAAATAAAAACACTAATAACCGACCCGGTTGCAGTATATATAATCGTAGTAACAAATCAACAGTGTAGTAATCGATGTTCTATTTTCTCGTTAAAATATTAAATTAAATTTACTATATTAGATGGAAAAATCGTAAAAAAATAATAACCTCCACGAGTTTAAGTTTCACCGTTATAGAACTGGTTCGGTAGAATTTGAGTTAAATGATAATTTTTTTTCCGCACGGAAATTCCTGTTTTCGGTATGTACCGTTGCACATTTACGTGCGTGTACGGATGTTTAGGCAAAATAAAAACTAAAGATACAAACAATATAAAGGTAATCGTATTCATATAGAGTCATCGTTGGGTGATAGTCGAAGTTAAAAACCGTTTTGTCGACCCGACTTCGCATTGTATCGCGACAGTTCTTGCAAGTATACGATTCTGCAAATATTTTCGTGTTTTTGCGAATTGCATAACGATTACGTTGTTATACAGTAATAATTACGACGATCATTACATTTCAATATTATGTCATTTACTATGTCACTGTGTTGCTGATAATAAAACGATGACCGAACTGAACCGGTCGATTACATATTACTTTATATTATTATAGGCTAAACAACTACATTATTATCGGTATCATTATTTCGAAAATTTTAAGGATACATTGACTATTACTCGTTTTTTTTCTGTATGATAAAATTATGTGTTTTTATGAGTATTATTATGACTGTGTTACGCTGCAGATATATCAAAATCTGAATGATATTTCGAAGCATCATTTTTGAATTTCAATTTGTACGAGTATAATATGTACACGAGTGATTTTTATTTTGGATTTTGATTATGAAAATTGATGGTTTTTTTACCATGATAATTATCATCATCATATAGCTTCATAAATCTGCAAGAGTTTTAGCTACCACTGTTAGTCCTCTCCCAACTCCCACGGTTCTAAATCATTTTCTTCAGTTCGTAACTTACAATATCTCTAGATCTTATCGTATACCATCCATCCAACGTTTCTTTGGTATGAATACAAAGATTTCTTGAAGTATTTTAAGGAAGAGCATCTCGACAAAAAACACGTAGGAAAAGATGTAATGAAGTGGGGGAAAAAGACTTAAGAATTCTGATAGTTTATAATCAGGAAGAAAAATAGTTCAAAATAAAGATAGATGACAAAGTGTGTAGTAATGAGGTCAAAAACTCTTAGTGAGTGTGTATGTCAGTAGTCGAAGAAGACAAAATCGAAAACAGCATTCGATTTGGAATAACGAATTTCCGAACAGATATTTTTTGGCTGGAAGTATCGTATTAAATTTCCGTAGATAATTTTAAAATGCATATAAATGTTGCAGTTGAGAAAATTAAATTCCGAATTTCCTGTGTATATAAGCGTATATAATAATTTTATTTAGAAATATACACGTAATAACCGTCACGACTATAGGTATAGGTGCGTTTTTAGCACGAAACCCATCGACGGCATCCCCGGGGCTCGTGAGGTTGTTTTTTTTTTTCTATTGGGAGCGTCAGCATCAGCTGCCGCTGTACCGGTTCTCTGTAAGATGTTATAGTCTTGTCCACATTCCGCAACCGGTTCCGTGCATCTGTGCCCCATTATCGCTTCTGTAGGACGTAACCCAAGGTCACGTTTAGTGGCACATTGTGTGTGTGTGTGTGTGTGTGTGTTTAAAGGTATACTATGCTTATACTCGTATAGGAGAAAAGGACGAAAGAAAAAGCCACGAGGGAATTGCACCGTCGGTATTTTTTCCCCCTATACATTTCCTCGTCGAGACGATATTTCTCTTTTTTAGTTTTACCGGCCGACGTAGAAAGTGGTTGCGCGCTGTGCAACTGTAGGTACTTATTTATAGATATAATATTATATACTTACGTGAGATTCGTGATTTCACACTGTTTGCCCGGTTAAATGTAAAGTGTATATATAAAATGAACACTATCAATATAGATATCTAACTATGGGTACGGTTTTTTTTAAACGTCTGGGAAAACAAGTAATGATATGATTGAATCAAAAAAAAAAAATTAAGATATTTTTTTGTTTGAAACTGTATATTACACTAAGCGTGGACCTGGAAAAAAAATAACACAGATTGTCTTATCGAAACTACATCGTACACTTCACAGCATGTTACGGTTAAGAAAATTATATCTCGGTGAGGTGTTTTATAGCGATAACGTCATAAGTGTCCTAACAAATTGAATTGATCTGCGAATTTCATTTTCGCACGTTTCATACAACTGCATTTATGGGTGAGTGGGAGGGGGGTCTGAATAAAGCGAAAAAATCATCAATCACAAAAAATGTACTATTCGATTTATTATTAGAATTTAATTGATACATGATTCATACTCAATTTTTAAAGGTTTACTTAACGGTAATTTTGAAAAAAAACCAAATTTAACTTTCGTATAAATTACAAGTCTCATATTACCATAATAAGTAGAGATTCATTATAATATTTTTTTTGTCTAATAGTAAAATATTTGAATAAACACGAAAATACCCTTCACTGTTAGCATTTTATAGCTAAAACACCAACAAATATTATAATTTATAGGTACAGAGGGCTATATATTGTTTCGAGGAAATGTAAAAGTGAATTTCTTAAATAACTAAATCGATTTATTTTATTGATCAATATATTTTGAAAAACGCATACTATTATGATGCGATTCCCTTCGAAATATTGATCTCTTTGTCCTTTATAGTTGGTATTTTAGCTTTAAAATCATTTGAAAAGACACTGTTGCCCCTGAAAATCATGGGTGAGAAGTGTACTGTTTATATCAATGTAATAAAAAAGAGTTGATACTGGAGATGGATACAGCTGCTGTTGTAGGTGAGAAATTGAAAGGGTATAGGATACAAAAAATTATTTAATTTATATATGTACCCAATAATAAGCTATTGCCAAAGAAAGACGATTCGGAGCGAACTCCGGTAAGGCATATTTTGAAATTCCGTAATTTTTACGGCTTTAGTCAACATTTGGTCTTAAAAAAAAACAACTAACGCATTGAATTTAAATTAATTGTTTTTTAAATCGCCAAGTACAATTTATAATGTACTTTGTGTTAAATTTTCAAACATTTTTCTTAGGTAATATAATTTTAATAACAAACACCTACTAAAATATAAAAATACATTATATAAAACACGAAAATAACAAATACCTTTTATTGGTTTTAAAATATCTATAATGTTTTGAAAATTTGAACACTGTACATTTTAAGCTGTGGCATACACTGTTTACGCCATAATTTAGGCCCGCCAAAAAGTATAGTATTTATTCTATGAATTTTTCACAACTCCTAAAACCAACTAGATAACGTTTCGGGATTGGACCGAACTCGAATATAAGATCTGTAAATACATTAAAGAGCAAGTCGTCTTCTATACTATTTCGATTTTATAAAACGACCGCCGAAATTATATTTTTCGGAGCTAATTATAACATACCAAATGAAGTCATCCAATGTGGCCTTTTTAAGACGTTATATCAAAATATAAAGAGCACGTTATAAACGACTGACTCGGGATTATAAATGTTTTAATTTCTCGCGCGAACTTATATACAAATTACAGATGTATTAACAAATTGCGTACTTGTATATCAGTCGTAAATATATGTTCCGTGTTATGGAGCTCTCAAATACGGTATAGGTACCATAAAATGTTTTAAACAGGTATTTTCGGTTAATGTATTATAATTTGTTAACTCGTATGCGTTTTTGTCTAGGTTTCCGTGTACAACTTACGTGAATGCCATAAAAATATTACGTTATTTCCTCAAAAAAACACGCAAAGTTTGTCGTAGTTTTTTGATCCAAAAACCTAACGAATTGCACCGTCCTACCCGTGACGGTAATAAAATATAATAAACGACTTATACAGGTTAAAAAAAAAAAAAAACTGTTTATTATTTTTATCCGCGTATAAAATATTAATTTTAATTACATTATGGTTTTTAATAATACCGACATCCGTCACGTCATCATCACACAAGACGGTCAAAATATTAAAAAAAAAATACGTCATTCCAAATTTGAATTGACTTAAAAAACCAAAAAAAAATATTACTCAGGTTTTTCGATTTTTAATTTTTAAATTTTAGAGTTAAATTTTGGGATTTAGAGTCCGATAAGAGAAAGATGATTTTATATATTAGGAAAATTAAATAACAGTTAATTTAACGTACCGGCAATTATTATTACAAATTATAGGTAGTTTAATCAATTTAACATTTTAACTACTCGTTTAATTAACGAACAGAATACAAATAGTTTCTTCTTTTTTTTCAGTGGAAACTTATCTTAGTCCCGTAGAAACACATTGCATGAACGTCGATTATTTCTTCTTGGACACCGACAATCAAACGCACGAGTTTTCTGAAGACGCCATGACTAGATTACGTAAGTCCGCAACTTGTTATTTTTTACCTAATTTTTTTGTTTTTTTTTTTTTTTTGTTTTTGATTTACTCTCGTTTTGTATAGATATGGGCAGGTCGACTATCGCTCTGTTCGTGGTAAGCTTTTTTGTGATGTTCATCGCTTTTTGGACTGGAGTCGCGGGATGTTGGAGAAGATCGCCGGGGAACATCACGGCTACTGCGATTCTAGTGTTGCTTGCGTGTAAGTTGTTAATTTTCGGTTTTATTTTATTTTTTTAACGTGAAAGCCTATTTAATAGTCTAATATCACTCGGTTTTCAGGTCTATTGAGCGCAGGAGCTATGGGATTCTGGCACGGTGTGGAATACTACGAAAAGGAGCGTGTCGTAGGAGATGAATTTTACCAACAGTGGACTAACGTGAGTATATAAACACATTATACGGTAATCTTATTTAAAGATTTCATAGTCCCGTTTGATTATTATTATAACACTGTCGATTTTGATTCCGTCGCAGATACTCAAGGAGAACACTCGCATATCTTATGATTGGTCGTTCTTCATGGCATGGACCGGTGTCGCATTTTCGTTAGTGTCTGCCATACTTTTCTCCGGTGCTGCCATCTGTCTGCGGGGTGAACGCGAACGGGAAGAAGCCCTCAACATGCAATACTTGATGCCTGGTTAGTATAATTATTTGGTCGAGTTGGGGTAGTAAAAAAAACGAGAGGTGGTTGATCAAATTGGATGATATAGACGTCTAGGAATATTGAAGGGAAGGAGAAACGATGATAGGAAGTCAAGGACATTGTTGAGATAAGTGTATGTAAAAGCCTTGGAAGAGATCGGGTAATGAAAAATTGGCTTCAGTTCTTTGGGTTTTTACGGGCAATCAAAGGCAAACACGAAGAAGAAGATGTACTTGTTTAACATAATATCAAAAAATTCCACCCAAATAGTATAAAAGGTTACTCGGAGACACTATTAGAAATACATTAGTTTTGTACTTGTTTTTTTTTTCGACCGAGGGCACTATAATAATATTGTAAAGAAAAGGAAACCGACCTAATAAAACCGATTTACGGTAATAATATACATACCTACTGGCGGATCGCGGCCACGTCGACCTCGAATCGAGATTTAATGCGAACTTTTTCATCGCGAAACTCGGCCGGCCTCGACCTTGTTGGACCATTAGAATTCGCCAACGAATAGCGAGTACCTATTAATTATGATATGACTTACCGCACCCGTGGAACACAAAATGCGATTATAATAATAATATAATAATGGTAATAATTATTTTTATTGTTTTTGATTTTACTGGGAACATTATACGGCAAGTCGATTGTTAATACGTATTAGTAATAAGAGAAAAAAAAAGTGGTAATACTGGAGAAGAGTGCCCCTCTTGTAGGTAGGACGTTGAGAAGATAAAGCACATTAAGTTATTTAATTTCTAACCGCAAGTAACGATAAACCATTGCTAATAAAAAACGAAGTAATAAGCGCAGCTTAGTTATACATATTGTTTTGAAAGGCCGTAATATTCACGATTTCCATTACATAAAAAAAAAAAACATTGAACTTAATTTTTTTTTTTTCTACATTTCTTTTTGGTCTGACAATTTTATCCACAGAGTACCTACTGAATAAATATTATGTAAAAAAATGTCAATAAATAACCCAATAAATGGCTCGAATGTTTTCATAATTTTACCACGACTAAAAAATCCGAATCTAAAATTTAAGTCTGCGAATATTTCTAACGGAAGTACAACAAAAAAAACAAAATTGAAAATAATAAAAGAATTATTACTTATAGTTTCGTCAATATTCCCGTATTTTCTACGTATTTGTTGGTTTTGCTCAATTATTAAGAAAATCGAAAAAAGACTATTTTGATCATAAGCTAGATTAAAACTTTAACAAAAAAGATTTCTTGCCGTTTTTTATTGGAACAATATGTAAGGTAGAAAACATAAGTTACAAAAATGTAAAATCATGAAATCATTACGTTTAACGTTAAATTGTCCGTATATCCCTTGTTTTTCCTGGTGTTTCAAAATTATTATAAAAACCGCTTAGAAAATCAAAAAAATTAATTCTTAATATATCAACTAGACAAAATTTCCTTTTAAAAAAGGTGCTACGCTTGATATATCGAAACAAGATTTCTGGTAGAAATTTTGTACACAGTATATATAAAAAAAAAAAATTAAACATTATTATAAAACCAATACATTTCTCGCTTTGCTCAGAATCTAAAACAATTTAACTAGGAAACTTGCAACTTTATATGAAGGAGACAGGGATGGGTGGTGCGTTGAGGAATAAATTAAAATCGGGAGACAGCTGGTAACGTATAAGTGAGGATAAAAGTGAAAAAACGAGCAGTTGAAAATGACAAGTTCGATTGTATATTACTCACGATACTTACGAAAAGAGAATTTTGTTTATCTTGCTATACTAGAAACCTTTAATACATTTCTTACCAGCTGTTTCCGCTAAATTTTTCCATCTGTACATATCTATTCCTGTCTATGGAACTCGCATGTATACTCTGCAGTACCTATATTTTGAACTGTGGTTCTAACCGTAAACTCCGAAAGATTTCACCGATAATAACAATCATATGTATATTTTTCTCTGACAGTGTACCCGCAAAAACAACAGTATGCATACGCCGGATACCCGACACCGAACAGTTATCCTTCGGGACCGTACTATCACGGACAACAACCACAACAACAGTACGCTGGCCACTACAATTACTAGTAGACGATCGTAATCGAATCGGTTTTAAATCATAATAATGTAATATTTTTTTAACTCGCGTCTGGCCAAAAAAAAAAAAAAAACCACTGAAAAAAATGCTATTCTCTTTTTAATATACATTTTGGCCGGATACCGTAATATTATTGTTATTATATATAGGTACTGTATAAAGACTATTGTTTTACGATCGTATATTCTAGAGAGAGACTGTATTATAGTATTACCTATTATACGCTTTATTTTTGGTATAATGTGAAGAAAACGCATTCTCGAATTCTGTATACGATCGTAAAACAATGACGATTTATTATTAATTATTATTTATGAAATAATATATACCTAGCCGCGTCTCCAGAGGCTTGAACATTATAATAATACATAATTGAATACACCTATATATTTCAAATATTATAATCTACAGAAAGAAATATTATTTCACCTATGTTGCTCAAAAAAAAAAAAAAAAAAAATCCAAATATAATACATTTTTTTTTTAAACTATTTAATCTAGCGTTATCTCTGTTTGAATAATATTATTATTAGTACTTACGAATTATTATTATTATTATTTTTTTTTTTTTTATTTATGCATCATCGTTGTGTATTATAATTATTATTATTATTTATTGAAGAGCCTTATTATAAACGATATTACAGACTATGCGTTTATAGGCCCGAAAAAAATAATTCTCGAACATTTTTATCGTATTATAATAATATGGTTAGTACCTAACACTGCGATATAATGTAAAAACGTTAACTCTAAGCCAATTAATTTTATTAAATAATATGAATAATAATGTTTTTGTATAATTATAATATAGATAGGTAATCGTTTATATACGAACACATAAATACACACGTGCACACACACACACACACACACACACACACACACACACACACACACTAACTATGCGTTCATCTGAATCTCATCGCACTTACAACTACAGTTTTAATGATCTCCAATCCACTTTTTTTTTTTTTGTATTTTGAAACTCTGTGAGTTTGCCATATGCGCCGCGAAAATATCATGAATATTATGTTGTCGTTTAAATCCGCTGCCGGACGATTACCTATCCATATTATTTATTATGTTATAATATTTTATTATTACATACGTTTTTTGCAAAAATTCGATTTTGTACAGAAATACGTTGTCGTATCGTTTCCATGTCATATCGAGAGTATTTTAATCATTCGATATATTTATTCGTATATGTATTTTAAGCGTGTAACAGCGATAAGTTGTGTACATTTATGTTTGTTTTTTTAAATAAAATATCATTCCTCCGACCGCCAATTTGTCTTATTATTATTATTATTATTATTATTTTTTTTTGTAATGCATTATATATATATATATATATATAATTAGCACATGAATTTATATTTACTTGAATTCCGTAAAAAAGCGCGCTTAAATCGTCAAAAAGCACTTAAAAATATTTAAAAAGCCAAAATGGTAGACGAGTATTAAAGTCCCCACTCTGACAGTTCTTACTCCATTAAATATATTTTTCTAGCACTAACAAATGAATAACACAAAGCATTTTATTTTTATAACACGTACAAATATATCAGAAAAAATTACTTTGAAATAAACATTCGTTTAGTGTTAAAAAATTATGTTTAATAAGTTAAACTTTTAACCTCCTATCCCTTTATTGTTCTTTCGGATATTTTTTAAGTGATATTTTAAAGCTTTTTTGAAATTTTTAAACGCTTTTTTGTGAATTTTAAGTGCATACAAATCCGTGCCCAAATTATTATAATATATGTACAAACTTTTGTAAATAATAAAGTACGAATTTTAGGGATATTTTCAAGTTCGTATATGAAATCAGAGCGGACTGTTGTACAATAGTTTCGGCGTTTTGGTTGTCCTCTACAGTTAGACGTAAAAGAAAGTTAGAAACTACTATTATCCGTAATTCTTAATTTAACTAAGTACATAATAATGTACTTACATATCGGTGTATTAATAAATACATCCCAACTAAGTAACTAGTTACAGTAAGACTAGTTACATTTTTCATAAAATAGCTATTTTAATGACGGTTGATTAAAAAAATCATAGTTGATTTTCTTTTTTCTAGTTCTAACGTGTCTGTATCATATCATTATATTATAATTACATTGTTTTGTGTATGACATACTATCACGGTAGTGAGATAATTTAGTTAGTAATGATGGGCAGTATACTTAATTTTCGGACCATTATCGTTTATCGAATCCTTATCATTTCCAAGTAAATTTAAATACAAATACATGCGTAATAAATAATAATTATAAAGAAATATCATTTGACTTTTTATCTCAGTAACTTTTTTCTAACATAGTTATTATTTTTCATTAAAATTATAAGTAACTTAAATTAGTAACTAGTTATTTGTATTTTTTTGTATTTTAACTTTAATAAGTCAAAAAATTGTACTGACTTATCCACGTTTGGGTATAATATTGTAATTATTTTGAACGAGATCCACTTATTTACATTTTTCGTAGTTTGTATTTTAGGCTGGGGTGAACTGGGGTACGAAATTGGCATGGGTGTTCATAGATAAAGGATTATTACACCAATATTGGATTTGTGTACTTTGCATTATGCAGATTTTTCACCCAGATGCGATTTCGCGGCGAATCTTTTCCTATCAGTAAAATATCAACGCGCGACGGTCAGGTAAATATCCCACACATAATTGGTTGGGTTGCACAATCATACAAGGCCGTTTGTAAATAATAAAATGTACGGATTTTTTTTTTTTATGTCCTAATGCCTTATGATAAAAATTGTTATAAAAAACGATCTGAACTCGATTCTGTTAACAAGGGATGTCCTGCAATACGCGGTCAGTCGTGCGTGGCGTTATACTGGGAGTACTACGGCACTATAATACTATATATAATAATAATGACCGGGCATAAAAGTCCAAAAAAATTACATTTTAAAATTTAGGTCTTCCATTATAAAAAAGAAAAACCGACCCTTGAAAGAATTGGCCAATATCTAGGCTCTACACATTCTACCCATTTTGCCCTTAGCTCATCTTCATCTACATACATTTTTGTTTTATTTGATTACTCTTATTATATTTTTTTCTATTATCAACTTTAAAAATTACGTGAAACTATAATAACAGGCGATTATGATGTTAACAACGTTTTTTTTTCGATAAACAATGGTTCTCCAGCTATCGCTACCGTTTGTCAGCCATTTGCGGACGTTTGGAATGCATTAGGTCGAACCATAAAATATTAAAATAAAAATTAATAATCAAATTGTACAAAATTATAAACACGTATTAGCACATAATTTAAAAAAAAAAAGGAGTACTGTTCTACGAAAAAGAGTACGTCTGGTGACAATATATGTGTAATATACCTAAGTACACGTCATCCGTATGAAAATAAAAATAAAAATGACGATTCAACGGCTGTTTGCAATCGAGTGGGCGGAAATAATGTACACACGATCGTATAAATTATTACTTATTGTCGTGTGTTCACCTATTTACGGTATAAATAGTTGCGTCGTCCCCGAAAAGGCGGTTAAACGCTGTACCACGCCCTTTGTGTGACCGTAGTCGTTCGCCGCCGGATGTCGGCTGGTTTTGTAAGACGCCTACTCGCGCGAATATACTCATGCGTATTGGTCAGGAATCCACGTCATTCGCGTAATTAGAATAATAGAGGGCAGAAATTATTTTCAGTACCTATGGTCGTGTCGTGTTCATGTTTATGAAACAGACGATTTAAATTAGCCAAACACCTGTTGTACACAGATAAAACAATTATAGTTGCGGAGATATAAAAAAAAAAAAAAAATGTAAATTTGAGTTTGTGATAAAATATCCTTTCTGGGGGCGCGCGTAAAATATTGGAAAATATTTTGTCGGAAAGAGAATTCGTCAGAAAGTGTTTTGTCGGAACCGTAATACGGATGATTCACACGGATGAACCGACGCTCGCAGACCGGCACCGGAACGCACAGGCCCGTACCGAACCGACATTTTAGGGTATATTCACAGTGTACCGTTTTGCACCGACAGACACAGACCGTTATAAATGAAAAGTAATTTTATATGTACAATCAAGTGACTACAGGCAGTGCGACGAGTCCTACAACGGGTAATTTTAATTTTAAAACCATGTTTATGCGCTTGTCCACCAAACATCATGACCGTAATGGCAATTGTCTTAGACGAAGAAGAACAAAAAAACAACAAAAATTAAAAAAACGTATTTGGGTGCGTGACATTTTGAAACGGAGAAAAATCGAGAACGAATTTTATAAATTATGTGTATAGCCGGGTTTACACGCAACAATAAATCGTAACGATGTGATTGACGATTTATCGTCGTTGCTATTGTTCCGATTAATCGAAAGAGTGGATACTGTTTACACGCTACGATTTCTTGTCCAATGTTCTTCGGCGACCGCGGTTCACTAACACCTCGGTCGGCTTAGGTTATTAGCTTTTGATAGTTTTTTCTTGTAAACCGTACGCAATGCATTGATTTTTTTCACAACAGTGTTTCTGTCTGCCGATGGACCGATCACCTTGCACTTTTTAACCATCTCTGCGCCTTTTTCTCATTCCTATCCGAGTATTCTTTGCTCTTAACAAGCCACAAGCGGGTAAAACTTCGATACAGCTCGCTGAATTCTCTAGAGGAATACCGGAGGCGTTTGTTCTGCCGCGATCACTCGATTGAAAATGAAAGCAAATGTCAACGAAACAACGAACTTTGCGCAGTCTGCTCCGCGAACGACCAATGCAAACCAAATCGAATTGTAGCGATAAACGGTTGCTACATGTTTACACGTACCGACTTATCGTTACGATTCGCAGGAATCGGCATCAATCATCCGGTCCAATTCCAATTCCGACAAATCGCTAAACTATGTCCGGTTCATACGCAACGATAAACCGAAACAATTCGATCGTCACGATTGATTGCTAGCATTTGTTGTTGCGTGTAAACCCGGCGTATCTCTTGAAGGCAATTTTTTGTTTTTTGTTTATTTTAAAATGTGCTCGTTTTGGGAAATAACGTCGTTATCGCGTTCGCACCTCGCCGACGTCAACCGCATGTTAGACGTAAATTAGCACGTTCATGTAATTGATTAATAATTTGTCGGCTCGGTACGGGTCTGCGCGGTCCGGTACTTGGACTGCTAGAGTCGGTTGAGTGTCAATCGTCCTATATGTCGGAAAGTTGTTTTTCGGAAACAAAAATTAGTCGGGAAATGATTTTTATCCAACGACGATAACACACAGTCGCGGGGCGCTTATGGCGAAATTACACTGAACAGCTCCGAGAAAATATTTTCCGACGAATTACTTTCCAACGATTTATTTTTCCGATAAAATACGTTTCCGAGCCGGTACGATAAACGGAAACGCATTAAATTGCACGTATACGTACGTATATTAATTTATTGTTTCAATTTTTTCGGATTAAATTGATAACAGTTTTTAATATTAGTTGAATACTAATGTTTTTTCTAAGTCATAATTATTTGAAAAATTGTTGCCGTTGGTGTCGTTACTCGGTTTTGCGCGCGACGGCGGGGAACACCATGCACCCGTAATAATACGAGCATGTTACAAGATAAAGCGTATAAACGTTATCATCTTATCGGTGTGTATATTGTGTATAACATAGTGTCTACCTAATAAGTACATGAAATAAACTGCCGCAGTTTGTATAATGTATCTTATCAGTTTTGCCGCAGTTTACGTATCTAGAAAAAGGGAAATTTTGCCGCAGTTTACATACAGCCAGTTGAACAGTGCCATAGTGTTAAACAACGATCGGTAAATCAATAATCAAAATGTAATCATTGATTAATTGAGCGGTACCCGTTTCCACCAGAAGTGAAACTTTCCCCTTTCCGCCATTATCCGTTTTCACCAAAACCATATTGTTAGCTCACTGTCGATTCCATAAACGTTCAGTGATTGTTCATGGCAGCCCGGCATAGAATTAATATCATACCCAATATCCTACTATAATATCATAAATGCGAAACCCTGCGAGGATGGATCGCGGATGGACGGATTAAATGGCATTTAATTTTATGTTCAGTCGCGTTTTACATTTTGACTGTGATATACCTGATGATGAATTTTTAATTCGAAACCGGTCGTATAATACACTTCTCATGATATTCCTGGCGACGTATTTATTCATTTTTTTATTTTTATGTATACATTTTTTATTTATATATTTATTTACTTTCATTATAAGTATTTATTTATAATGTATATTGTTTAATGTAGAAAATATAAGTTTTATTAAAACTATTGTCAAATTAAAAAAAAAAAAAAAAAAAATGATAAGGTGTTGTATATTTTATTTCTGTATTACAGTTTTTAATCAAATCGCGCGTAGTATAGAAATTGTTTTTGAAGAAACATGGACTGATTTGGTGGAAACGGGTAATGGTGGAACAGAAAAAGGTCCACTTTTGATGGAAACGTTATGTCCGATTAAACTTCTGTGTGTTATACGACTGGCGATTTGGTTCTGATCAGTTTATCAATAATTATATCATGGTTATGGTAATTGATCTAAAATAATTATGATTGCCACGGATTTATTACATTTTAGACGGTAGGGGTATTTAAACAAGTCAATCGAACAATGTTGGTTAAAAAAATTGAAAAAAATCATTTAGAAATAGGTTTATAAATATAATTGTAAATTATTCAATATCCCAAAAATGTAATATTAAAATTACGGGACAACTCCCGTGCATCGTTAGGCGACAGAGTGAGAACACAAATTACGGTTGAATTTATTAACTATTTGAAACGATATAACTGCCGTTTATACAAAACATTGGTGTCGAGTAAAACTTTTATAAATTAGCTGTATAATTTATTGTAGGCAAATTTGTAATTGCACATAAAACAACTAAAGATTTAAAATAAAATCAAGGAGATTATATAAAACACATGAATATAACTGTTGTATTACAATATATTCATGAATAAAATCTAAAAATAACCATGTTGTATTCTTACGGTTATATTAAAAACGAAAAGATAATTAGGATAAAAGGAATACCTTGATTTTGGATTTCGTTTATGAATATATTGTACGAAACAATTATATTCAGTGCCGTAATGACGGGGGTGCACGATGGTGGACTTTGCATCCCCTGGTATTATGTAGTAGGTGCACTTTTGCACACGTCCGTCAAAACTAAACTCCAGTCCAATTAAATAGAATACCATTTGATTGTCGCGTAAATATTTTAATAGAATTTCGGCAGCTAAATACTCTAAACATAATTTAAAAAATAAATAGATTTAGTGAAATTGGGATTTCCTTGATTTGAAAAAAAGTGATCTCATTGTCAAAAAAAAAATTTAAATAGCTATGTTTTGCTTGTATTCCACAGTTTTTGGACATTGATTAGATTCAGCATAGTTATTTATATATGTTTAATTTAAAATTTGAACAATAAATAATTTACATTAATTTATGTAAATATTGTATTTCTATGTGACATTATGACATTTGCGTCTACATTTAAGCGTATACAGTTAATTTAGTTTATGTTGATCATATTTGATATTGGTATAATAGTACGTAATAAAATAAATAAAAGACAATTTTCGTTCGACCGAAGCAAAGGTACTTCAATATGACTTGATTTGATCAATTTTTGCATCTTTGTTGAGATATAATAGAATTACGTTTGTGTTTTACATAATTTTAAAGATGAAAGATTTAAAAACTGTCAAAATACAAAAAACGATTTGCGACTAGCCAAACTAACCTGGCATATTTAAGTCCTTCGGACCAAGTGGAGTTAATGCGAAGTTGGTCACTGACACTAAAATGGAATGGAATCTATCCTCCATAATCTTCCTGTAATTACTCTCATGGGTGCACTCATCAACAGTATCAGCTATTTTTATTATTATTTTGTTTCTTTTTTCTAAGTGCTTTTAATGTATTCTTCTACATTAACTGCCATTAACTAGCTACTTTAGCCTTTGCACAGGTTATATAGATTGTTTTACAAAAGAACAAATAAAAAAAAAAAAATAAGAATTATATCACTTTAAGGTTAAATATATATATATATATATATTCACTAAAAGCTTTTTAAAAAAAAACAAATATTTTGTTTTACTGAAGTTGTTGGCATATTATAATCAAAAATACAATTACGTGTATAATAATTTAACTTATTCCCGTAATTATTAAATGATTTGGGAGGTGAATATAATTTTATAAAAATTAGTACTCGCATGCCGAAAGCTGAAAATATATATACGCTTCTGTCGGGCAACCTTTGTGACGGGGTACTGCACACATCGCCGCAGTGTGACAACATAAAATTATAGCTTCGCTCGTTAACTAAAAAGGGAATTTAAACAAAGAAATGACCAGAATACATTTAATATAATATATTACACGTTACATGGCGTCACATGATATTTTGATTCGAATCGTTGTTGATTATGAGATAGTTTTCCAAATCTTTCGAACTGCACAGTGGTGTATCCACTTTGCTCACCTCGTGGAACAGTGAGTAATCAACTTCGTACGCCATTTTGGTTTTGCAGTATTTGACCAGCGGTCGGAAACGGTGGCCCCAGAGCACCTCGGACGGCAAATACGAAGTTCGAGCTTGCACCGTCTGTCCGGTCGACTCGGTGGTGCCCTCCAGGATTACAGCCACTTCGAATCTCTCGTTTAGTAGATCCGCGGCACTTAGATCATAGATAGGACTGTCTCGGTCGATCTTGTGTACGGCTACGACTGGCCACATCAGGAACACTTGATCGTCGTAGTCATCTATGCTCACCTGAAAAGAGGTTTCGTATAAATAGATTAATAAGGCAGGTAAACCAGAATTGTCCGGAAAATAACCATACGAACTGTAAAAATCCGGAAAATAGAATATTATGATAGGCTGTAATCAACCGAGAAAATAAATGCTCTGACCGGAATATTCCGAACTGTAAAAATCTGGAAAGCATAAATGCTTATACCAGAAAGTCCTGGATTGTAATAATCCGGAATACAAAAATACACACGCTGTAATGTCCCGGATAAGAACTTTCGGCCTTCCGGAATTGAAAAAATACTCTACTCACTGATAGATGACGTAGTTTACATAAACAATACAAACAGAATAAACGAATTAAGATTAAAAGAAGGTTCATGACTTTATGGTTGTTTTTAGGGGCAGATAGACATTCTCAAGTCCGGTGTAACTACGGACATTTATCTTCGTGATATTTTACCTCTCCTGAAAAATTTCATTATTGATTATTGAGGTGGTCTAAAAGTGACATAGAGATCGTTTCTAAAGTTCGGTTGTGATTGGACGAATTCTATGGTACCAAACTATGGAAGAAACTTGTGTTACGGTCCATGTCGAATTGTTTGACGTTAAAACCACTATCTTATCACCAAATCTCACCGAGAAACAAGTAGAATTTCCTTTATTCTCTAAAAAATACTTTTATCTTATCATTTCTTCTGTTAGAACAAATATATCTATAATACAAGTAGTAATCTACTTTATCTATTATTATTTATTATTAATAATCAGGGCCTGAAATACTGTATCCCCTGAATTGCAAATGTGTTTCCGAAATTTTATAACGTGTTTTTAGTTTTAATTGTAGAAATAACAAACATATTGGAATTTGAACACAAATGTATTTTGTATTTTTATTTCATTATAAATTAGTAACAATTTACTCGTTATTTATTTTATAAAAATATCATAAACGTTAACCACGGTCGTGTATAGCGTACACCACGGTGACATTATATATATACGAACTATTAGTTGTATTTATTTTGTGTGGCATAAATGCAGTTTAGCTCACAATCGATTTTTTAGAATATTTTTTCTCCAAAATGTGTGTTTTTGCATGCTTATTTTTTGGTACTTTCAAAAGAATTCACTCAAACTTCATTTGGAAGTTATGGTTAAAAAAACTTCAGGATGCTCGATTTTTCTAAAAATCGTGTTTTTGAGTTTAAAACACCAAACATCCATATTTTTGTAATTTTTTTTTTTTTAGAAATGGTAGTAATTGTATGCTTAAAATTTAAGTGAAATCAGCATTCACTTATCGTACTTACTTGTTATGTTATTGTTAATAAACCACGTAAAACCTAATTATAATGTTATTTAAATCATTTGCATGTATTAATATAAATTAAAATTGATTTTTTGGACTAATTTTGGATATGTATAAAAATTATGATTAGAGCAAGTATTCAAGTAAAAAAAACCTGAAATGCAATCCAAAAATCTAAAAATAGTACCTACTAGGAGATAAGGAAGATAGGTGTAGATCAACGCACACGCATGACGGCTGATTATTATTTTTCATATTACTTTACACAAAAAAACCTACAGTAATATAATAGTCTTGGTCTATAATGGCTATACCATATTTAGCGGAATCTAAAAGTCGTCCCAAATCTACTGCGTGGATACATGAAATGTTTTTGGAACGTACAACGTAAGTGGACATACAACTACTGACTTCTTCTTCATCGATATACACGTTATGAATACTTAAAGAGAAAAGTCATCCATAACAAACGCCTCGGGTTAAAAACAGTAATATTATCTTTTGTCCATAGCACATTGTTTTGTTATATATTTCAATTATTCGTGCTGCGTTTAACACCACGAGATTGTTTTGTTACAAACGAGAAAAGTAAAATATAATTAAAAACCGTCTTCTCTGTTTAAAAATTAAAAAAAAGTGTACTTTAAAAGTCAAGTGTCAGGTAATATGACTCCAAAGATATGAAAGTATGCTAATTACCAACATGTGTTTGACTATAATGTCTATAATATACAGGGTGATCAGAATTTTATGTTACACCAATTTTCTCCTATACATATTTAAAATAGATAAAAATGTATATTACAAGTTTTTCGATTTATAAACATCTAAAATAATTTGTAAACACTATTTAAACGCCATTACTTTCACCTACCTACATTAAAAAGTTAAATATTTCGTCAACGAGTTGACAGAAATAGAAAATGTCTACACCGAAATTTATTTATACTAATACTGTATCTTTTTATGGAATTCTGAATTCCCATTTGAATTTCAAAAGTTTACCTTTAACCCCCCCCCCCCTAAAAAAATAATACAGTAAAAAAATAATATAAATTACTTTAGATGTTTATAAATCTAAAAACATTTGTATTATACATTTTTCTTTATTTTATATATTTATGGGAGAAAATTGTAATATAAAATTCTGATCATTCTGTATACAACGTTTGTATTCATAAAAATATTTTTAAAATTACCGGAAGCTAAATTTTGTTAAAACGCATCGGAAATACGGTGATAAAAACTGTCCGGGCATTTCTTTAAAATAATTTAGAAACCTGCGGTAAATTGTTGTATTATAATTTTTCACTCTCTGATCGACTCACTTTCAAATGGGTGATGTGTGGTGACAACATCTCTCCTTCCGGCGTCATCCGGGACCGAATGAACCGCGTCCTGATCGAGGCCCCGATCAGATGAGACTTTTCTCTCATGTCACCTACCCGAAACATAAAGCACAGCTGTCCGTCTCGCTGGCATATCACGGCATTTCTGCTGAACATAATGGTCTGACTGCGCTGTTTCGGCCGGGCCATTTTTGTGAACACGATGCCCACCATGAACGCCTGCGTGATCGGAAAGAAAAGAAAATCGTAGAAAATCGCGTACTAAACGGTTTCTTTCAAGTCTGGGGAAAAAAATACTCTCAGAGATCGGAAACATCCGTTTCCGCGGAGTTGCGTGCCCGCGTGTAGTTAGTCTATTTAACCACGATTCTAAACATCATTTTTCTTGTATAGATTTACCTGAATCATCAGTCCCGCGATGCTCTGGAAACAGAAGAACGCTATGGCGTCCACGCACTCTTCGGTGACCATCCGGTAACCGAAACCGGTGGTATGCTGCGTTTCGATGCTGAACAAAAAACTGGCCGTGAACGATTGCATGTTTATTACGCACGGCTGCCACGTGACGTTGTTCATGTTTTCCGGCGCGAAATCGCCGTGCGTGTAGGCGATCATGTACCAAATGAAGCCGCAACCGGACCAACTGAGTATGAAGCTCATCAAGAACACCATCAGTGTGCAGCGCCACTGAGCGTCCACCAACGTGGTGAAGAGGTCTTGCATGTAGCGCCGGCGCAATTTCGGTATGTTGGCCAGGATGATGTTGCAGTCGCCGTTTTTTGCCAGCGCCCGTCTTTTGGATTTCCGATAGATCGACGTCAACGTCAAATTCGGTTTTTTAAAACTGAAACGAACAAATGAAAGATTGAATAAATCCGCGATACGAGAATGCGTCTAGATCAAATTAAAAGTCTATATTCTAATTATGTCCGAAAATAGGACTGACGGCACGATTTGTTTTGATACGTGCATAATTATTAACATATACATTATGCATATGTATACACACTTAGTTAACTAAATCTTTATAAAGAAAAAAAAAACGGCCCACTTGATTGTGGTCGGGCTAGGCCGTCCGTTCGTCTTGGCCGTCAGGTGGCAATCGGTGGTCATGACGTCTGTGGTGGTGTCTGCGGTAGCCATGGCTGTGGCGGTCTCGAACGCCACTGCTGCGGCCTCGAACGCTACTGCGGCGGACGAACCGTTTGACTGCTGAACGGACAACAGTGGGTCCTTCAGGTAAAAATCGGTGCAGCCGCGGCCACCGTTGCCCAGTCCCGTCAGGTGCGATATGGCGGCTGATCGTTTGGGCTTGAACGCGGCCACCGACGACTTTGACGGCGGCTGCAGTAGTGGCGGTGATGATAGAGACAGTCCGACGGACATCGACGGTGAGAACGGCGGCGGAGACCGACTCGACGACTCATCCCCAAAGTCCATCATTATTTTTCACCGGATTGCGGGCGGCGGCGTTCACACCGTTCACGCGATACAAGACATAAGAGCCCTCGGGTCGGCCGCCGATACTGTAGCCACCTTAAATTTAACGAATCATAACAATAATGAAGATACATACCTGTATAAGTAGCAATTCAATATTTTGTCCAAAAACGTAAACATAAAAATTTTGTTTTTTAAAAAGATGTTACCGGTGTTAATAGATAGGTATATTATACCTACCTTCTAGGTAGTACGTGTACCTAAATACTTGTGCGGCCGCTCTCTGGGTAGAAATCCCGGTGAAATTGTTGGATTCCGAACAACTTTACCAGTCCAAAGAACAGTGGGCCCATCCCATAATAGCGTTATCTACTACAAATGAAATAAATATTATATGTATTATTAGTGTATAGATATTTTATGACGTCGATTAACGGATTACATGATAGGTATCCAGAGAGATTAAATCAGTGATTTTTCTTTTCTGGTCTAAACTTTAAACTGTTGATAAACGATAAATCCGGTAAAAATATTAATATGTTTATCACAGATTTATTAAAATATATCCTCCATTTGAATCTGTGTATAAAATGGGGAGAGTAATTACAATTAAAAATATTTATCTAGGCGGTTCAATATGATAATAGCTCTGATAACTTATTTCTAACTTGTCTAAATAAGATACCTAAAAGATAAAACACATCAACGCTAGTGCAAGGTTGGTCGGGTAAAATATGTTGTGAACAATTCGATAGATATTGCAGGCGCAGAGGAATTTTAAAAAAAGTTTTTTTTTTTTAAATTCGTTCAAAGATTAATAATACACGCTCGTATAATGGGATTTCGACGAAATCTTTTACCAATTTCGGGATATTTGTTCGTGTTTTGTACGCTGTACGTCGTCGAGCGAGTGTCATCGTCCGGGAGTATGTGCCGGATAATAAATTAACAGGCCGACGACCGCGGAAAATAATAAATCGCTTGTCTCTCGGTCGGATACAAAGATTGGTGGATTTTTTTTCGCCTATGTATTTGTTGCACCGCTAAAAAATACCGACGGCCTCGTTACGCGAGAAAACGTATACACTTTCGTATAATCAATCAAACCCACACCGTTAAGTAATTACTGTATTATTATTATATTTCGCCAACTCGTTTTGTATGCACTGCAACGGTATTTACGGGGCAGTAAGTTTTATAACCCAACACCGAACCGTCCGGATTTCGAGATCACGAGAGTCACTCCGCACTGATATAATAACACGCTTTAAAGTCGCAATTCAATTTTAGAAAATATTATTGATGTTATAATAATATAGTAGACCGACCGAGTGTATTATGTTTTCACGATCAAACGAACGTAGCCGTGGGTTATTATTGCATTTCAGAAACTAGTCGTAATAACGTTTATTGGTTACCGAGTACTAAAACCTATAACACCCACTACCAATAGATTTTAATCGAACTAAAGTAGTCAATTCTTGTTGGTAATTTAGGTACTTAATCCAATATTATTATAAGCAGTATCGTGCCTGAGAATTTTGAAAGTAGAGAAAATGTATAGTAAATAATAGTTACGAATAAACCATAGAACTTTTTATATAAAATTATATCCACTCATTGGCGTGCCCAGAAATCAATGAGAGGAGGTTTAGCAAATACGAATCGTCTATAAATCGTAAAATCCTTTTCTCTACCAACCTTGACAATGGTAATTAGTAATTTAAAATCCGGATCCTAAAAAAAGCCAATTTATAACCAATATATCAACCTATTCTTTGTAACTTGGCTAAAATATAATATACATTTTGATATTAGATTACTCATATTTATTTTTCTATTTAAGCCCCTACTTCCCCCCTTGCGCACACCACTGTATCCATTTACAACCCGACAACGAGAATTTGAAAACCGGATTCAAAAAAGCCATTTTCAATTCAATAATAATCAAAACTATCTTTATATTTCGGCAGAAATCATACACATTTTAAGATTGAGTTACCTACTAAATAAATATTTATAGTTGTATTTTTAAACCAATGGGGGAAAGGAATATAACCCCAAACTTCCCCTTGCATACACCATCGATTGTAAGTTTAGTGGTCGTTTACATCAATGGCTGAAATTAACTTCGGGGGGTTATCTTCAAACGGCCCTTCCCACGTTTCGTTAAACTTTACAAAAATTTTAAATCAGATATTCCGAACGATAATTCTGTAATAACCACAGAATATAATATAGCGTCATTTTTGTGAAGTAACCAGAGTAAAATCAAAAAAAAAAAAAAAAGAAAACCAAATAGTAATACCTGTCTATGTAAATGGTCCTTTTAAGGGGTAATGGTTTTGAAAACTAGGCCTCCAAGCCAATATTCCCCTATTTCTGTCCTCCACTGTCTCACTCAATTGTATTCCAGGTTCCACCGCTCCTACAACCCAATCCTCCCATTTTAATTTACGTTTTCTATGATATATACGAGTAAATGTAGAATAAACATGTGTTTACAAGCTATAATATATTTTACTGGAGAAATACAGCTGCGCTACACAGACACATTATTTTCATCCGCGATACATTTTGTTCGTAGGTATTTTCACCGGTTGCACCTGTCGAATGACGCGTATAGACGAGCATTCGCGTGTTGCACACTTGTACGTGAGAAACAGTGAATGGCACGCGATGTTTTGTTAAAAAAAAAATTGCTAGCCGACCGCCTTTAGTATAAATATTACAAATTACAATATATATATATATATTCTATAGAAAACGCGTGCGCGATTTAACGGGAATTTTTCGCCGCGGGGCGAATGAATAATATAATATCGAGACGATGGCGAAAATTTGAGGATAAAAAATATATGTGTTACAGGTACTTAAAAATAATAAAAAAAAAACTATTATCATAATTCATTATGGAACCAGTGCCGCCTGTAAACGGCCTTGATCAGTGGGACCGGTAATTAATCGCTGAATACCGGGCCGTAATTATAATTACGGTTTCCTGTACCTACACTACCGAGTCAGAATATGGTACATTACCTTCATGTGATGTTATTATTATTGTGTTGCGGTCGCCGGTCGTTTTCAGATGTATATTATATTTATTATTTTATTGTATTGTTCATTTTGGTTGTTTTTGTTTTTTAACGACTCATACGAACATTTCGCAGTCAAAATTATGTAGGTTTTTTTTATACATTATGAACGTAGCGAGGAATTTATATTAGTTTTTCTATGATGCGCGTGTTTTTTTTTTCTCTGGCTGGAAACAAAATTCTACCGGAACTTTCCTCCAATTTTCGCGTGTAACAACTTTTTGGAGAAAAGAAAATGTTTTCTATTCGGTGCACTAGCGAGGTCATTTTTGATTTTCTCTACGGTTTCCTCAATAATTAGGGAAAATGAGAAAATTTACTACTATTATTTTCACTGTACTTCATTTGGTTTGAAATAATAGTAGAGCCTAACAATTTTTACAGAATACTAATTACTACTAAATTAGCATTTTTAAATCCACTTAGTAACATTTTCATCATATTCTGGCAGTTCTTAAATAAATAGCGTATTCAAAGTGTTGAAAATTTGTTTAGTTTTTATTTGGTTGTAGATACAACTTTTTAGGTCTAACAAAAATGCTCAAAATTTAAAACATTGTTCGTTACAGGTTGTATTTTATGGGCGAAACGTACTTTATAATGTAATCGTTTTTTTTATAAGCGTTTAGAGGTAATATTTTGATGAAAATCATAAAAATGACAGGATTTTAAAACATATTAAACATAGCTCAGAAACGTTTTTCGTTAGCAATGATTTATCAATGCATACATGCATAAAGTCAATTATCTTTTATAATATTAAAACTTACCTACAACAGTGGTTCACCCATTAACAGTATCGGTTCTTTTTTTCGTGCATACAACATTTTTATGTCGCAATCATTAAGCAGTAAAATGTATAGAGGATTTGTGTTCTATTATGGAATGTGGTCAGATCTCCAAGTGTTTTTGAAAGGGGTAATTTAATGTATGTCTGTGCACAATGATTAACCATTGCTAACGAAAAACGATTCTGAGCCGAGTTCGGTTAATAATGTTGCTTTGTCAACAATATTTATATTATATTATATTATGGTAAAATAATTACATAGACATTATATATTTAATTATATTACTATATAAGTTGTTCACAGATAAAAAAAAAAATAAATATAAAAATAAACATCATTGAAACACCAATATACATTCCTCGCTCCGCTCAGAATCTAAAAGTTAAGAAAGCTAATAGTGAATAGTGAATTTTTTTTTCGGCCAATTTTGAATTATTATATTAACGTAATCAACAAAAAAAGATATTTTGATGCTATTAGCGGATATTTTTGGAGCAATGCACCTCATTCTCACTTTGGTAACTTAAATTTTCTACAGTTATAGTTATTTATTATTGTTACTCTAAATGGTTGAGTTCCAATAATGGAAATGTCTCTGCTGCTTGAAAATAATTGAAAAATTAATGATGTTTTAATAATATATTATAATAATGTATTTAAAAATAAACGCATTAATAATACTTATAATATTATTATAATACCACCGTTATTACTATTTACCGGCTGCAGCTTCTGAAAGATGCATTGATGCATATGAGAAAGGCCAATACTTTTTAAGAAGCGTAATAAGCATAATAGCATAAGCACACCAAGAAACGTTTTATTTAAAATATTTTATAAAGATAAATATTTTTCCTAGATATTTTTTTCGTGTGACTCGACCGAACTGACAGTTTAAGATCCGGTGACAAAAAACAGACGTCTTCAATTTAAAAGATTGTTCAGGAGGAGCAAAAAACATATCCGCTTAAGTCTTATTGTACAAAAAAAAAAAAAAAAACAACCAGATATTTTCATTTATATATATAATATCTCAGTATCTAACGATTCGTTAACTATTTGCCTGATTGTTACACCAATTGACGTATATTTTTTAATAATATAAGCAGGAAAACTAATTGTCGTTAAAATATAGAGATGTCTGTTTGTTGCTTAAATAACTGGAAACAGATATATAGCTTACAGAACAATTGTAGTTATCTTTTACCTACACCAAATAATATGTGTAAAATGATCAATACAATTAATGTGAAATAGAAAAATGCTAAACAAAACCAGTTTACTTAGAAGATAAGAGAAATATTATTCAAACAATTTGAAAGTACCAATGTATAAATACTTTTTTGAAGTACTTGTTTTTATACTAAAATATTACTTTTGCCAAGTATTCAAATACTTATTTTAAAAATTGTTCAATATATCTATCTATATCTGTACTTAAACACGTTTAAAAAGTATTTTTTACAAGGCTACTCTTTGAACATGACGTGTCCACTGCCACGTATGGGCGGGACCCGTTTTGTCTAAACTCGACTTTTCCCGTTTCGCACAAATAATTTTCGTTTAACGTAATATTAAATAAATGCAAAGAAATAGGCTTAGATTTTACACCAAAATATGTCATTACTGACTTTGAAAAAGCAATTAATTTAGCAGACAATGATGTTTGGTCATCATTGAAAATAATCGGTTGTCGTTTTCACGTGACACAGGCTTAGGATAGGAACGTTTTAAAATTCGGTTTACCAACTGAATACCAAAATAATTAAAGTATTGGTAAATGGATTAAAAATACTTTTAGCTTATTATTTTTGGAACGTTATCACGTAACGTAGTTATGTTATTCCCTAGATAACATCGGTTTAAAAACGGATTGGCAGAATTTAAAACGGCTGTTACTTAGAAACTATTCATCAGATATAAATGTGCGATATATCAACATTTTCAGAAAAATAAACTCTACAGAATAGCTATTTTAAAATTTTCCGAAAATATTAAAATAAAAAGTTATTTTTTAAATTTTTTTCATAAAAAAAAAAATTAATTCATGGATAAATATTTGTATTCCTCATCCCTGTGAGTAATATAAAAAAAATTAAAATTTGATTATTTCCATTATCTCCGGAGATATTCAAGGGGTTTATCTTCATACAGGGATGTCCTGTATACATACTTAACAATATGTATGAATTATAATATTATACTGTGTCCAATTTTTATAAATTAATAACTTGTTATAAATTTTTAATAATATGATTAAAAATCATTCCCAACTTAATTTTAAAATGCCTAAAACATGTTTGGGCGAAACGAAAAAGATCGAGTTTGAGTGAAACGAGTCACACCCGTCCATATAGATGAAATGTGTAAAAACATTTTTTTAAAATAGGTAAGTACCTTCTTCTCAATATTACGCAATGAAACTATTTAAAATTTTAAACTATTAAATGATCGAAATGAGCACGTTTCGTTACACGTACACAAAATTAATACGAATTCCAGGCTTACAGTCGAGCTAGTCTGGTGGTATTCGAATGATTCATTCATTTTGAGAGATCGCCGAAATCGGAATAAAAAAATATTATGATAGATAATATATTATAATAATTTTGGTTAGTAATGAATTTGTATAGAAATATTTTGATCTGGCATGTTATTTATATTATTTCTTATAATAAGGTACGCGGTAGCACCAAAAAGATCACAACAATTTAAAAAACATTTCAACAACCTCTGAATATTAGATATTCAATGGACATTGTTGAAAATTTGTGGGAATTCGTTGGAAAAAATTATATTAGTTATTCAAGTTTTACTCACTAAGGGTATTCGGCACCAATGGTGAGTAAAACTTGAATATAAAGTTGAAAAAACTCATCGAACAATGTTCATATGGGTTTGTTGGACATTGTTCGGAGATGACTGGAAAATGTGGTGCTGGGAAGTTGGAACCACATTACGATTAAATAAAACAATATAATGCAGTTATTCCATGGAAAACTCAATCAAGAAATCCAACCAATTTATTTTAATTATATATTGTTCCAGAACAACATATTTAAGAGATTTTTTCTTATACATAATTTACACATAAAAATACGAAATAATTTAATTTTTGCGCTTTCAAGTTCCGAAAACTTATAAAAATGGATCAACAACTTAGATTTGATTTTTTTAAATGGAAATAAAGAACACATTTTTTTTTTTAATATGTTGAATACATTTTTTCGGCCATCACCAGAAGTTTCGCTATAACAGTACATACAATGCGCGTATAATAATAGAAAAAAAATAATATAATATTTACATTTATACGTTTCAACAACTTTTGAAAATGGTCCAACAAATTAGTTTTGATTTCCGTAGAAGAATTACATTATTGTTTTATTTAATCGTAATATGGATCCAACTTTCCAGCATCAGATTTTCTTTTTTGTACTAAGCTTTTAATTGTATCCAAAATTTTCCAACCATCTTCCTATGATGTCCAACAAACCTATGTGAATATTGTTGGATGCATCTTTTAACTTTACAATTAAGTATGTTGTTTGTCCGTGGTCGTATATTTGTCATCAAAAATGTAAACGTTAAATAACTTTTTAAGCAACTTTTTCCAACAATTCAGAGTAGTCATTATTGAAATGTTTTTTTTTAAACTTTTGTGATAAATATTTCTATTTGGTCAAACAATTTTATCTACATAGTGTCTATCAAACAAAAACTACATGCAAAACTTGCAAACATAAAATACCTATAAATGTCTCAAAAATTGCAACTTATATTTACTATATCTACTACATCTAAAAGAAGTAAATTTAGGTTTTCTGTCAACTTTTCAAGTCTCTACGAACATTGTTAAAAACAAAAAAAAAACTTAATTGAAAATAACGAAACGATTATATTTCCGTAAACTTTTCTGTTTTTTTCCCCTTTTATTCCGGTTTTGCACAATTATTAAGGGTTGAAGCAAGACTTTTAGTGGAAAACATAATTCGTAAAAATTTTAAATAACGAATTATTATTATGCCATATACTTACTCTTATTAATCCGTTTTCATTTCAAGGATTTTTTGATTTTTTTCCTAATTATTATGAAACCCTTTGGAAAATCTAAAATTGATCTCCTTAATGCAACCAATAACTAGATAAACGTTTCGAAAAAAGTGCTAAACTTGATACATCAAGTTTTTTGTGTGAAAAGTTGATTACAACACAACAAATTAAAAATTCCCTTGTTACGCGCACAGTCTAAAATATATTGAATACTGTGCATGTGGAATAAAATATACCGAGTGCGATTTAATTGCGGATAATCGAGTTTTTATTATTAGATATGATAAATTACTACAATATACGATATCGCATATACATTATACATAATATAAAATACGTAAATAAATACAACTGTAACCTTCGTATAAAAGTATAATCAGCTGCACCTATATAATATTGAAGTATCGACATGTCCGTCGGTAGACCTACGCAACAATTATGAATTATTTCGAAAAATAATAATTATTGGATTGTATTGGTTTTTTAAATAACGAAATTTGTTCGCGAATTCGTGTTTGTATTTGCGGTGTCGAGTACCTAGCGCACAATACGCGAATGCGACGGTTGAAAACGTTGAAAATCGTCTAAAAAAAAAAAATACATACACACATACGGTCATCAGGCGAGATAATGAAAAAATAAATAAACGAGCATCAGTGACGACGACGACGATGACGACCCGTTTAATCTGTCAGTTTGTCTACCTAGTTTTATATGTGTCGTTTTTTTTAAGATATCGAAATAATAATACCAGCGATGAACTCGTACAAAATATAATTACCGCGTTATTTTTCTTACATATATATATATACCTAGTCAATAATAATATTGTGATAATGCGACGTTTAAAAAAAAATATACACACACATATACAGGGTGTTTCACGGAGATCTAACAAATGCAATAACTTTTGTTCAGTTTAATGTTTTGATGTTTTTTCTTCTTCTTGTAATACGTATTGGTACCACGCACTTTGATTATAAGTATAATATATTTTTTTTTTTTTGAAAACAAATTTTATTGGTAGACGTTTTTACTGACGACAAACCGTCAATCTCTTGACATTTTCTGAAATTTACAATTCGTATTGTTTTCGTTATTGCCACTAAAGGGTATCAATCGATTCAGTAGTTTTTCCATGAACAATAATTTTCTAAATCATTTTTGTAAACTTAAAAATCGTAGAAACTTAACAATTCGTCATTTGTAAATATTGGTAATACCAAAATATTTTTTTGAAATGTATTTGAAAAATAGCTTTCTTGGGTTTTGAAAAAAAAAAAAATTCTTTAATAAAATTAAAGAATTTGTTTTTAGTTATAAACAAAATTTAAAATGCAGGAATCATAGCGCAAAATTCTAGTAATTATTATGAGAAAAAAATATCGAACGGAACAAAACTTATGTGTTTGTCAGATCTTTGTGAAATACCCTGTATATATTAAACTTAAATTTTTTTTGTGTGATAATACGTAATAATAATTATAAATTATAATTATTGTAAACGCGATGACGAGCGAGTAAAATATTTTAGCACACGAGTATTTTTTTATTTTAATTTTGACGTAAATCGAAACAGTCACTCTAGGTTTTGTTCTGTTTTTTTTCTAATAACTGATGCAAAATGTTTTTAATTCTTAAACAGACAGTGCAGAAATTAGATGACAATAGCTCGAGTATATTGTGACTGTAATATGAATAAGAGGTGGGGGGTCGTCTTTCTGCATTTGTTTGTGGGACAAAAGAAATAATTTAATTATTTTTTATCCAACCGTACGTATCTACACAGGGTGATCAATGCAACATAAGACACTCATTATCATGGGAAATATTAACTTTTTTCGAAATACGTTTTTTAAAAACATTTACGAAACACACAGTTCAAAAATGTTGTATTTAGGTTATTTTTTGTCGCCATTATTTAAAAGGATTAAAACAACACCCACTTTTCTTTTTCAAATGGCCACCTATACTAAAAATTCCATAAATAGATGGGATAAATATATATAAATGAGATAGTTTAATTACATTTTGGTGTTTAAATTTCAGATATCCGTAAAACCATTGAAGTAAATCAAAGATTTCAATTTGAACTTTCAAATTGATTTTAACTAAAACTCCATCTGTATGTGGAATTTTTAATATAGGTTATCATTTTTCGTAAACAATTTCCGTAAAATATTATTGTTTTTCGAAACAATTCATGTTTAACATATGTTGATCATCCCGTATACTTATATTTAAATACTTGAAAATCGGCATAAAATTTATATAGGTATCGATGAGTTCTAATGGGACGGAATAAATTAAAATTTAGAATTTCTATAGCAGCCAAAATTAATTCGCCCGTGTTATCACAAACGAATAATACGCTGTTATCGATAAATTAACACGTAGAACAAAGTACCTACGTATTAGCTACGCTAAGTTAATACGTTTATATGAATGTAAAGAAACGACGAATTGTCTATTATATTGTATTTTCTATAGCAACATTTTAGATGTTTAATTTTTAGTAAAACGGTTATATTTTTCAAAACACACTAATTATTAAAAAGAACGCCTATTATTATGTTGAGTATACGTTTATAACTTTAAAATAGTCATAACTCGTAACTCGTTTTAGGAACAACGATTGACGCACAAATATCGTGAAAATGTGTTTTCGAAATTGTAATGGAGACTTCCGAATGTTAGATTTTTACGCGGTTGAGAAATACGATATTATTATTCGAGCAATACGGTGGTTTAGACTATCGGTTTTTTAATATGGAAAAGAAAATAGTTTTTCGATTTAACTGTCCATATTAAACGCGTGTAGGATTTTTTTTTTTTTTTTACATTAAATAAAAATAATGTTCACCTACCTATGTTTCATATATCGTGCTAAAACCGCCGCCGACCAGTATACGATAATATTGTGTTCACAATCGACGCGCGTGCCGACGATGAACGAATCCGTGCGACTGAAACTACATTCGACTTATTACAATATACCGGGACCTCACATATTATTATCTGAATGTACACACACACACACACACACACACACAACACACACTGGTTGTAAATTATTATAATGACTACGTATTTACGATCTCCGGTGTTGTAGTATACAGTAACAATATGCAGTATATATCATGTATATGATATAAAATATTTACACAGCCTATATAAGATTAGTGTAATGTAAATCGGCGTTTAACTAATTAATTTAAGATAATAATATAGTAAAAAAGTTGATATTGATAATGGATGCGCCACACTTAAAGGTTAGTAAGGTAGAATACATAAATATTTATTCAATTTATATCTGCAACTGTGCAATCAACGATAAATCATTGCTAACGAAAAAAAGATTCTGAGTGAATTGTCGTCAAAATTTAACTTTAAAACCATTTAAAAAAAATATTACTAAATTTTTTTTTCGAATATGTGCGTATTATCGATTTAAGAAGGTTGGTAAAGTCAAAATTGAGCGAACTGATTAAGTTTCGATATTGTAGCTTTTTGAAATTCGGATATTTTTCAGATATTACATGTTTATGTTAAATAACTCTATACTGTCTATTTCAATATATGTTTAGTGCAGTCAAAAGATCATGTATGTCAGTTGTCATACTAGGGGTCACGGCTTCTCAAACCCGGAGTCTGAAAGGAAATTTTTTTTTTCGCACTTTTTTTCCCTTTTTACTTAAATAGGGAAAAAACAAATGAATTTTAAGTGTACCTAGACCTAGTTAACGCTCGCTTGGACAATTTTAATCAAAAAATACCCCTCGATTTGTTGTTTAAACTTTTCTACCAGAAATCTTGCTCCCGTGTATCAAGTGCAGCTTATTTTCTGAAAGGAAATTTTATCTTCCTGGTTTAGGGAGGTCATTTTTGTGATTTTTCTATCGATTTTCATACAAACTGGGAAAAACAGAAAAGGGAAATGAAGGTTTTAGTAAAAAAATATTAATGCCTTTTTTTTTCTGTGTACAACTTTTCTACAAGCAATTTTTCCTCCAATTTACAATGATATCACTTTTTCTGAAAATAAATCTGACTGGGAAGGTATTTTAGGGAGCTAATTTTTTGATTTTTTCAAGAATTTTCTTAGCAAATGTGATAATCTGCAAAAAACATGGAGAAACTGGGGAAAACGCAAGAAAAACGGGAAAATCGATAAAATATTAACCAAATATTATTAGAGAAAATATATAATAAAATAATGAAACAATGCCTATTTATTTTACCATAATATGATATAAATATTGTTGACAAAGTATCACTATCAACTGAATCGCGCTCAAAATCGTTTTTTCGTTAACAATGATTTATCGTTGCTTACAGATATACATTAAATTGCCTATAACAGTGGCTGCACCAGTCTCCATTATCCTAGGACGTCTTTTTTCCTAGTAAACTTGTTCTGATTTGTACGTGTAACACTTTTTCTGAAAGCTCAAGTAATCTACATTAGAAAGGTCATTTTTTTTTTTGATTTTCGACGCCATTTTTTTAAATAAAAGCACTAAAGTGGGGAAAAAAACGTGGGAAAACGTACAATTGCACGATTTCATAATATTACAAAAACACGGACGGCGTTTTCTACCAGAAAATATGATTTAATCGAAAAAAAACAAGATACCTTTTTGATTTACTTTATTACGGTATCATTGCAAAAACTTTTGAGCCACTTTTGAGCTTTAAAGAAATTTTAGTTTTTGGAAATCATCGTATGACTTTTTTTTAATTAGCGTTTTAAAATAAAATTTAAACGAAAATCAAAAAAAAAAAAAAAAATAGGGTACTTCAAATTATGTATTCTTGAACTGCACTCGGTATCGTATTTCATCAAGCAATGGTTAATCGTTGCTTACAGATATAAATTAAATTATCTTATGTATTCTACCTTCTAAATTTCTCACCTACAACAGTAGCCGCTCCCATCCCCAGTATCAGTTCTTTTTTTTATTATAGTTGTGCTAACTAAAAAAAAAAAAGAAAAAGAGGAGCTAATACTGGGAATGGATGTGGCTTCTGCTGTAGATGAGTAGTTGGGAAAGTTGGATACATACATTTATTTAAGGTTCGAATCGATTTGGCAACGTTCCCTCCAAGGGTTAAATACCCTTCTCCGAGAAAAGTATTGAGTTGCAAGTTTTCAGAACTTCGTTGCAAATTGTTGCAAATAAGTTGCACAATTTTGGCGCCGATTTGGTTTTCATACAACAAAGTGAGAGGGCCAACCTTTAAGGACGTTGAATATTATTCGAACAGCATCTGCCAAATTATTCGATCATTTTTCGGGAATAAAATTTCCAAAGATATTTTTTTTTTTCTGTTAACAACTTGTTTAACAGAAATCTTGCTCTGATTTACAATTTTAGGACAATATCTGAAATTTTTGCCGCCGCGGCGCCGTCTTCTCTCCATCCCCGATTATTGTCGACATCATCGCCGTTGTTTGCTAATTTAATTGTTGTTAATTGTATCGTCTTCTTACTTCACAGCGTCGTCAGACTTCCAACGCAGACAAGGAGTGGCCCGGCGTAACTGGTTTGTCTCTTCAACTGGAGTACGGTGTCTTGTTGATTTAGTTGCCTACAGGCTCCCGAACAACGAAACTGATCGGTGATTTGCTCTCGATTCGGTCCTTCACCTTTTATTATTGGTAGAATACCAAATAGTTAGAACTTACAAGCTATGAATAAATAAAATCATATTGTTTTTTCTACAGTTTTGAATTCTCAATGAAGCGAAGAATGTGGTGATTTTTTTTTTATACTGTGTACACAAATTCTACCAGAAATCTTACTCCAATTTTCAAGTGTAGACATTTTACTACTTTTTCCTGGGGTGGTACTTTAGGGAGGTCATTTTTTGGTTTTCACAGTGGTTTTTATAATAAATGGAAAAATCGGTAGATTTTTTAAACAGTTAATAATAACAAACAAAAATTGGAAAATTATGCTTTTTATTCAGTAAGTAGGTATTCTGTGGATAAAATTTTAGACCAAACATGAATGCTTGAAAACTTTATTCGGTATGTACTGTGTGGTAAAATTCTAAGACAAAAGAAATGTGTGAGAATTTAACAGGAGGTTCATTAAGTTTAATGTTTAAGTTTAATTAGAGTTTAATGTAGTATTTAGTTTTATAAACAATTTTTAATATGTATCAAATTTTGACGAAAATGTTGTGGAATAAATCTAATTTTTCAATTTTTTGTTTGGAACATATTATATATATTGTCGATGTAAGATTGATAGTAAAGTAAAAGCTGAGCAGACTGATATAGTTTCGTATTATAGCTTTTTGAAGTTCTGATATTATGCGAATATTGTATGTTATGTTAAATAACTATATTTTATCATATTTAAAATATGACTGCAAAAACTCCTGAGAAAATCGAAAAATTATCTACCTAAATTATCTTCCCACACACAAAAATTGGAGCAAATTCTCTGGAAGAAAAGTTTTCCACAGAAAAAAAAATAAACATCTCGGTAAAACCAGAAGCTTCTTCGCTCCACTCAGAATCTCAAAAGCGTGTTATAACAAATTATTTTTCTAAAATTAACAACGTTACTAACGATACAGTTAGAGGTAATGGCAGTAAAATTGATTCTTAATCTGAATTATGTAGTGTTCAAAAAGTAATCGAAATTAGGTTTTTGTTATCAATTACATTAATTATATATTTTAGTTATCATACATTTAACATGATTACCATTTGTAATAGAATGATTTGATATGTCTACAAAATAGTTAAGTTATTATAATTTAAAAAAAAAACCAGACATATTTGGCACAATGGATGTGCCACTTTTGTAGATTAAAAGTTCGGAAGATAGGATGTAAATGGGAATTGAATATATTTGTATATAAAACGATTAATCATTGCTAAAGAAAAAACGATTCTGAACGGAATTAGGTTGATAATGTTGTTTCGTCAAAACTATATTTGTCACATTGTGGTTTTGTGTGGAGCGAAGAAGCTTAAGTTTACCGAGACATTTATTTTGTTTTCTTGTGGATAACTTTTCTTCCAGAGAATTTGCTTTAATTTTTGTGTGTAGGTAGATATTTTAGGGAGGTAGTTTTTCGATTTTCTCAGGAGTTTTCGCAGCAAATTTGATAACTGGGAAAATACTTGGGAAAACCGAGAAAAACAGAAGAAAAACGGGAAATTTACGAAAGCAACTTTTCTACTAGTAATTTTTGTTCCGATTTAAAATGATAGTTCTTTTTCTAAAAGGAAATCTGACTGGGAAAGTACTTTAGAAAGGTAATTTTTCGATATTTTCTAAGGGTTTTCCCCGAAAATGCGAAAAACATGAGAAAACCGGGAAAAATATGACATATATATTGTTGAAAAAGCATCAATTTCAATTGAACTCTGCTCAGAATCGTTTTTTCGTTAGCAAAGGTTAATTGTTATATCGTTATATATATATATAAACATTAAATTACCTAAAACAGTAGCTGCATCCGTCCCCATTATCCTAGGACACCGTTTTATATTCGGAGTGTGGCATTTATTGCTTTTCCTAACTTTTCAGAACTATAATTATCTATTAGTACTATTAGTACTATTATACTATTAGTAGGTACTCTATGGATAGATGAATTTTTAGACTAAACTTAAACATTTGACAGGAAAATCATTATAAGTCGTACTTAGTGGTCAAAAAGTGGTAGGAATTCGGTTCATGATCCTAATACCGTATTTTACAAACAGCTTTATAAATCTTTCTTTAAATGAATGTATTAGTCAACTTAAATTATTTTACGGATAACGGGTTGTTCTTTTGATTTAAATAAAGTATAATGATTTTGATAGAATATGATATATTTAATTTTAAAACAGAAATATTAAATCAAATGGGAAATTAGACGATAAATAATACAAATTTTAACCGAATTCTTAAGAAATTATATAAATAGCAATTTTATAATAATCGTAAATTATAAAATTGCCTATTCGTATTATTATTTGTTATCAAATAACTTGACGTCTAGTTTAAGATAATTGATTGATTGTGGCACGGGATTTCGACAGTCAAAATAACTCAAGATAAACAATTGTTAAATAATAAATATAGGTAATAAACACCGAAGAAATTATGCTATCAATGAAAAATTTTTCTTTGACTGTCTAGTTGCAATTATTTATTGTACAGTATCGCGATAAAAATAATGTATAAATATTAAATGCCGAATTACACAGTTCATTAACTGAGGTATCAGATTATTGAGCAGTTAGTTTTTTTTTACTGTTCGGTTTGAAATATTTGAATAGGTATCTTTATATTGTCACAAGGAAATACACTTAAAAACACTTTAAAATTCCAAAATCTTATTGAAAATGGCAGATTCCGAAGGTATAAATTTGTATAGTAAATAAATGCATAAATAACTAATTTATACATAAAAATAAAATAAATAAATAAATAAATGCGTCGCCTGGAGTATTATGATAAGTGATATTATACGACCGGTTTCGAATTAAAAATTCATTATCAGGTATATCACAGTCACAGTCAGATTTGAGTGGCGTTTTACATTTTGACTGTGATATAGCTGATGATGAGTTTTTAATTCGAAACCGGTCGTATAATATCGCTTATCATAATACTCCAGGCGACGTATTGATTCATTTATTTATATTATTTTAATATATAAGCAATTTACTTATATATTTATTTACTTTATTTATTTACGAGTATTAACCATTTTAATAATTTTGTTTTTACTCTATTATTTTGTTATTATATACATTTTATTTTACCATTTGTAAAGATTTATTCTTAAATTTAATATTAATTGAAATAGTTTCCATTGGAAGATGTGTACCATCCAAAACATTTCCGAAACAATTTTTACTCGGGACAGCAACCTCGGCTTACCAAGTTGAAGGAGCTTGGAATGATGACGGTGAGTTTAAGCTGTTTATATTAGTATCTAACCTATCTAATGTTAAGTCGAAATTTAAAGAATATTATATAAAACAGATGTCCTAGGATAATGGGGATGGGTGCAGCCACTGTTATAAATAATTTAATGTATACTTGTAAGCAACGATAAACCATTGTTTACGAACAAATAATTTTGAGTGGAGTTCAGTTGATAATGATGCTTTGTCAACAATATATACATGCCATTTTATAGTAAAATAATTAAATAGACTTTATATATTTTCTTTAATAATATTTATTTAATGTTGTACCGATTTTCCCAATTTTCTTACGTTTTCTCGGTTTTTCACATTTGCAGGAAAAACTGAGAAAATGGAAAAATTACCTCTCTAAAGTACCTCCCTTGTGAAAATTTTTTTTAGAAACATTGCTATTATTAAAATTTGGAGCAAAATTGCTGGTTGAAATGTTGTGCGCAGGAAAAAAGTAATATTTTAGTAATATATTTCGTACATTTTCCCTTTTTCTTTCGGTTTTTCAAATTTTATGAGAAAACTTGAAAAAATCGAAATATTACCTCCATTCGCTCTACTCAGAATCTAAAATTGTATTCCTAGAAACCGACATTAATAATGGTAAAAACTTAAAATGGTATATGTATGCATACAATTTATAGTTCTAAATAAAGATATATTAGGTATTTTAAAATTAAAATAAAATGTATCCATGATGATCCATGATATCTTAATTTTATCACGATAACACAATAAAACCATTTTCAGGTAAATTACCATCAATGTGGGACGAATATTTTCATAATACTGGTGAAAATAAGATGCACAAGTACTACTTAGATATGCAAATTCCTCTCATTGAAGAATATAAGGCTCGTGGTGTTCACCCGAGATTAGTCGATGAATATAAAGGAATGGCTGTATACGAAGTTCCGTCGTCCAAAGTTATCGACCCTGAATATTTTAATTTCAACGGAGATATCACTGCGGACACGTATCATAAAATTGACACGGACGTTAAACTTCTTAAAGAATTAGGCGTCAGTGTTCGAAAGAGTTAAAATAACCGTTTTAACAAAAAACTATTTATTTAATATTTATATTTTAGGTTCAAGCGTACCGATTTTCTATCAGCATCATGAGAATAATACCGAAAATACATGACCATATACCAGAACAAAAGGGAATAGATTACTACAATAAATTAATTGACAAACTAATCGAAAATAATATAACACCGATGGTAAATATATAATTTAAATTAAATTCTCAACAACCAACACTATCAAACTGTACTTTATTTGTATTCATTTCCAAAAAATGTTAATTGTTTTTAATTATCTACGAGTCCATTATAATGTAAAATACAAAACAACAAACTTACACACTCGTAGGTGTACGCATGGGAGGGGGGTGCTGGGCGAGCTTGGGAGCCTTCTGACATTATGTAATTGGAGCCCTTAAATTTAAGACGGGGTCCCGTATTTTATCTGATGTCATTAAACAAAACATTACATTTATTACTTTCTAAAATATGTGATGAAAAAAATCACGTTCTACGTTATTATTTATAAAAAAAATTTCTCAACAATTTAACTGACAAAATTATTCCTTAAGGAACCACTAACAAATCTGTTGTTTTGAATGACTTAAAAATATTTAACATTTTATCCGTTACTCAAAACGTTCATATGAAACCGTCTTTTCAAAATTTTATATTAATAAAAATGATCTTAAGAAGTATAATTTCTTAAGCTCGTTTAGACTGTTTAGAGTAATTATTTCTTCTATTTTATGGACAAGTTATTTCTTTCAATGAAGATTCAGGCTCGATAATTTCGTTGGTACCCCTTGAAATTCAAGTTTTAACATAGAATTATATTGTATAATATTATATCGGTAGTCAGTGGCGTAATTGAGAATATTTTAAGGGAAAATCGAAATAAATGTTCATGGTAATCTCGAAGGAGGTTCGCCTCACACAACTCTTCCCCCTTACCAAAATTTAATAACTCATCAGCAGGAATCGAAAGTTTTACTAATAAATGGCACGTCTGTGTTTTTAAAATCGCAACGTTATAATCTCGTTCAAACGCGTAGTATGTAAAGCTCAAAGTGAAATATATCAATTATCTTGACATAAACTACATAAAATATTGCTTAACTAATTTAATAATAAACTATAAATATTTTATTATCCACCAATACAATTAAACATTTATAATTTTAGATTCTGAGTGGAGCGAAGAAGTTTAAGGTTTTACAAAGATGTTTATTTTTTTTTTTCTGTAAACAACTTTTCTACCAAAGGACTTGCTCGAATTTTTACTTGTAGCATCTTTTCTGAAAGGAAATCGGAGTGGGTATGTACCTTAAAAAGGTAATTTTTCGTTTTTCTCAAGAGTTTTCTCATCAAATTTGAAAAATCAAAAAGAAATGGGGAAATATAAAAAATGTAGGTATTGGTTAAAATATATTACGGCCTTTTTATTTTTCTGTGCACAACTTTTCTACCAGCAATTTTTCTCCAAATTTCAATGATAGTAATGTTTCAGGATATAGTGGCAGGTTTTAATTTTTGAGGAGGACTTATTTTGTGTGGTTTTGGAGTTAATGCGGTCCATCTTTTTGTGTCACTTGCAAAGACGGCTGGTATGTATTCATTGCAGTCTATTTGCGTGCCAAAGTTTTTGAAGTATGTGATTTTTCGGTGTCATGTAGAGTACGTCTTATTGTTGACGGAAACAGGTAGTTCATTAAAACATCTATCTTGGAAATTTAAATTGACATTTATAGGAACACATTTTTGGAGGTAAATTATTTCTCCCGTTTTTATAGCTGTGTATCCTGGTCCTTCTTCTATTATATATGCAAACTCACTTAAAGAGTATGATGCGAGAGAAAGCTTTTGAAGTAATAATTGTTTCTCAAATTCACATTGCTTATGTACTTCTAAATTGTATAAAATAACAATACACTATTATATTAAGGCTCATAGGGCTCATATATCTCCTATATATCACCCCAATAATAACGCCCCTGTAGGTATGTATATGGCAAACATGAGTAATATTCCGAATAAAATATTCAGAATAATTGAAAAGTTTAACTTAAAAAATACTTAAAAAGTGTTATGAATATATTAAAAACTAAATTTTTTCAGAAGCATTAAATACCGTATACATACTCCTTATAAATATAATGATTATTTTATTTTTAAAAAAAAAAACAATGAAAATAAATTTTAATAAAAAAACAGTTTACCTCCTAGAATTTTTTTTTTTTTTATATTGTATTCCTAAAAATAATATTTATATGTATTTAAATAATTCATTTCACTGAATAATTAGCAGATGTATACATGTATACATAATAGATATAAGTTGCCAGATGTACGGTATGGATCGTATTTGTACGATATTTGACATAGTGTACGGTGTACTATCCAGATATTAATACCGTACACAAAATACGGTAACTAGCTGTGAGCAGACAGATAGTTTTTTTTTTTTATTATTAAAGGCTTTTCTTACAAACATATAATCGGTGTTTATTTATCGTTCAAAATTTCAAAATTGATAGTGTGTGGTGTTAATATCACGATTTAAAATATACTGTACATTATTTTAAATTCGTGGTTAGTATGCGATCGAGCCGCGTTACCGAAATCTTATTATAACGAATTCTTATAATTTTTTGGACAACTGCTTATTTTCTATTTCTGTAGACAATGTACTATTAGTTTAATATTCAATGTTGTACATGAGTGGAAAGATATCTGAAATAAGCAGTGTATTTAGGGCAGCAATTTCGGTTGAGCACTTAAGATTTTTTTTTTTTTGGGGGGGGGGAATTCCCCTCAACATTTTTTCCTGCTTATTAGTATAAAAGATATGTTTTGATGAAAAAATAGTATGTACGATCTTTGAATAGTAAAAACGAACTTTTTGAAAAGATCGTACGGTTTTCAGAGTTACAAAATCTGTCAGCACTCACATAACTAATATTACATTATTATTATCAGGGAACATTATTCTATTATGACGCATCATCGTCAATTAACGTTTTTGGCGGATTATTACACCCTCATATTGGAACTTTATTCGAAGGATATGTTAGATTGTGTTTTGAAAAATTTGGAGATCGAGTAATTCATTGAATTTCTATAGTATGAGTATCCTTATTAAGCAAATAATTAACAATAAATAAATATTCTTTAAGGTAAAATATTGGACAACGACTCCAGATCTACATTTAGCGGCAGAAGGATACGGTTCCGAGCATCATGTACCAGGATTTCAGGAACACCAATTCAGTGGATTTCTTGATTACATAGCAATAAAAAATCTGTTGATTGCCTCAGCCAAAGCTTATAGAATTTACAATAATGAATTTAAGGGAAAACAACAAGGTAGTAATCATTTACATTAACAAATTAAAATTTAATTATCGCCTATCACTCTATTGTTAAATTTTTCAATTTACAAGAACAATTATTAATATAATATGTTAATATACAATTTAGGTGAAATAAGCATTGGCATAAATGGAACGTGGTATTACCCCAAAGACCCGAATAATCCGGAACATCGAAAAATCGCTAAACTCGCTCACCTGTCTACTGTAAATCACTTAGTGTCGTTATCACTAACATAAACCTTGATTTTTAAATGGATTTTCAAAATAATCAACTAATCGTAGTCAGTTTTCAGCATAAAGCCAATTTAAATATCAGATAAAAAAAGCGTTTATATCGGTGATAACGGCCTTAAAATATTTAAATTTTAATTCTTTAACCTTATTTTTATTATTCGATTATTCCTTTCAGTTTGGTATGATTATGAATCTTTTGGCCTACGGCGAGTATCCGGCAGAAGTTGTAGAAGCTGTTGAACGTAATAGTAAAGCTGAAGGATTTAAAACGGGTCGTCTGCCAGAATTTACAGAAGAAGAAAAAGCACTCGTTATAGGTAAATTATGATTTGAATAACTAAACAATAATTATGGCAGTTGCTTCATATTAAATTAATGAAAAAAAGTTTTATCCATATTTAAAAAAACGAACATATAATATATTTTTCCACAGGGTCATTTGATTTTATTGTACTTGATTACTACAGCTGTATAAAAGTGCGACCACTAACCAGTGAAGAACTTAAAAATGAACCGAATCATAAACGAAAAGATCGAGGATATTTCATGGAGTTCGATGACATATCTCCAGTCGAAGTATCTACTCTTAATAATAATAATTATAATATTTTTTTATTACGAAAATCAATTCCAATAACACATTTTTTTAATCATATAAATATAAAAACATACATTATCAGTAATTTAATTATACAATAAAATTATAATAATAATTTAAAAAGGAATGGGGCAAATAGGTATCAATATCATACGATATACCGAAATTTATAAAAAAAAAAACCAAGTAAAATAAAACGAGATATTAATTTTTTTCCATTTAGTTTTTATGTATCCTCATGATAGCCGCCATAAAAGTATTTAGAGATTCCCTGAAAAAAATTTATATTTCTTACTGAGTTATCTGCAGACATGAAAATATTGGTTGGAAAATTTTGCATATAATTTGTAGTTGAATGTTTTGTGTAAAATAAATTTAGAGATCAACAGTTTATTGGATTAATTTTGAAATTTATATTTTGTAGTAATTCAGGACACTCTATCATATGATTTAGTAATTTGTACAAATATTTTAATTTAATTTGCATGAAATGCTGTTCTAGTGACTGTATATTAAAACAATGGATCATAACATTATTATCAGAATGAGGGGTTCTATATACAAAACACTGATAACATAAAAATCTAATAAAATTATTTCGAATTTTGTTTAAATCTTAGATAGATCGTGGACTGTAGAAACTCTTAATAAATTTGTATTGCTCAAAGAATAATTAAATTGTAATCCCTTCAAGGAAAAATGAATATGGGAACATTTTTTTTAAATTTAAATGCATAGCATTTTGTTTGCACCATTTATATATATTATTTAAACCTAATTGTTGTTCAATAGTATCATTTAAGCAACTAATATTTTTGAATATATTTGCATTGTCGGCTAATAATAGAATTTAAGAACAAGAAATAACTTCGGATTTATCATTTATAAAAACACAAAATAATACATATATATATAGGAGACAAATGATTTCTTTGGGGAACGTTAGAAGTAACAAAAATTTGTTCGGAGAGATAATTTTTGTATTTTACAGTTTGGGTATGACTAGAAATAAAAGAGTAAAACCAAGAGAGAAGTGGTTCAGTGAATTCATATATTTTAAGTTTATTAACTAATAATTTATAATTAATTCTATTAAAGACTTTTTCCATATCGGTATAAATGACATCAGTTTATGAATGATTTATAAATGAATTTAAAATATCTTGTTTAAATATACATACATTTGTACAATAGTAGATCTGTTTTGCCTAGAGCCATGTTGGCTATTTGATAATAATTTATTACATAAAGGAGTAATAATATTTTTGATTAGTTTTGAGAATAATTTAGGTATTATCGACAATTTAGAAATAGGACAGTAATTGTTTATTAGACATTTGTTGCCTTTTTTGAAAATCGGGATTATAAATGAGGATTTCCATTATTCAGGGAAAATACCGGACAACAATGGTTGGTTGAATAAAGAAGTAATAGTTGGAGTGAGAATGAATGCACACTTTTTTAAAAAAATTGGGGAAATATCATTAGGGCGCCAATCGCAGCTATATAACTGCTGTTGTCCAAAGTTCATTGAAAATATCTGTTTGTTCCAATTCAATTTTATTAGTGTCTCCGACGTTGTTTTCTTTTAAATTAACCCGCGAGCAAATTATATCATCTGAGATATGTGTATTAGAAAAATATTCTTTAAGTAAGTTAATAATATCGTTACTATTGTAAACCTCTTTGTTTAGGTATGACATAATATGACAATAATTTGTGACTATTTTTATTATTTTCGTTTACAAATTTTCAAAAAAATTTAGGATTATTTTTAACTGCCTTTTATGAGTTTTTTTATATCTAAAACATATAACCTCGATGTCTTAAGTCTTTACATTTTGCACGTATACTACAAAAATTCAGATAATTTGTTATGTAGTTAGGGTGGTTATAAATATTATGAGCTACTATTTTTTTTTTTTTGTATATGGGGTTTTAGTTACTTACTAAACCATTTGGGACAATAGGATTCACGAATTTAAATTTTAGGAATAAACATGAAATAACTCCAACCGAAGTACCTACTATTGTTACATAATATATCATTATATTTACCCAATAAATATAAATCGAAGAGTGATAATACAATTTGATTAAGGTTTATGATGGCTTCTTGAATTGCTTAAAATATACGAACGAAGTATTAAATAAACCGAAAATTTTCATCGGCGGAAACGGATATCCAGAAGATGAAGGAGTTGATAAGAGCGCTCAAAAAATAGCTTATCATACAGTAAGTAAAGTGTAGAACGTTTATGAATAATATTATATAATGTCTAATATATTTCAAATGATTTAAAGATTCGTAATGTATTAAAATATGTTTTATTTCCTTAGGGAATTTTGAATAAACTTCTAGAAGCTCTAGATCAAAACATCAACGTTTTTGGGTACTGTGTCTGGTCGTTCTTAGATACCCTAGAATTCACATTTGGTTATAGGTAATTTGACACTGATTTTTATTTTTAGATTTCAAGCGTAGCAAAGGGAACTATTAGTATTATTAAGATGTTTTTTTTTTCGTTGTTCTAGTCTGTGGACACGCTTTTTCCTAGTAAATTTGCTCTGATTTTTACGTATGGTAACTTTTCTGAAACCTCAAGTTATCTAGATTGTACTTTCAAGAAATCAGTTTATGATTTTCTACGTTATTTTTCAAATAAAAAAATATAAGAGGGAAAAATGTCTGAATTTATTATTTTATAAAAACACGGACGATGTTTTCTATCAGAAAAAATGATTTAATCGTAAAATTTCCAAAATCATCGGACGACTTTTTTTCCTTTTTTAAATTTTTTTACAATGGTACTTTATTTTATATATATATATATACTATAGACCTTTCTTAGAAAACTTGCTCTGATGTAAAGCATCTTTACTAAAAATCAATTTTATCTACTTGGTAAAAACATAGGTCGTTTTTTGATTTTCGAATTAATTTCCATAATAATCGGGAAAAAAAAACGTAGGAAAGTAAAGTTAAAAAAAATTGTGGCACTTTAAATTATGTATTACCGAACTACGCTCGTAATCGTCTTTTGTCAGCAATGGTTTATCTTTGCAGATATAAATGAAATAACCTTATGTATTCTACCTTCCCAACTTCTCACCTATAACAGTGGCTACTGTCATCCCCAGTATCAGCTTTTTTTTGAATTGTTTTGAAGATAATATATGATATTTTTTGTATTCAGGTAATTATGTAATCTAATTTATTTGTGTTATAGGAAGAAATTTGGAATTTATTCTGTAGACTTCGACGATGAATTGCGACCAAGATCCAAGAAAAATAGTTTTTCGTTTTTCCAACAGCTATTTAAGACGAATAAATTATAAATCATGATTTAAATTTAACCAAAAAGAATGTAGTTGGAATATTAAAAATCTGTAGCTTAACTTTTAATGGAATTTAGTAAAAATAATTTGTATTAAAAATATAAATATCCCTTAACTAAAATTATTCATAATCGTAATTAATTTCTTCAACCTATTCCCATGTATTTATTAGTGGAACGACAATTTCATACTTTATGCTAACTTATAATAATCTAATGTGGTGTTTTCGATACAAAAGAAATTAGAAAATGTAATTTATTTAAAATAACGTAGGTTAAGTTAATGATTAGCGAAAAATGTACAATTTACTTCGGAAGTGTAGACAAATTATAACAATAATAATTATATTGAATTTTAGATGATACGAATAACTTTTAATTCGAATATCTCCCAGAAGTCAAAATACATACTATACATACACGATATGTTAATTTAAAATGACTTTATTTTAAATATGCTAAGATGTATCAATTAATTGGATACAAAATTATGATTGTTTTGTAGAGAAGATATTCATTTTTTACTCTTTACGAGAATAATAAACAATAACGGATAACAATTAAACGAATGCATATTAATAGTTATAATGATAAACAATTTTTTTTAAGTTAAAAGTGTAACCTTGAAATCACTTTTTTTCTGAAAAGGCAACTACTAGTTTTCTGTTCAAATTTAAAATCTCTACAAATATTTATAACTGAATTACAACAAATAACGACATTTAAAAATAATAAAAGCATTATTTTCGTAAATTGTTCGTTTTTCTTACGTTTTATCCTGGTTTTTCTTAGATATTATGAAAACATCTTGGAAAATAAAAAAATGACCTCCTACAAGTACCATCTGGACAACATTCCCTTTGAAAAATGGTGCCGCGGGTACATATCGGAATAAGATTTCTGGTAGAATTTTTGTACGAGGTATAAAAAATAAATATAAATAAATATCTTTGTAAAACCATGAGCTTTTTTGAACCACTCAGAATCTAAAACAAGACGAATATATTTCGCACGTGGGTGCAGCAACTGTTGTAGATTGGAGATTGGGAAGGTAGAATATAGTTGGGAATTTAATGTATATATGTAAGCAACAATAAACCATTGCAACAAAAAAAATGATTCTGAACGGAGTTAAGTTGATAGTGATAGTATATTTAGTATAGAGTAATGATATGAAATATAATATAAAGATGAATAGTTAAAAAAATGTATGGAAATCGAAATTTATTTTATTTTAATATAACTCGGTCTATAGTATTGTTTTTTCAACAATGTGCATTTCCATGGTAACAATGATTGTTTAGATAATGTAATAATAATAAATTTGTTAATAATGTAAAATAATGATTAGTAAAAAAGCCTGTAATTATTATTTCAGAGACTTATTCTGAATACTTGCAGTTTTACTTACAAAAAACTGAAATTCAATTGTTATTCATTTTTTTTTTACATTAGGGTGTGCCGGCACACCCCGTAGTTCCTCCTATGGCTTCTACAAATGACTAATAAATAATTTAGACATTACCCTGAGGCAAGTATCGTCCAGCATCATATCATAATAAAATTTTGATTTCCCTCACTACCATGATCAATTTTATAATCGTACAGTCAGAGAAAAAAATATTTAGCCTCTTGGCACATGTAGTTCGGCCGTCGTAGTTTTTGATAACAGTTACGTAGTGTGTATACATCAAGGTCTATAGATAGTATTATTTATAAACCTTGTGTATACATGACAAAATAAATTTATTTTATCATGATAATAATGTATAATAACAAAAAACTTCTCTATTTTAAAATTTAAATATTATTGAATATAATATTTTTAAAGTCGATTGGATAAAACTATATAGTATACAGTATATACCTCCTTTTTTTTTACAATTGTTAGGTGGGACTGAGCCTCACTTCTTTCCCCTGACGAGCCGCCACTGTGGAACCTATCTGATAATAATTAATTATGTAAATGTTCATATTTACTTTTATAAAATAATACAATATTATAAATAATAAAATAATAAGGTTAAAACAAAATTATTAAATGGTTAGTATTCGTAAATTAAATACAAATAAATAAATAAATATGCAATATGAGCATTTGATAAATGTTATCGTCAACAAGATAAAATTTCGTTTTGACTACTGGTTTTTATTGATGGGTTTAATGAATTGCCTAGTAGCAGTAAATTTAACGAATATTTAAACATTAATAAATCGGAAACGAATTACTTAAATTAATTACTCTAAACTTCATAATTACGTTGTTTCAATATATTTATACGTTTTCGTTATCGAAAATAGGTGTTGCCATTTGAAAATCATAAGCTGATAGTGTTCTATCAAACAAGGATGACAGTTGAAATTTTCAAAATTTGACCATAGTGTAGAACAGGAAAAACTAGAATGTTTTAAAAAACAATTATTTTAAATTCCTAATACCCACACCAAGATATTCATGATAAAAAGATCACTCTGTATGAAAAATCAATTATACACTCAATAATAATATTGTTGTAAATTATAATATGTATGGCCGGATAGGAAATCATTATGTTTTAGTTTTATAATCACACGATATGTTATATTTATACCCAGGGCCGTTTTAAGCCTGGGGTGAACGGGACCCACGCTATGGGCCTTATGCACTTGAAAAATCCTAAGTTTTCTTCAAATACAACGATTTACATATAATACAAATATAGTTTGAGTTTTTATTTGACAATATTAAAAACGTAAACAAGTACGTACTTCTTACTTGTACAGTATACCAGGTTTAAGTGGATGCATTCATTATCTCGGAAAGTATTAACTTTTTTTGGAATTTATTTTTTAGAACATTTAATACGCAAGCTGCTTTACAATTTTATATTTATGTAATTTGTTTTCACTTTTATTTTTGGGGGTAAAACCACTGCCTATTTTGTATTTTCAAGTGATATGTACACAATAGAATAGTTAAAATAAATTTTTGTGTTGAAATTTTTGATTTCCGTCGATCCGTTGATGAGAAATGCCACTTTTAAGTTTAGCTTGGAGGAGAGTAGTGGAGTCTTATTCGTGTGGCGGTACGGTGCGCAGCATGTTAAAAATGCACCACTATACTCTACTTTAATATTAACTTAAAAGAGGAACATCTCGTCAACGGCTCGACAGAAATTAAAAATGTGAACACTAAAATAAATGTAGAAATAATATATATACTATATTAATTTATAATAAATAAACTAATATTCCATCTATTTATGGAATTTGTATTACAGGTTGCCATTTTAAAATCAAAAGTAATTTTTGGTTTTACCTCCAAAAATAAGGGTAACAAAAAATAACATGAATATAAAATAGCAAAGCTGCTTATTTCTAAAATGTTTTAGAAAACAAATCTAGAAAAAAGTTAATACTTTCCGAGATAATGAATATACTGTACCCACTTAAATGGATTATCGATACACTATGATCACAGTGATAATTAAGATGCTTTAATTTAAATGCTTTAAAAATAAGAAAAATTTTTTTAAAAAAATACAATTTAATGCACTTAAATAAAAAAAAAAATGGAGCTTTATAAAATAAAACCAAACCGTAGGAAAACGGGGCAATTTACGAAATTTATTATTTTCAATTTTGTTTTTTGTTGTGATTCAATTTAAAATATTCGTAGAGACTAAAAATTTTAACAGGAAACTTTTTCTAGCTTTTTCTAGACGTAGTAAATTTTTCAAAAAATGTTAACCATTTACAGCTATTTATAGATATTTTAATTTTGCGAGTTTTTTACCTAATTTTTGTTCGGTATGTACTTTGTGGATAAAATTGTTATACCCAAGAGATATGGTTTACAATTTAACTTGAGGTTCATTATAAGTTATACATTGTAGTTGAAAAAAAAAAATGAGTGGAATGTAGAATTTTTTTTTCGTAAGAATTTTAATATCAAATTTTGACGAAAATCGTAAATATTACGGCCTTTTAAAATATTTATAACCGAAATCCGATCAGTATCGCTTTTCGTTTGCAATGATTAACGTTGCGTACAGATATACATTAAATTCCGTTCTATATCCTACTTTCCCAACTTCTACTTACAATAGTGGCCCATCCATTGTGCGAAGTATATCATTTTTTTTTTTTTTTATTGTTTATTTTTAAATGTAAAATTGTATAAACATATCACGCACTCAAACGTCTTTATAATAATATAATATTACTCATCATATAAATACAAAATCTTAAATTTAAATATAACATTCTAAACATTTTATAGTATTACTGTACACAGTATACACACATTATTTTATTCAGTACAAACATTATTGATACATAGGTATAGGTACACATAATATTATATTATTACTTTATACTTATAGTATCGGTTTTAAATCACGATATTCCTATCTAGAGTATTTATTATTCATTTTTTACGAAACGCACCCTGTTTTTTTTATGTACAATATAATATTATTATGTATTATTAGACCAAAATTTCACAACAGAAAAAAAAATACGCTTATATTACACATTATATAATTATTATAACAATATTAAAAGTGACCGGAAGCGTGTGTTTCTGATATCTATAAGATAATTTATGAAAATAAAGGCCTATACGAGGGAATTCAACGATGTCCACTGCAAATTTTCGATTCATTAAAACTATTAACGTAGATTGTTTTAGTCGGGGAAATCGGCCGTGCATAATATTAAACAAAAAGTATAATATATTTATATAAATAAAAGCAATACAATGTATAAACAATTGTATAATTAAAAATTAAACTGCGAATAAAAATAATGTGGTCCACGGTAGTATTTCGATTTATTCTGTCTCAATAATTTATCATCAAGAAGACGAGACATTATCATGGGCTGTTTCCGTGTTAAAAACATATCTACGGCGCACGGCGTAGGAAATTTACAAAGTTAACGTTTAACAGTGACGATTTTGTGTTTTATTTCTCTATATGTAATATTGGACTGAATTGGTTATAATCAAACATACATTATCTGAACAACTGTCGTCAATTTTTTTTTCACTTTATTCGTTTTTTTGAGAGGGAATAGGTACTTATATGATTATGTGAAACATCACAATTTCAAAAATACTTATCTTACTTAAAGATTTAAATATCAAAAAAGAACTCGGCTTACACACAGATAATGTAAATTTAAATACGATAATAAGTAGATTCGCTCTAATTTTAAAACTTGCAGCGAAATTCTGTCCTTGCCGAGTGTAAATTTGTTGTACCGTACATTTGTAAGACGCGGAGTTAGCACACGTGTGTAAAATATGTTTACAATAATAATATAATCTATACGTTTAATACAGCTGTATGAAATATATTATATTTATTCCACATTTTTAAGATAAAAATTACACGTGTCGAATTTATAAATATAACTTAGAAAAACATTGTATGTGTCCTGTTATTATAAGAGTATATCTGTAATACAAGCGCCTACATATTATTAATAATTCGAATTTTGATTCTATTCGAGCCATTAATAATATTCTTATATTATTTATCAGACCTTTTAAATAGTGATAGTATCTATCATAATAATTGACATTTTACTTTGTTGCGATCATGACTAAATAAACAGGCATGATCGCTTATCCTCAGACTCCGTTATGGCAGAAACAATAAAGATATCACCTATACTCAATATAATGAGTGTTATTACTTATTATCATAAACAGTTTTTCATCCAAGTCTGGGCAATGATTTTTATATCTATACTCTGCCTCACGAAAGAGCATGCCGGATCTGCGCATCGTTCGACGACCGGGCCGGGTCGGCCATTGCATCCACTCCATGCATTTAAATTTAGCCGCCGACGACGGTGGCTATGCGCAGAGCCGACCAATTTTCGTTATCGCGCGGCATGCTCTCTCGTGGTAGAAAGTATAGTGATCATACCTGTTTATTTAGTCATGAATACTATTATAGTTAAAATTGAAATGGTTTTGATACGAACAAGGGATTATTTTAGTTTTAAATTTTCTTATAATACAGCATAAATTTGTATTTAATGCGCAAAATGTCTTTTTAATAAATTAATTTTTGTATAGACCGTCTTTACTATTATTATTAAATGAAACACTATAATTTGTAATATAAATTTATTATACCTATACCTATATATATATATATATATATATTAAAAATATACCCATATGTGACTTTCTACCAGTATTTTTTTTACAGAAACACTTTAAATGCAATGTTTTATGCAACATATTTCTACATGTTTTGTAAATGTTTCTTTTTCGGTCACTGCAAAAATAATTATAAAATAATAATAACAATAATAATAATAATAATAATAATAATAATAATAATAATAGTCTTTAAAAATACTACACAAACTGTATTTCAAACCGGAAATGATGATATCAAATGAAGGGTTTAGTTCAAAATCCAGAAAGCCCGATTGTTCAAAATTATTTATTCAATTATTTATAAGTACCAATACTAGATGAAACTTTAATCAGAAAAAATAGATACATCTTTTACTTGTATTTTAAGTATTATGAATTGAAAAAAAAGAGTGATTTAAGTACACCAATGAGCTATTCAATGCTGCCAAGGACAAGCACCATGGAGCCATGATAATGTCTAACGTTTGATAGAAAAGGAATATGAGGAAGAAGAAATGAAAAACAAATTATTTTTGACAAATGGAGCTTTCTGGTTATTGCAAAACCCTTTCAATTGTTTGTTGATTTTTAAGAAATGAACTGTTCAAACGTTAAAATAACATAATTACGGAATATTGTACTAAAAATATAAATGGAAAATGACAGGTATTTCAAAAAAAAATAACATATACAAATATGTAATTCAACTTTCAGTGTTTTTTTTTTCATTTTTTTCATAAAAACGAGAACGTATTCGACTATTATAGTTAGATAACCGATAATTTTGGTTTCTATAATATATAAAATATTACACCTATTTGTGTTCGTGTTCGTTTGATAAGTTGTGTAAACTTCATATTATAAGAAATGCGCAGTACGACTTAACCCCTCTCATAGTTTTCGAATACACAGAATACATGTTATACGTACATACAAGATGTAAATATGTAATACATTGTTATACATATGCTTGTAACTCTCTTAATAGTCATTTTCATGTCTAAATCACAGAAAAAATTTACTTTTTATTTAATTTAAATTAAAAATTTTAATTGGCCATACGTTTATACCAGATCAATAGTTTCTGAGTAATAGCCGTTTTAATAGCTAGAGAAAGAAGTAAATAACGAGACTACCACGTTATGCGACAGCGATAATTCAAAATAAAAAATGTTGAAATTAAAACGGCTACTACTAAGAAACCATTGATCGGATATAAATGCATGATACTTTCAAATATTTAGAACAATATTTTTTAAAAATTTGAAAAAAATTTTTTTTTTGTTTGGGATGAAAAATCCCTTAAAAATCCCTGTGTCCTCCTGACATAAAACCCGATTTTAAAAATAAATTGATATTAATAAAATTATTAGCATACGAATAACATAGTAGGACACCATCTATGTATAACATGTTATAAATTATATAATAATAATTACTAAAAAAAAAAAAATAATAATAATAAAAGAAAAATATATATTGTATAAACTATAAGCGGACATCGTTGCGGAAAGGACCGTCAGGTCGGATAAAGTGTCCTGGTCGTCAAAAAACTAAAAAAAACACCTAACTGTTTGCGGACGTGTACATAATTATTAATATATATAGAGTGATTATTTGATCATAATAATATATGAACCGGTGAGGATTTTGAGTACACAGTTTGAATTTGGAAATGGCCGAAGAAAAATAAACCAAAAATCAAATTAGCTCAAAATATTCGTCGGCTTATAATATGTATACCACGATTAAAGAACCACCCAGTATGTGGTAAACCGTATCTATAAATTTGTTAACTAATATCACATTATTGTATAGGGTCACGGACATAAAATTAACTACATGGATTTTGTTTAAAACCCAAAGTAGGTATACAATATAATAATAATTATAAATTATAATACTATAATAATAATGAATAACGTCTAATAAGATCACAATAATTTTTCGGTAGTGGAATATTAATAATATGATAGATGAGGCCCGGCGACGGCAGGCAATGGCGATCATTCTTCGTCACAGGAATGATTCGGGTCCGGGCAGTTCGCCGGGATTGATGAGAAACGGTTCCAGCTGGGCCATCATCAGGTCACTGGTGGACAACTGCTTGTCGTGTAGCTCGCTCCGGGGCCTGTAAGTCCGGGACCCGGACGTTGCCGTGTCCGATTGTTCGCTGCAGTAGTTGGTGCAGCTGTCCAGCGGTTGCATGTGGTGCATCTCTGAAAGTAAACCGACAATGACACAGTTTCCGATATAAGTTAGCCCCTTTAAGTTACGGCTTTCGTTGCACGGATCGACCGGTAAACGACGGTGGGGAAGTGAGGGATAATATTTTATGTCCCCTTCTTTAGGGATGCATTTTGGTTTTTATGCAATTTCCGTACTTACGCAGGTTAGGTTTATTCTATAAAACGAGAAATCTAGTCGAGCAATTCTGTGTATTTAGGTTCAGTAGCGCGCAAGAGAATAGAGGAATTAATTTGGAGGTGGATGTATAACTAATATAGAGTTAGGCGTGGGTGAATGAAGTGCAGTGGTGAAACCGGGATTTTGTGTGATAAAAACGCGCTATTAATAATAAAAGGGGCTTTTTTTTAAAACTACAATTTTAAGCAGTTCCAATGAAATTCTAAAAAAACAAAAAAACAAAACTGGTTTTTAAGTCGATTCATGATCGAGTTAGTGTTTTTGGTCGTTAAACTAAGTTTATATAGAGAAAAAAAGGGCCAAGGATTGATTTATGAGCAAAAGAAAAAAAAGAAATAATCTCCGATAATAAACAAATAAAATAGCTTACGGAAATAGTATAAATAAGAACTACTTTACAATTGTTTATTTGTTTGTAAAAATTAATTTTATCAATCTATATGAGTAGTTATAATAATATTGTAGGCAAGTGCAATCACCTTCGGGCCTATATAATTTCTGCTCATGCTTATCCCTCCCTAATTAGAATCTTAAATATGACACTGATGACCGTATACGTGTTATTTTAAGTTGTTTTAAGACATTTTGTGTAATGCGAGTTTCCTTATTTTTTTTGCTCGTGAAACACCGACGTTTAAAACAGCGTTGTGCCACGTGCTGTGACTATACGAGTATATACTCGCGTCTGAAATACTGGCCCTGCAGCGGCAGCGGAGTGAACAATAATTATTATTATTTTTGGTGACGTAAACTAATTTTTCAACACCCACCTACAATGTATATTCATTAAAAAAAAAAAAATAATAAATTTCAAAACACATTAAGAAAAATAAAATAAGATATTTTATTCGACGATATTCGTGTGACTTGTTCATTGTAAACTTGATAAGTTATGTTAATTATTATAAAATATTTTAAAATAAATTATCATAAATCAGTAATCGTGTGATAACGAGCATTAATTTTTATGCTCCTCTTTTAATGATGTTTTAATGACATTTTAATGGTGTAATAATTTAATACTCTTTTATGGGAATTTTGACTGATAAGTGTATATTAGTGATTGTTATATTACTATGATAATGACCATTGATTTTTATATCGAACAGATGTCGATTTCTCTACCATTTTCATTGGAGACGAAGCTGCGTAAAAATTTTCCTATATACTCACGTCCACCACCGCCACTGGCCATGAGATATTTCGATTGGATTTCGTGATTGCTTGTGGTCGTGTGGTGCAAATTTTGACAATTCAAATGGATTATCGAAAACATTAAATCATAATTATGAGATATTTCCAGTTCATTTTTACTTAAAGTTATATATTATTATGGTTACTTAAATAAATGATAATATTATTATACATGCAGCCGTGAAAAACGTTTGAGTAAAGCGTTCAAAATGTGCATTTTGTGTACACATTTTTTAATACTCTCAGCAAAATAACTGAAGATTACAAATAAAATACTCCATATCAAAAAGAGGGGAGGAGGGGTTTTTTAATCATATATTTCATACGTGAGTTCTAATATTATTGTGTGTCGATATTTATCGAATTTAAAATGCGACTATGAAATATAAATTAGGTATGCTTCCCCATCTTTATTATCAAATGAAATTAATAAAATATTCTTTTTTTCACTTAATATATTTTCATACGGCAGCATTATCAACAATAGAGCATAGGTATATCTGTATTTCTATTGGATTGACTACATTTTTGTATTTTATTTAGTACCTATAATTAAATAGGTGTTATTCAAAACGTCACATATAAGCATATCTGAAATTAAATTTAATATAGACGACTACAGTTTTTTGATTATATGTGTGTTTAGTAATTCAAGTAACAAAAACAATAATTACAAAATTTAAATTAGGTTTAGGTATGTATAAAAGTTACTAAAACCCCGTATTATTCATATGTGTTTTATTATATTTACTTAAAACAAAATTACTATTACTATATTAAATATAATAATTTAAAAAAAACGTAAATTGGTAACTTTTTAACAAATAAATTAAAATATTGACAAGATCGATTGACACTATATAAGTACACAAAGTAAAACGTAAATAATATAAATATTATACAGTAAATATACCTATGAGAATTGTGATTTAGGCAAGATATTATATTATTATTATATATGTATATATATATATATATATTTTTTTTTTTGAAAATATATATATAAGTAATATAATTTGGACGATTCATAGAAAACAAAATGTATGTTTGTATTTCACAAATTAAGTCCCTAAAAAAAGATTTTATTTTTTAAAAGATAGGTATCGTATACTTTTATTACATAATATAAATTATTTTTTATTATACTTAACCTTATCGACACTGCCATAATAATATTAATAAAATGACACAAATAATTGAAAAACGAATAGTAATTAAACTGTATATTAGATTACGTATCTACTACCTACCATTGAGTGTATATAATCAATGCTACTATGCATATTATTAGAAAACTTTATATAATATATAAAATACCGAAATCGTCGAAAATTATAACTGAATAGGAACCTACATATAGTTATTGTTATTATCATCAATGCGTGCGTATATGAATAGCTACTAAAAAAAAAAAAAACTAAAAAATCCCCTCATTAAGAGTGTGAGTATATTATCGGTAAGCAACCATGATGGTTTATAAAAAAAAATATTTATATATGTATGATATAAGACAACAGTAATTAAAAACAAAACAATTCACAATATCGCTCATCATGTAACGTAATTAAAAGGCACGTTAAAAAGCTGTATAAAGAGGTTAATTTTTTTCTTTTTCTCTAAAAAGGAATCGTCAATTTTACCAGTATGAGCCCGAAGCGAGATGAGCTTTTTCAGATCGTGCGCACTGCAAAGCGGCGTGTCTACTACGTAAGTGTTATTGAATAAACTATAATCCACTTCGTGTTCGCCCGTTTCTTTTTTGAACGAGACCAGTGTCTCGAACCTATGTCCCCAGAGTATTTCGTTGGGCAAATACGACGACCTGGCCTGCGTTGTCATTCCCGTCGATTCAATTACACCTGTAAACAGAATTGTGATTTTCATCGTGTTGTAAAACCAGCGATCAAAACAAAATCGTTATCCTACGTTATTATTGATACGTGTTTCAAAAACAAACAGTATCTGTTAAAATTAATTACAAAAGAGAATTTCATTCAAGGGAAGAACCGCTTACTTTCGGTATCTTTGATATCAGGAGAGAAAGGCTTAAGTTAATTTTTGCCTTTTATTAATTTTATATCATTTTGTCTAATGTAATTGTATTCTTTTATTTGTTAGTCTAAATTACATAAGTGTATGTATATTAATTATTAGTGTATTTATTTATGTACACATGTATGCATTTAAAAAAAATTAATTTGCTTGTATTGAACACAACATTGACTTAAGGCTCTCTTTCTTGTGACCAAATATATAAATAACAGACCAGGTATACTTATAAGAACAATTAGGTGGTTTGTACTTTCTATACTGAAAAGAAAAGTGGGAGCCAAAAGCGAGCAACATATATAACTAGTCATTGAACATTTTAAACCGAACTTGTTATACAGTCTACAATTTACAAAGAAATACAGTCTTGTACTCGTATTCATAATCTCAAAAATATTAGATCATATAGTTACCTTCTAGGACGACGACGATTTCAAATTTTTCTTGCAAGAAATCGGCCGCTGAAAGCATGTATAACGGTGACTCCGGAGTGATTTTATGCACGATAGTCGTGGGCCATATAAAGAATATCCTGTCTTCTTCGCCATCCCCACCGACTTTTAGTTCCTGTTGATGGAACGGTAACAGCTCACCTTCTATTGTCATCTAAAAAATATTATAAATTTAACGTGGAAAGACATTTTTTTTTTTTCAGAGATTAAAACATTGACAATATATCTTTGATCTCAGGAAAGAAGAGCTTAAGCCAATTGCTGGCATATTTTTTAGTTTGGTGTAATTTAATTTTTTTCCTTCTTATTTTTAACTATATTAAATTAACTTAAACCAATTTTCCTGGCACCAAAGATATGCTCTATTATATATATACACGCTTCAAAAAGGAAAAACTTTCATATCATAAGTTTGTAAAGTTTTCTAAGACAAATTAAAAAATGTTTAGGTAGAACGCTACAATTTCCGAACTTAAATTAATTTCCTACATAATTTCGCTTTAAAAGTATGACTTTTTATTATTAATGAATAATTGTACTTTAATATGTATAATAATTAAAAGCAATTAAATTACACAATGAAGAACTGCAATCCCTTTTTCAACGACCGGAGATACTGAAAGAGATAAGAAAAAGAAGGCTAGTTTGGGCTGGACATGCCTGGAGGAAACATGACTCATTAATAAGAAGAGTAATAGAGGAAAACTCAGTAGGGAGGAGACCTCTTGGAGGACCGCGTCTAAGATGGGAGGATTGCGTTAGGAGAGACACTGAAACAGTGGAGCCGGAGTGTCATTGGCAGGAAGTAGCAGAGGATAGGGATAGGTGGCAGTATGTTTATCTAGAGGTATGGTCTTGAATGGCCGAAACCAAGAAAGAAGAAGAATTAAAAGCAATTAAAAAAAGAAATGGAAAATGTTGGAACCGCACAAAACGGCCGTCCTTTACAATAATAATTTTTAAATAATGCAATATTAAAAATCTAAGATGTCAGCACTTTTTCCGAAAAATTGTTTTTATAATACTTTTTTGTACAAGGTGATCTACTTAAGGGATACTCAATATCTCGGAAAGTATTTACTTTTTTCAAAAACATTTTTTTTTTTTTGACATTTTAAGAAACAAACAGTCCTAAAATATTACATTTATAAAAATTAGGTACATTATTTTTTTTCAACTCAATTTTTTGACAACTAAACGACTATCTACTTTTGATTTTAAAATGTAAACTTATATTACAAATTTCATAAACAAATAGAGTATTTGAAATGAATTTTGGTGATGAAATTTTTGATTTCCGTCAACCCGTCTAGGAGATATTCCAGGTTTTAAATATTTGAAGGTTTGGGTTGGAAGGGAGTAGTGGAGCACTATTAAAAGGCCACGTGTTGTACTGCTACACAAATTATATTTAATAATTATGTAGTATTTTTTTGTTTTAAAAGACCAGTAGTTATAAATAATTACCTAATTAAATATCATATGACCTAAAGTGACAATATTGATAATTAAGTATTGTACTTTGTGTCTAATTAATTATTTTTGTCCTATATTCATTAACTAATTAACTAATTAACTAATTTGACTAAAATCAAATTCAATCAGCTGTTATATCATAATTCCATTAACATCAGTATTTAATACTTAAAAATTTGGTTACCACACTTAATCCATTAATTTAAAAAAAGTCCATTCATTTGAAAAAAAAACGTAAACAAAATCACGAATTTGCCCCCACCCTTTAATTATTATAATTTCAATGTTTTAAAATAAACAATTATGTTTAAATTACGTACTACTTTAATATGTGTTTGTATTAGTGTTTATTTAACTAATGTTTAATGCAATTAAAATGTCTTCATTTAGTTGGTATTGTTACCTATTTATTATTACCTACTAAATTCAAGTTAGAATACTATGTATTAATATAATTTTTAAATTGTATTATATTTTTAAGTCTGGTGCTAATGTTGAGTTTGTTCTAATTTTTTGAATGTATGCTATGATCTTATTAACTCATATTTTACATTACTGTAAAACGAATATTTGGTATAACTGTTTCATTTTCAATTTTAAATATAATGACAATTAGTGATCTATGAAATTGTATAACAATAAATATTTTGCAACTGTTACCTCCAAATTTGTTTGATTATAGTAAAAGTAAAAAAAGTCTATTATTTTTTTATTATTTAACTATTAATTATTATAGTAAAAATGTCATCACCAAAATGTATTTAAACTAATACCTTATGGAATTTTTAATATAAGCTGATATTTTAAAACCAAAAGTAGGAAGTCGTTTCACTTCCAAAAATATGAATAACGCAAGTGTAACATTTTAGAGCTGCTTGTTACTTAAATTGTCAAAAAAAAACAACCCACTTAAACTCGTTTTAAAATAGCAAAAAAATTAACCAATTAGTTACCCAAAATCAATCGAAAAATAAAATTTAAATATACAAAGTTATTCGTTTTTGTAACCTTGTGAAAGTCGTATCTATAGAGTTTCTCATCGGCTTTGTATATTTCACCATTTTTGCTATAATATGATTTATATAATTTATTTAATTAGCTAAACCTATAACGAAAATATAATGCTCACTTTTTTCTTTATTAATTGTGCCCTGACATGCGCCTCAATAATATGCGATTTTCGCATGTCACCCACGCGGAACATGAGACACAAAATGCCGTCCCTCTGACAGATAACGGCGTTTCTGCTAAACAGAAGTGTTTGCGTCCGTTTTTTCGGCCTGGACAACTTGGCGAACACAACGCCCACCATAAATGCCTGGATCATGACGCCTACTATACTCTGCAGACACATAATGAATATTGCTTGAGGACATTCTTCGGTCGTGTGTTTGGAACCATAACCTGACATATAGTGCGTAAACAAGTCGTATTATATAATAATATACTGTATAATTAATATTATGGCGTTCGTGAGGCGAAAAAAGTTGAAAATACTAATCTGTCAACGATAGTTGAGTGTGAAAACATCATAAAGAATAGTCATGCTTCGAAAAGAACATTATTAGTTTACGAGCGGAATGGATCAACGTGTAGGTATTGGATTTATTGGATTTTTTTCCTGTCTGCAGGCCTGGATTGAACCGGTGTTCATTCTCAAGAAAATATCCGGTGAGTCATACAAAATTATATTTGTTTTTAATTTAATTTATATCAATTAAATTAATTTTTATAATTTTGGGTTCGTTGAAAATCAAAAACTTCATATGTAGAAGCTTTTTTTTATATACAACATTTTAGATTTACTCGGTGCAGTGAAGTGGTCATTGTTTTTTAATTTTTTAATTCCATGTACTTTTACTAAAAATAGGGAAACCCAGAGAAAAAACCTATGACTATAGCTATTTGAAGCATTTTTTTTATTCATTTATATTCGATTTATGTGCGTCAATTTTGACCAACACTCGTGAAAATAACCACGAAAACGTGTAAACTATTTCACGATTAAAATTTTTATAGCAAGAATTGTAGTTGAACTTAGTTCCACTCAGAATACTAACTTTTGAAAAAAAAGTATTACATTCAAGTATACATGAAAATCATATTTTCCGCATAGAACAATATTATTATCTACGGTCTAGCTACAGCTTATACGCGGTCTTACCTATTGTGTGCTGGGTCTCTACGCTGAACAAAAAACACGAAGTAAACGAGTACACTTCTCGGACACATGGTTCCCACGTCGAGTTGTTGTCCCTTACCGATAGATCCAGATCGCCATGATTCAGGGCTATGAGCCACCATACGACCGCAAAACCCAACCAGCTGAGCATAAAGTTCATTGCAAACACCAATAATGTCCATCGCCATTGAGCGTCGACGAGTGTCGTGAATATATCCTATAATAACGAGAAAAAATTGGTTTAATAATTTATAATTTATTGGAATTATAAGTTTTATTGGTTTCATAAAGTATTTTAATCAGCGGCCTATTTTCAAATTGTATACGATAGGGGAGGGAGGTGGTTAACATTTTTCTAAAAAATAAGTGATATTATAAAATTATAAAAAATGCATATAGAATATGAATTAGGTAATAATTATATTATTCTATTATTATTATAAATATAAATTAAGAGATATTTTTAATAAAATAAGTGAACGACTTTTTTTTTTTGCCAGTTCATCAATAATTTAATAAATTCCCATTTGAAAAACAAAATATATTCTTATTTAAAGTATATGAATTAAGAATATAAAATGGATTTTAAAATAAATCTTAAACGATTTTCTAAAGATTAAAGAAAAATAGAAACCAAATTCACTTAAAATCTTTCGAGATAATTATGAGTGTTATTATTACTAGTGTTCATGATAAAAAAGACGGACATACTTCGTTCGTGTGTGCAGCCACTGTTTTAGGAGGGAAATTAGGAAGGTAGAATACATACAAGAATTTAATATCTATAAACAACGATAAACCATTACTAACGAAAAAACGATTCTGAGCAGATTTCAGTTGATAGTATTGCTTTGTCAACAATATATATGTCATATTATGGTAAAATGATTACATATGCATTAAACATTTTCTTTAATAATATTTGTTTAATACTGTACCCATTTTCCCGTTCTCCCGTTTTTTTCGGTTTTTCCAACATATTGAGAAAAACTCCCGAGAAAATCAAAAAATTACCATCCTAAAGTACCACCACAGTCAGATTTCCTTTCAGAAAAAATGCTTTCATTGTAAATTGGATCAAGATTTCTGGTGGAAAAGTTACGTACAGACGAAAACAAAAACAATCTTAGTAAAACTATAGGCTTCTTCGCTCCACTCAGAATCTAAAAATCACCCAGTATATAAATTAATGTTCTCTTTCTCTATACCTTCATAGCAAGTCATTTATAACTATTAAACCATACTTTTTTTCTGGGGGTCGAGACCTGGGACACCCCCCCTCCTAACCCCGAAAATACCTCATTGATTTTAATAGATAAACATTAAAAAGCGTTGTACTAAATATTATTATAAGATACAAATTTAACCACATACCATAATGGTTCAATAATCTTAAACCATAGTTGATAACAGATAATTGATAAAATTAAATTAATTTATCAGTAGGTTGATATATTATTCATAGTTTTATTATAAAATTATAATTTGTAGCACAATTAACTAAATTGTATAATAAATCTAATAAATATCTTATTTGATGTATAGGCTATTTTGGTAGAATTTCTAACACATCAACTATGAACTCATATTCAGACGAAGAAAATTAAATTACATCCATTATAATTAAATTATCCTAAAACAATTTGTGTACTTAGTCAAATAAAAATTTAAAAATCTCATATTTTTATCAAGTTTTTACTTTGTTAAATGTCATGTTATTTAAACAGTAAAACTTATTAGGCCGATAATTCAAGTCTATAGACTATTGAACCAATAAGCACTTATGACCGATATTTTATTGACTCAATAATAGACATTTAAGCTTTGTACAACATCTTTTAATTTTTAATAATTCAATAACCCAATTAATTGAAGCAACAACTATTCATTGACTCAATAGAGTTGTGTGCAACAGGACATAAGAATAATTACGAAACACTACAATAATATTGTTCGGGATTTTGACACAGGGGAAAAAAATACCAAGTCTTGGGTAGTAAAAAGTAACATGGGTTACAGTAATTTTGCGGTTACAGTCGAGTATATTCCATGATAATAAATACGAACTAAATTAACCACTATATTGTTACCGAGTTTATAAATAATCACGATAAAAATTAACAACGAATCCCCCGAACAGCTAATACTTCGAATTGAAATCTCGTTCGTTCTTATATTTCTCTTATTTATGTATACGATTGGTCTCTTTCATGATGCGAAACCCAACCTAACCTACAATTGTAAGGTTTTTATCAGCAGTTTGGTACAAACTTAATTTGTTTACTAGCTCAAATTATTTGGCCATCAAAAACTGAAGATCGCACTTCTCCCGAAAAAAATCTTAGCTACATTACACTGGGTTTTATATTATCAGTTCTAGTTTTAACTATTATAACAGTTTACTTATCGCATATTTTGTAATTTAAATGAAATAAAAATAAATTTTATATGATATCTTTATCGTCAATACTGTAATTTAATTTGAATGAAATTTTTGAAAGAAGAAAGACAAAAAATGTGTTTTAAATAGTAATAATGACAAGGAGGACGGTGGCTCTGAACCTTATTATTTAACGTGTTATATTAATGTGAACCTGCCGCCCCACGAAGGGAAAAACGGGTTTTATATGTCTATGAATCATTTTAAGATACAATAAACGATGGCAGCAGTGGGAGTAGCAATGTGAAGACAGATCCACCACTGCTCTGTTGGTTTCAAAAAAAAAAAAAAATAATAATGAATTAATTTCTATATATAATTTCAGAAATAAAATAACTTAATTACATACTAGGTAATTAAAGAATGTTAGAATGAACCATTTGTAGTTACGCCTATTGCCTTTGAAAAGTAACTTTCCTAAGATTGAAAGGACATTATTGGGCAATTATTGCAGATTTGACTACTTGTACAGTCGTACTTATATACATACTTTGATAACGTAAACGACGTGTATAGACTATATAGAATAATTATTATTTTTTTTTTTATTTTTGATAAAATTAAAATTAATAAAATAATAATAATTTCTCAATTAATCAACAAACAATTTTAAAAGTATAGATATAGAGTACAGTAAAGTTATGGGTTAAATAATTAATATTTTACACTAAGCATACGACTATTTGCGGCGTTCAAGGTGAACTCGTGGGAGCTTAGAAACATGTCGTACAAACTATATAAGAAAAAAAAGCTGTTGAATAAATCACATCGCTTCTGAACAATGACGTGTTCAAATTTAATATAAATCAAATTTACAAAAAAAAAAAAAAAATGTTATCGAATATAATTAATGGTTTATTCAATAATAATGATCGGAATAGTAGCATAATAATTATTGTTCTACTAGTGCCTTTGGCAGGATTATAATTTAATTTTTGTGTCGTCCTCAATACTGTAATTATAATTAAAATACTCTATAACCCGTATATAGTTGCAAAAAATAAAAAAAATAAAAAAAACAAAAGTAAAAAAGAAGACAACATACTTTGTACGTGGGTGTAGCCACTCTTGTAGATAGGAAGTTGGGAACGTAGGAAACAGATGCGAATTTAATGTATATCTGAAAGCAACGATAAACCATTGCTAACGATAAAACGACTCTGAACGGAGTTAATTGGATGGCGATGCTTTGTCAACAATATATATGGCATATTATGGTAAAATAATTAGATATGCATTTTAGATTTTTTTTAATATTGATCAGATTTTCTTGTTTTTCCTTCGTTTTTCTTAGTTTCCCATGTTTTTCTCGAGTTTTCACATTTGCTGGGAAAAATTACGTCACTAAAGTACCTTCCCAGTCAGATTTCCTTTTAAAAAAGTACTATCATTGTAAATCGAAGCAAAATTGCTGGTAGAAAAATTTTCCATAGAAAAAAAATAAATATTGTAAAACCATAAGCTTCTTCGCTGTACTCTGAATCTAAAAGAGCTGATACTTCTGATGGGTTGGGTGATTCCCAGAAACGAAACCTAACGGAAATTCCCGGCAATGTGCGGGAATCACTGGGAGTCATCAGGAATATTTAAGAACTTCCAAAAAATAATTTATGTTTATTAAATCTTACATAGTATTGAATATATTATATATACAGTCGAGTCTAGTTAATTCGAAATCGTCGATACCTAAAACTTTTTCCCCGGTTCCTAGAATTTCCCATTTAAACAATGTAAAAAAAATCTTGTTTAACTCGAATATTTTCGTAAATAACTCGAAGTATCGAATATTATAATTAATTATGTTACGTATTTCCCTCTTGTATGTACATTTATTATCGAAAATAAGGTCATTAGTGTTATTTTTAATGATAAGCGGTTTATCTAACTCATTTACTACAGGAAAATGATTCATTATCCACTAACATATACATACACTTCAATGTCCAGTGCTCCGATACGTTTCAACGTGATCGTACGTAATTTTTCATAATTTTTTTTTAATTTGGATAACTCGAATTATTTTCCTGGTCTCTTTCTTAATTTCGAGTTAACCAAGTTCAATTGTATATGGAATATAGGCAGTAACATAATTTGGACATAATGTCAATGGTTGCGAAAATTACTCAGGATACACAGACCCATGGGAGCTTAGCTCCTACACCCCCAAAATTATAAAAACATATGATGTTTTAATACAGTCCTATTATTATATATTTTTAATATAAAATACACTATAATCTATTCACCGTAAGTTGATCAGCTTCCGTGCATGTATACTGAACCGCCGTGGTTTGTGATAGGTCGGCGGTGTTTGGCGATCATCGTTGCTAATCGTAGTAAGCAGCAGGCTACCGCGACTGTGCTTACAGATGGGTTTTTTTTCAGTGGAATTTTTCGAGGTGTTTTCGTTGAGCGAGTGGGTCAACTTACGGTGAATAGAGTATATACATGTATAGAATTCTTCTTATCACATTATCTTTTACAATTACAATTACTGAATATAAAATTCAGAAATTTAAAATTGTAACTGTCTCACTGTTGTTCTCTAAGTAATCATATTAATGACTAATAAATGTATTGATTATTTCAATTTTTGTTTAAGTTTTTTTTTCTTTTAGTACTTAATAACTAAAACATTCCATAAGTCCCATCATAAAATATAATAATAGTAAAGCAAATATTATAAGTAAAAATGCTACGAAAGAAAAGTTTAAATCTAAAAATAGATTCATTTTTATAAAATGTATGATACTTAATTTGTATCAGTTATATTTTTCATTTTCGGAATATTGATAATATATAATTTTAGTTTTATAATTTTTGAACATATTTTTTTCATAATTAAGCAATTAAATAATTGCTAACCTATTTTAATTTCTTTTACTAACGAAAAACCATAGACACATAAATGTTAAGCGTTGAAAATTAATTATTTCACGACCCCATATTATATATGGGCTCACAATTGCGACCCCTATCAACCCTTCAATTATGCCACTGAATATAGTTGCCATAGACAAAATTGAACATTGAAATACATAAACTTAAATTGGATTTATGACCAATAATAGTATTTTATAACTAAGCCTAGGATTTATACGCAATAAAAAATTTGAAAACATGCAAAAACAAATGGTTTTGATAACCATACTATACATGTACGTATACTTACACGGCAACACACGTCTTAGGTACTAATGAAAAACAACCAATGCAGTTGATGCAGTCCTATATTATTATCGTTTAACTTTTGTACTGTCTCGCAATTCACGCCGTTAAATAATGTAATCCCGTCATCAATAATTGTAAATAATTATAGACGTTCATTAAATAAATACTATTTTTAAAGTTCGTAAAATACTCAAAAATCTAAAAAAGCAATTATATACATTCTGTTAAAAATATATAAAAAAGAGTTGTTCTATTTAATCGAAAATAAGCTAAATCATGGACATATCTGACAACCAATCAATTTGGAAAAATGAAAAAACAAAATTCCAAATACATAGAAATCCTAATCCTATTTATAATCAATTGACTTGATTGACAAATAATTAATCAAGATAGTGTCAATTTAATCAAACAAATTATTTAATATTCTTCAATAAATAATAAGTAACAATAAAATATGTACATTTTAAATAATGTAGATTCAAAAACTATTAAAATCTATTAAAAAATTATTAATTTATAAGTTCCGTATACATTTTTTTAAATTTTTTTTCTCATATTTTCTTAAATATTATTATGGGACGGAAAAATGATGTCGTCCGCAAATACCTACCCACTTTATAAAAACTAAACTTAATAAAAAGCATCACTCTTCTAAGTTTAATTTAAAATTATAAAAATACGTATAAAATTACAAACAATTAAATTGTATTTGCTACAATGTTCACGGTATCCTGAAGAAACTCAAAAACAATTTAACAAGAATGCAATACCAAACCTGTCAAATGTTGATCAAACCAGATGATGGGGGAATTTATCAATATAAGAGGATGTCATTTTTCGGTTAGAGCAAGTTTTATTTTCAAAAAATTGTTTACAGACAGAAAAAAACACGGCATAGTAAAATCAAACTCAAAACAAGCTCTGTTCCGAATATAAAAGAACTGACAATACTGATAATCCACATTTGTAAATGGAAAGTTAATAATATAGAATACATAAAACTATTTCATTTATATCATAACGATAAATTATTGTGAACCAAAAATGATTTTGAACGAAGTTTGTTATTAATGTTTTAAAGTGATTATAAACTTATAATGAACCTCTCATTCAAATTTTAAGCATTTCTGTTCGATCAACTAAACAAGATTTCTGGTAAATTTGTTCACAGATAGAAAAAATGAAATATAAGTACAGATCATATTAAAACCAATACATTCCTTGCTACGCTCAAAATTTAAAAATAACATTTATAATCGGATAACTAAATTGAATATTATTATGATCTGAAGGTATAGCCAAAATATATAATGATATATTTCAATTATAAAATACAAAATACATTTGTAAAAATAATTCATGAAAAAAATACAAAATCCGTTGAATTTGATTAGGAATTTGTGTAGTATTTTTTGTCAAGACACTCGGTAGTTATAGATAAACGATAATAAATTTAGATAAAAGACGGTCATTTTTAATATAAAGTTTACAGAGAAATTTAAAAAAAAAAAAAAACAAATAATATTAATCACCTATCTTAAAAACATTGTTCTCTTAGAAAAAAAAAAAAATTCAAGATTGCAAATATTTTATCACCTATTCGACTTGAAAATATTGGAACCATTTTTTTGCGAATAAAAATATAACCTCTTTTTACTCTATACTATGTTAAACATACACTATTTGACATTTGTATTATATTTTGTAAGTAACTAACGAATTTAAGGGTAGTTTTCCCCTAACTCATCAAAATAATAGTTTCAAAACCAAGTTTGTTGTTACCAATATAGATATAATTAATTCGGACTATGAAAATTCCAAAAAAAGCATCAATTATAAATCCACAGAACCCTGTATAATTATAATTATAATTATCTGCACGATTTCACGGTCTAAAAACAATCGGAGCGCAGAATTTATATTTAAACGCTTCCTCTTTTTGAAGGCTTTAGTGAATTTTTCTGGCAACAGACTAGGAAATTTAAAAAATAATAATCCATATTATACATTAAATACCTACTGTCTGTGATTTTAATTGTCTGCCCATAAAAATGTTTTACAAAAAACTATGTTGAAATCGTGTTTATTAGCCCGAAAAAAGATTATCGACAGTAAAATAAAAATACATCATCAACGGGTTTAAAAATACTATATACTGTTCCCTTGTATACAATTTAAAATTAAAATAAAATAAAAATATCGATGTGTGTGATATTTTTGTGTAGGTATTTGTGTTACACTACAAGAAAAAAGGAAAACATAAGAGTACATTATATATTTTTACTACTACAAACATTAAAATACAAATACCTATTATATACCTAATTAAAATAATACAAAAAAAGCTGATACTGGGGAGGGGTGCGATCGTTGTTGTAGGTGGATATTTAGGAAAGTAGGATACATAAAGTTTTTTTTTATTTATACTTGTAACCAACGATAAACCATTGCTAACGAAAAATGATTCGGAGCGAAATTCGGTTATACATATTTTAAAAGGCCGTAATATTTACGATTCTCGTCAACTTTTGATTTTAATACTCTTATGAAAAAAAAAATTAAAAAAGCTGTCCCTAGAATACCTAATGGGGACGGAAATTGAATTATATGTGTCTATAAGAAACGATTAACCATTGCTAACGAAAAATGATTGTAAGTAGAGTTCAGTTGATAATGTTGCTTTGTCAACAGTAATTGGTACAGTAATTTTGCATGCATTAAACATTTTTTTCAATAATATTTTTTAAGTAATACCTACATTTCGTACATCCGTTTTCTCTCCATTTTTTTCCGGTTTTTCTAATATATTGAGAAAATCATAAAATTACATCCCTAAAGTACCACTCTAATCAGATTTCCTTTCAGAAAAAGTGCTACATTTGTAAATTAGAACAATATTTCTGGTAGAAAAGTTGTTCACAGATAAAATGTTGAATTAAAATTTTCTGTCAATTAACAACCATGAAGATGATGATTGAGATGATAATTATTTATCACTCGATGACGACATGATACAACCGCACCGTGTATACCTAGTTATACCGTATTATACCTAGTTATTAAGACATTCAATTTTTTCCGACGATGATAAAAATAAATAATAATTTAAATTACAACTTTGTAGTAATTGTAAATATCATCTGTGGTATTGTACAAAAAAAAAAAAAAAACTAATATAGTATATTATTTTATTTATTTTATCATCTTTATCAAGTATAGTTATTTATTTAGAATTATTAATATTTAGAATTGCATAAAAATGGGCTCATTATTTGCTATTCACTAAATACAGTAATATATATTATATACCTCTCTCTCTTTCTCTCTCTCTCTCTCACTCTCTCTCTCTCTCTCTCTCTCTCTATATATATATATATTTATATATATATATATATATATATATATATATATTTATATATATATAATCAAAATAAACTGAATCTGACCTAAAAGGTTAACAAAATATAATATTTTCTTAGTACGATTTTGTAATGTATTATCTGAAAAATCATAATTATATTATAGTAATACAGTTGATACACAAGTATCATCTACTATACAAAATAAATACTCTTTTATGTGGCTTACTCAGTTACCTACTAGTATATTTACGATAAATACTCCTTCAGTGGCGTAGTGAAAAATTTGTTTAGGCTCTCGACCAAAATTGGTAGATGAGTCGTAAAGATTCCGAAACATAAGACTATAGAACATTTAGTTTTATACAAAATGTATAACAGTTTATTACCAATGATTTGCTTATAAAGGGGATGTTAAGTTGAGAGCGGTAATGACACAAATAATTTTTGGATCTCACGTAAAATATAAATCTTTCACAATTTCCAAATTTGCTGTTTCCAGTATTTTCCTATATATTCATTAGGGTATGGCGGTATATTAGCACAAATGCATACTTATATATTATGCATAAAACTTCTTCTTAACAGCTAATACGGTTCGTGTAGTCCCATTGGTTCCTATCATTCACATCCTCTTATGGATAATAAGTTTCAAAGTTTCCATGAACCATTTCTAAGTCTTTTATCATCATATTCGAAACCTTCCTATAGGTCTTTTTCCAATAATTTTATTATGTATAAAACTGCAATAAAAAGTCCTAAGATAGAAGGGTATTCTGTAAAGTTTTCAATAAAGGCAAATTAAAATTTTTAAAGTGCATGCACTACGTATACTATTTATGAAAAAATAAAAATGAGTAAATTGCATAAGATACAATTATAAAAAAGCCAAAAATTGACTTGAGGATATTATTATTATATTCTATGGCTGGCGGTTTTTTTCACGAATAAAAACCAGCTAAAAAAAAAAAGAAATTGTTTAAGATCAAAGGTATAGTGGTATTAAAAAATGAATAATATTTTTTCAGTGCATTAATTAGTCGACCTAAAATTATATTTATTCGTCAAATAAAAGTATTTAAATTATTTATTTATGTATATTATTAATAGGTATTTATAGTATATAGTCAGGCATTTTGCAGATTATTTTCATTATGTAGGTACGAGCGCACAGTAATAAATTGCATAATACTGTTTCCATTACGAGTTTTGACAAGATAATAAGGTGTTTTAGATAAAGAATGTATCGAGGGACCTATGTAATGGTTTTACTATGAAGTGTGCGTGGTTTTTTTTTCTATCTGTAAATCACTTTTCGAAAAGAAAACTTGCTCCGATGTAATAAGTGTAGCACCTTTTTGAAAAAAAATTTTATCTAGTTAGTGCATTAGAGAGGAATTTTTTGATTTTACAAGGGGTTTTCAAAATACAGTAGAATTCGCTTATCAGGAACACGGATAATTGATACAATCGCGTTATTGAAACAAAATGTATAGGACGGACCCCGGTTGTATAATAAAACCAATCGTTTATTGTTCCAAAATATTTCTAATAAGCGTATTTTACTGTAGTCTGAAAAAATTAGAAACAAAATTATTGGTAGGTAAGACAAATATTTATGACATTCTGCAGAATTACCGATTTAATTATTTTTAATTTTTACAAACTATATTTTCTACCAAAAATATTGCCCCAATAGAAAAACAACAAGAGACTTTTTTTCGTTGAATTTTAAATCTTATTGGTGAGCAAGAAATTCATTTTTGGATTTTTACAGTAGCTTTTTTAAATAATTGAGCAAAACCCCAAAAATACGAAGAAGAACAGTACAATTTACGAAATAAAAATTCTTTATTATTTTCAATTTTGTCTTTTGTTATTATTCAGTTAAAAATACTCGTAGAGACTAGAAATTTTGACAGAAATCTTATATTTATTTTTTTAGACGTGATAAAATTTTTAAGCTATTTTAATGTTATTTGTAAACATTTTAATTTTGCGAGTTTTTTACGTAAGCTTTATTCGGTATATACTCTGTGGATAATATTGTTAGACCAAACAGAAATGCTTGATAATTTAATTGAGGTTCACTATAAGTTGTAATTATAGTGGTCAATAAGAAAAAATTGAGTTTAATGTAGTACTCATAAAGGTTTTCAACTTTTGGGTTTAACTTATCGGGGTTCCAACAATTTAAATATCAAATTAAGACGAAAATCGTAAATGTTACGGCCTTTTAAAACACGTGTAACTGAACTCCACTCAGAATCGTTTTTTGTTAGCAATGATTAATCGACGCACACAAAAATATATTCCCCTCTATATCTAACCTTCCCAACTTTTCATCTACAACATTGGCCCACCCATCGTGCAAAGTATGTCCATCTTTTTTTATATTATTACACGCGGCCATTGTCACGCTCTAGATTTTATATACACGCCTGACGGACAGTGTGGTAGTAGTGAAGAACTACAAATAAAAAAATAAAAAAAAAACACACAGTATAGCGCTATGTCAACACTAAAAATAGGCTAGTGATTTAGTCTCGTGGAGCAAAGAGATGACGAAGAAATCGGTGAATAGCCTGAAACACAGTGTCGAGGAAGCGACAACGTTTATTTAGATTCAAAAGCGTGTAAAAATATTCTAATGTCAAAAGAACAAAGTATAAGGGCGTGGAATTTCTAATAATCGTGTCAAACATAATTAATTCGCTTGGCGTTTTGTACATTATATACGTTACTAACAACTAGTCTTTATTTTGCACGTGTACGCGATAAAATTGTTTTTTTTTTTTTTTAATACAATGAACTGCAGCCAAATGTATGCCAAAAAAAAAAAAAAAACATAAAAATCATTCTTCAATTTATGTAACTCCAAAATAATGTATTAGAGGTATTAATATTATACTTGACGTAATATATTAATTTTAGTGGGACTTTTTTTAAAAAAATTATTGAACATGATTTTTTAAGACACTTTTTAACGTACATTTTTCGTTGACCTTTTACTATACACGTGCCCCGAATTTCATGCTGCACACGGTTATTCTTTAAGTTATCAAAATATAAAATAAGCGATACTAGATGGGTTTTTTTTTTCGTTACTTAAAACTAATTTTGAAGTTAGATGCTAAACGTTTGAAATTACAAGTGAAAAAAAAGTTTGAGTTTTATTGTTTGGAAAAAAAAACACACACATGACCCGACCAAAATTAACATTTCAATACGAACAATTAAACAATATAATAATAATAATAATATGATGTATTTAAATATATACGAGGTAGGTATTATTCACTCTATTCACCTGTAAATATTTTCGTCTTCTTTTGGCTACTTTTCCTTGCACGACATTACATTCGCCATGTTTGAACACAACTCTCCGGTATTGCCGTCTAGAACTGAATCTCGGTTGTCTGTACCTGCAAACATTTACCAAAAAATAAATAAATATTTAGAACGTATACTTAGATATTAAACTGTTTAAATAATACAAAACTAGATGGAAAAACTAGAGTACAATAAAATGAAATAACATAGGTACATAAAAAAGAATATTATTCAGTCTTATAAAAATAAAAAAAAATACGTATAATATAATATTTGGACTCGGTAGCGAGAAAAACCTCGTAAATTTGAATCTAAAATCAAAATATTGGTGTCAATAAATTAATGATGTTAAAGCGGACGTCCGACCGAAAAATATGTTAAAAATACTTTACGTGTGGAATACGATTGTACGCGTTTTTCTTTTTGGGTACTACGATTGCACGCGGTGTCGGAATAACAAAGAACATGATTTTGATCTTTTAAAAACATACGATTGCCCGCGATATTGGAAGCGAGGTTGCCAAAATTGTTACATATATTTAAATAAAACAAAATAGCAGACAATTCGAAAATTGTTCTTAGTTATAAAATTGAATTAATATATATATTATAAAATGGCAATAAAATTAAGTTTAATTTAATTGTGAACATGAACACAACTGTCAGTAGGTATATGCATACAACATGCGTGATTATAGTATATTCGTGCTTAGAATATGGGAATTTACAAAAATATTGATAAAAGTTTGTTATCAGCAATAATAAATGATAAAGAACCTAAAATAGTGATGGTATTCAAGATAATTTGTCTAAAATCCAATATAAAAGTTTGCATTTCATATATTGTTTAGGTAGGCATCATGTATGCAGTATAGTATGTATAATTATTTGCAACGTTGTATAGAAATAAAAATGATGTACGCCTAAAAGGGTATCGCCGATAAGGACCGCACGCAATCGTACTCCACCACACTTTAATGGGTGTGTCACCGTGTTTTCTACCAAAATGAACCTTCCCTTTTTACACCAATTCACGTTTCAATCAAACATATTCCATGTCGTTTTCCAACTACACCCCTATTTCTACCAAAATGTACTCTCCCTTTTCCACCATTAAACGTTTCCACCAAAAGAGGATTTGGTCGATTTTCACCAAGACAATTTTTATACTATTATAATAAGTACTGTATAGTTGCGTGTATTATGAATTATATTGTAAGATACAAGTTTAACAATGTTTATACGATATCAATAATATATGAACTTTAACTTATAGGTAGGTACCTATATTGATTAGGTACAGTGGCGAATAAAAACTTCGATTATTTATAGGAAGGGGGTGGAAAGTAAAACCATTTACAACAATACAAATTCCAAGGAGTAAAAACGTTTTAGAAAACCGGGTTAACTGAAAAAAATGAAAGTTGAAAACTCGATAAACACATAACAGCTTTTACGTCTATTTGATTTCGTACAGATAATATTATCATTTGAAATATTATAACATTTTACTGACGTCTAAAAATATCGTTATAGATTCTGAGTGCAACTAGGAACGTATCGGTTTTACTATTTTATATTTTATATCTATTAAAACTTTTTTTTATCAAATATTTTATTTCGATTTCCAAGTATACTAAGTATTTTTTGTGGAAGAAAATATTGTTTCGTTGGTGCACTGAAATGTTCATTTTTTTTCCCCTTGTATTTTCGTAATGATTGAAAAACCAAGAAATTTACGGTAATAACAGTAAATAACATTTAAAATACGACAAAAATCACGTAATTTCAAAACATTTATTATCTAACATCGCTCAGAATCGTATTCTATTAGCAATGATTTATCGTTACGTACAGACATAAATAAAATAACTTAATATATCCTATCTTCCCAACATCCTCCTACAATAATGTAACATACATCAGTGGTATCGGCCCTTTTTTTACCACCAACAAAAATACACAAAAATACATAAATACTATATTAAAAGAAAAAGTACGATGAAATACAATGATAATTAATCTTGTCCGTCTAAAAACCGTACATTTATAATCTTTAGTACAATAATATACATCCTAACCTCGAATACTAAACACTGTAATATTAAAATATTATCAAAAATTAACACAACGTTTTAAAGCGTATACATCAAAGAATTAAACTTACACATGCATTTTGCATATATATACACAATGACGGAACATTTAGATACTTGGGTGGCTAGGTTATATTATAAATTAAAATAACATCACGTTTAACATTTTTTTTTTCCTGTAAATATCTACCCACGGTGCGTAAAAATTGATTAGCTTGCAATTAATATTTCAAAGAATACCTATATAATATTTTAAATATCTGCACAGTTGGGCAATCACAAAACCAGCGTAAAAATGTGTTTTAGATAATTTAGCTGTGTAGAATCAACGAACTCATATACTATAATATATCATATTTTTATATAATTTATATTTAGTCACACACACGTAAATAAACAGCAATTTTAATGATTTTAAATCGACGCTTTATCCGTGCGTATATCGACATTAGCAACGCAAAAGCCATTAATCAAAAAAATGTATATATACAATACCATATTAGGTGATAAATAAGACAATTTTATAATTATTAATTATAAATGTCTTTTTTTTTTAGCAATATCAGCGATGGGCTGAATATTCTTCTTCTTTTCCTCTATTGTTTTCGTTCATTTAAGACTATACCACTAAATAATCATTCTGCCATCTATCTCTAATTTCTGTCAGCTCCCTCCACTGATTATTTGCAGGTTCCATTATCTTTCATTTCATGCAGTCTTTCTACCTTAACCGCGACCTCCTCTCAATTTCTTTTCTTATTACGAATCATGCTTCTTTCAAGCAAATCCTACCTAAACAAATCGTCTTTTTTTAATCTCCTTCAGTATATTTAATCATTGAGAAAGGATTTGCAGCTCTTCCTTGTGTAATTTTCTCCATTCACCAAATTCACGCAAATATTATTTATTTTACATTCTTAATTTTACAATACTTGACGTATAAACCTATTCCCGTGTGAACATTCTTCATTTTATATTGAGCACTAAACTTTTTGCATAATTCCAAGACCCTTAAATTAAAAATTGTTTACGGCCTGCACATTATGCAGAGCTACAGAGGATTCATTCCAAAATACAAACATAATATAGTAGACTTAATTATGAGGCAAGAGAAGGATGGAAAATTTGAGGTGAGATAGAATGCTTCATAGAGGGTAGAGACCAGAGAAGAAGAAGATTTGGCCAATTTATTTTAAATTTCTTGATTTCGAAAATTATATCGATTTATTTATATATCGATATCCAGAAGAGTACATGAGGAAATGTATGAAAACTATGCACCTTTAATAAATATACGTTTTTTTATAGATGAAGTAATCTAACCTAACCTTTGCATTATGTGTATAGTTACAATATCTTAAACCAACATCATCGAAATATTTGTGTATGCATATGCGTTTGCTAATAAATTATAATTATATAAAATATCTTAACCATAACAGTGGAACCGAACAAGATGACGAAAAATAATCTTATAACAATTTTATTGGCCAACGTAAACAGATAATAATTTCGTATAGATATCTATCGATGACTAATTAAAATTAATATTAATGCATTCGAAGACGTTATAGGCGAATTCACATCGTATTTCAGTTCACGGTCAGTGAAAAACTACTAAAATTAATAAAGGTTAGTTGCTATGTAAAATAAATAATTGTGTTTCTCCTTCTTTTAGTGCCGTATTCGTTATCTAAAGTTGGCAATCATGTTAGAAATTTAGACTTTATTAATGGCTGTTCTGAATAGTGAATTCGTAGATGTGTTGAACCCTTTTCTGAGGTTGTCCATCATTCAAGACACTTGAAATCTTTCACAGTTTCTTCTTCCAATTATTTTACCCTGGATTTTAATTGTAGTAAACTAAGATATATTTTTCCGAGTGCCACATAACATATCCGAGTTATTATTTTTAATATGATATTATTAATAATTTTGTATACTTTGTGTATTAAAACGTTTGTGATATTTTTATTAATAGCACGTTTCCTTTGTAATAACTAATAACTAATCTGTATAAAAGTTTCAGTTTCCTAATATTTTATAAATAATTATATTTATTATTGCTGTCTGCAGTTAATTTAAAGATGATTATCGGTGATCGTCGTTATTTTAATACAATTAAAAAAAAAACCACAGACATCATTATTATTATCATCTAAGTACTTAAAATCTCGTTCTTAATTAGTGTTACATTTAGAATAATTTTATGTCAAACAAGTGTTTGAAAATATTGCCCACAGGTCATATAGTTATTTCAAACGTATAAACATTGTCACGATATAACAACACGGTTTATTATAATAATAGTAATGAGTTCAAAATTTTAAACAATGTGAAAAATCCAAAATCCAAAATGTAAAATTCCTATAATATTACCTATATCGTTTATATATAGTTATAGTTTTAGTGACTATTATGAAATCTTTCGACCAAATAAGTAGTATTGAAGAGGTGAAAGTAAATGAATTTAATTTGTAGATATAATGTGAATGTGTCAGTTTGCCATAAAACCTATAGGAAATAAAAAAAAATTGTTGAATATTAACAGAGAATTTTGCATCGAATAACCTGAATCACCTGATGAAACGCTCTGAACACGCGAGGGAATGACAAATCTTTCAGTACACGCTATTTCAATGTCAAATTTTCAGAATTTGATAAAGTACAGTGATATTATTTGCCATTGTTTGACATTTATTGCAAACTCCGGTACTTACTTACCCGACTTCGACAATAGATTTTCAACCGGTAAAAAAATCCGTTTCAACATTATATATTAATGAAATAGTTTTTACTATTATAAACGTGTAATAATTATAAATACATTAATAATACAATTAAAAAATACTATATATTTTATGATTGAAATAAATTACATTACCTATCACAACTTTAAATACGTGATGGGTGTACGCTTAATTTGAATGGAAAGGAATAAACTAAAAATTAAAATAATAAGAATTCAAAAATTAATTTACAAATATAATGATAGGATGTTTCTTCGCTATATCTATTGACTATTTACTCATTTGGTATTCTTTCGGACGTTTCATACAGTTAATAATGATAATATTTTAAAGAGGTGTAAACTGTTGAAGTCAATTAATGAATTATAGATATTTACAGGATGTGAGTTCATAAGTTATGTAGTTTTATTATGACTATACACATAGCCAGGATGTAAAAATTGTATTTTAGATTCTGAATGGAGCGAAGGAGTTTTTTATAGTTTTACAAAGATGTTTATTTTTTTTATATGTGTGCAACTTTTCTACCAGAAGACTTGCTCAGATTTCTACGTGTAGCATATTTTCTGAAAGGAAATCGGTGTTAGGAGGTACATTAAAGAAATAATTTTCTCAGGAATATTCTGATCAAATGAGAAAAATCGAAAAAAAACCGGGAAAATTTACAAAATATAATAAATATAACATTACGAATTTTTTGTCTATGCAACAACAATTTTGCTCCAATTTTCAGTGATAACAATTTGTCTAAAAGGGAATTTTACTGGGGAGGTACTTTTGAAAGGTAATTTTTTGATTTTTTCAGAAGTTTTCCCAGTAAATGTGAAAATCCGGGATAAACATGGAAAAACGTAGGAAAACAAAGGGAATCGGTACAACATTCAACAAATAATATCAAAGAAAATATACAGAGCCTATTTAATTATTTTACATATTATTATGGCAAATATATTGTTGACAAAGCATCACTATCAACTAAACTCTGCTCAGAATCGTTTTTTCGTAAGTAATAGTTTATCGTTACTTACAGATATACATTAAACTCCCATCTATATCCTACCTTCCCAACTTCCCACCTACACCAGTGGCTGCACCCGTCCCTATTATCTTACCTATTTTTTTTTTTTAAGTGCAGTACAACGAAACAAAAAATCGGAAAATAACCGAATCGCGCATAGACAAACGATGTATTAAAACAAGTAATGCGATTTAACTTTATATAGTACAATAGTGGTTCTCAACTAGGGTGATATGGATACACAGTATATAGAAGTCACAAAATATTCGTGAGGGGGGGGGATACGGAATTTTAATTTGTCAAAGTCACTTATGTTTTTCTTCAAAAATGTACAGTTTAAATCTATAATTTTTTTCAATTCATTATGTATATTTTAATCATAGGACAATGCAGTGTTTGATTCTCGTAGACAAAGGTGACACGAATCACAAAAGGTCAAGAATCACTACTTTACGAGTATTATACATATTACTAACATCTGATGCATACATGCGAGTCATTAAAATATTATAATCCGCAGGCAACTGACGAATCTAGTATATGTTTGAGTAATATCACATGTTTAATAGAAATACCGTCCTGTGTTTTTCTAATGGAAAATATAACAAAAATGTTATGTAAAACAAACGAAAACGGAAAAAACCTTTAAAACTGGGGCTGTAAATAAAACACCAATTATTAAAAAAAAAAGGACGTCCTAATAGAGACGGGTGCAACCACTGTTATAGGTAATTTGATGTATAGCTTTAAGCAACGATAAACCATTGTTAACGAAAAAACGATTCTGAGTGGAATTCAGTTGATAGTGATGCTTTGTCAACAAAATATAAATGTTATAGTAAAATAATTAATTAGGCTTTACATATTGTTTTTAATAATATTTGTTTAATGTTGTACCAATTTCTCCGGTTTCCTACGTTTTTCCCGGTTTACCTGTTTTCCCCAGTTTTTCAAATTTGCTGAGAAAACTCCGAAGAAACTCGATAAACCACCTCTTTAAAGTACTTCTCCAGTGAAATTTCCTTTTAGAAAAATTGCTATCATTATAGGTTGGAGCAAAATTCCTGTTGGAAAAGCTGTTGAAAACAAAATCGTATTATTATACAAATATATTTCGTACATTTTCTCGTTTTTTTTTTCGGCTTTTCGCATTTGATGAGAAAACTCTTGAAAAAATCAAAAAATGGCCTCTCTAAGGTACCTCCCTACACTTATTACCTTTCAGAAAAGGTACTACACGTAATATCGTAGCAAGTCCTCTGGTAGAAAAGTGGTCCACAGAAGAAAATAAAAAATAAATAAACATCTTTGTAAAACCATAAGCTTTTTCGCTCCAATAAATTGAGCTTACCTCTTCTCACTAATTAATATAATACGTAGTGTGAATTCAGATGGGTAACACGTTAGGTTAAAATAGAGTGAAGGAACAATAATAGTTTTACAATAATAGGGTTTTTCGCAGAAAACACCTTTTCGATAGTAAATCAGTAAATTTAATTTAATTTTTCAGAAAATAACTTAGAATATGCGAATTCTCCGTTCGGCGGTACCTTATTTAACATTTTTTCCGGATTTTTTAGATATTAAATATGAGAAAATTAAAAAAAAAAATTAAGAATGTTTGCCGAACTGAACTCCACTCAGAATCGTTTTTTGTTTGCAATAATTCATCGTTGCTTACACTGCTAACAGCAGAGCCTGATTTAGAACTTTTTAGGCCCGGGACAAAAAGAAAAAGTTGGCATATTTTTAATCAATTTAATACAAATATTTCTTATCTCATACACATATATTTTGTATGAAACCGAAAAAAATAATTTATATTTTTACAAGTATTTTCGACTGTGTAAACTTTTTTTGGTATTCTTCAATTTTAAGAATTAATTAAAATTAAAAGAATAATTAAATCCAGTAGGTGGGCTCCTGATCCGCATTGGCCCTGAACAAATACCCACAATGTCCTTGCGTAAATAGGGCCCTGGCTAACAGTAATTAAACTAAATTCATGTTGCCTACGCCTATCTTCTCAACATTCCACCCATGTTGCGGAGTTTAGGTATTTTTTAATTTTAATTGCCACAAATATAGAATAATTGGTAAATCCCGATTCGTTAAATCGTTTATAACCGATTAACAGTAAAAACCGAATACCGGCGTTGAAAATTTCGAATACCGCCAGCTGGAATAATAATACACATTAAAAATTATTGCTCGAATCACCCATATTATAGTCTTGATTTGTCATTTTAACCGTTAAAAAAAATAATCCAAAAAACCATACTAATGATATTATAAAATGCGCAGGTTTTTTTTTTTTTTTTGCTGCAGTAAAACAATGAACATTTTTTGGCGATAACGAAATATATATAACAATAGCTTAACACATCACTACGTGGTGTCCGTCGAATATGTTCATGTATCTACATTATCCGTGTTGTGTTCATTACTAAACCGTCCAATTGTTATCGAGACAAGGCACACACTATAGATATATATATATATAAATTATTATTATTATTATAATTATTATTCATGAATTTAAAGAGTCTTTTTCTAAGATCAGTGTCACGGTCATCGTCGTTGTCGTCTTCGTCGTGAAAGTGTATTTAATTCGGTACATAATATTAAATATAGTTTTTATCGTTCGCGTGAAAAATACGTAAAAATCTAAAGCCCGAGGGGTGAGAAGGTGGAAAACGGCCAGGATAAAATTTGTTTCGAGAGAAAAATCCCAAATTTTTATTTATCATAACAACATAATATTATTAAAATGTTCATTCATGAATAACGAAATATAATACATAAAATTATATGAAATTAATATTATCTGTAAGACAGCTAACGCCTAGGGCATTTCGAGATTATTAGGACGATATAATCATTAATTTGTCGGTCGGAATTTTATTAATGGAGCAAATCCTGATTTGAGAATTTCGGATTTTGAAATTCCGATTTTACGTTTCTATTATAGTAATTGTAAAATTATTACTATAATTTAAATTCGTTTTGACTAAATCAAATATAATATAATGATTGTATACGATTATCGATAAATTATCATATACTTTGACATGGATTTAAATATATCATATAGATAGCATAGATGTATTATAACTTGGGTTGGAAATGGAATACATAAAGCCTAGAAAAAACCTTCAAAAAAAAAAAAAAAATGACAAAAATTAAATGTCTTATTTGTATTCAAAAATACATGAAACGAATTTGTAACAAAACGAGCCCCACACTCGTTATTTGGGTTTTGAAATACTATTATTGTCTGATAATATAATAATATCCGGTACTTGATCGTTTTTTTTAGTACATAAAAATCTCGCTAGCTTGAGAAAATCTTAAAACTAAATTAAAATTCGAATTTTCGATCCAACAATTATAACTGTCTATAAAAACCACTTGATTCGTGCAGATTTTTAAAAACAAAACCCCGATTACGGATTCAAAACTTGCTATTTTCTGATTTTGTTGGATTGCTGAAGAATGTGGATTTCTAGGCGGAAGTTTCGTGTCCAAACAGCACCGGGATCGGTAGGCCGCGGTAATACGGAGGGGAGAAAAACGCATATAGTATACTGTACAGCGGTGGAAAAAAAAACCCCGGATTCGCTTCAGTTCGCGATAATCCGGGTTTTGAAATATGAAACATGAAATTTATTTGAAATCCGGACTTATAAAATGTCGCAGAATTACGGGACGCTGGCGCATCGGCATCATCGTCGCGCGTCGCGTCGCCGACCGTTTAATCACGCGTCGAGCGCCGACCCGTTGTAATAATAATAATAATAATAATAATAATTCGCACGCACATCAAAGCGGGGTCGACCTAGTTCGTGTCGACCCGGCACTCGATTTGTGATTAACCTACAATCCGATATAGGTCCACCGCCGCCGCAGCCGCCGATCGTATACGCGCCGTGTGCGGCGGTGAACGGCGGTGATGGAGGCGACACCGGCTCTGCCGCGGCATCCCGCTGCCCGTTGCCAAATCGTTATAATTTCGTACAAGAGGCTCTTGGCTCTTCGGGGAACGGAACGAATGCGAGACGTCGACCGCGGCGGCGGCGGCGGCGGCGGACGCTCGTGACGCACGCAATGTCGCGCATATCCTGGCCAGCGGCCAGAGGACTCTCCCGACCGCCGTCCCGTACTGGTATTGTATTTTATATACAGCGCGCGTGTGCACACACACGCACAAATTGCGCGCGCGAGACACAAATAAAAATATATATTTCGGGCTCGTGACGTGTATAATTGGGAAATCTCTCGGCCGTCTACAACTAATGCCGCCGCCACGCCGGGCGTCTATCCTGCCGGCCGCACGACTAAACGCCCGTACCCGGCGGCGGCGGCGAATGATGACCGCGCGGTCCGACGACGTTTTGACAACAAAAATAATAATAAATACGATAATAGTTTATCGCACGGCACGTGGTGGTTTAGTTTTCAAATTAAAACTAAGCGATGTAATTACATAAACGCTCGGAGGGGGGTGGGCAATACAGGGCCTTTGCCCCCTGCCACACCAGCTGACAAACTTGTTGTGTTTAAATAATTTGTCTGTTTTTGTTTTCTTTATTGAATTATATATTGCGCAAAGTATAAACTATTAAATCTCCCCTCACCCCCTTGGAAAAATGTCTGTGGGCACTAATTTGTAATAATGCAATGAGTTAGTGGCGCCGTTTGGGAACGGGGGGGAGGGCCCATATCTCCCCGCTCAACGTGATACTTACAATATTTTCGAGATTGAATCCTCATTGCAAACTGCACCCTTAAAATATAATTACATGTGTAGACTGTTGTTTTTCAAATAGCACGTCATAATAATTATGTGTGCTATAAGTCTAGGACACGAATTTGTATGGTAAAATAAAAAGCTGATTTACGATGCTGATATTCTCTAAAAAAAAAAAAAACCTAATAATATTCTCTTTCTCTTAAAAATTAGAAATACTAGATTGTACTGTTCAAAATTAACAATTCGTCAGTAGAAGGTAACTTAACCTTTAAAATGTTACCTACCTACCACTTTCATTGATTTCGGTTAAGTGCAAAGGGAGAAAAAGTGTTAGTCACAAAAACGTACCTATTTTAGAAATATTGTAATATATAAATTATAAAGAAATATGGGTTTTAAGCAAAAATAATAATTAATGAATATCAAAATATGTTTTATAACGTTCGTTTTTTCCCTTTTAGAAAAAGATGCACAAGCAAGTGATATAAAATATTTTAAAATAACAAATGTGTAATCATAATTTAAAATTGCAATAATTTTTTTTTTCACAAAATTCACAAAATATTCTGAAAGATACTAAATAAATTAAATTATCCTTAGACCCCGAAATATTCTCAAATATGCAAAAAAAAGTCTATTTTTGATGTGAAATCGATGTTGATAAATCGATCATTATTTTTGCTCTAGTAAAATAACTACACATACTCAATAAACTACATATATTTTTATGTTAAGACATAAAAATCTGGTCTTTAGTTATAGTAGTTAAAAATTTATTGCCAGTGTAGTAGGAAAGAGCATTATTCAATAAAAAATGAACATGACATTTATTACCCTTCCTCACTCCTTCCATCTGAATTGCAAATGGTTTTAACTAGTAAACGGTAAATCCAATATACACGTCTTTAGAAAAATATTTTTTTTTTTCGAATATGTGTTGAAAAGGGATGGAGTGCTGCTGTTTAAAAATGTAAAACTCATTGGAAATATATAGATTACGGATGAACATTTGAAAATAGTATTGAAATAAACCTTAAACAATTCCATGATGATTGAAAGTAATGTATGTAAATCAAATTTATTCAAAACCCTCCGAGTAAACGGTCAAACTATGTGTTGGAAAAAACCATCATTTATATAGATGAAACGATCTATTATATTTATTATACCTACTGATGAGTGCAACCGAAAATATAATTACCTGCAATAACTGTATAGTTTTCAAAATGGATGCTGAATTCTACTGAATCCGCCTAATTGACTGATATTTTTCAAAAATCAATCCAAAAATGGTATATAGGAAGATCGATAAAACAATTTATTGATTCCTTGCAAAACTGTTCGCACCATCTACAATACGAATAGCGTATGACGCGCACGGCTATATAATAGTATGATAATCATACTATCCATAAAAAAATATTGTTGTAGCCAGAAAAAAATTATTTAAAAACAAAAACTGCGATTTTCGGGATTAACGGGTGGTTGTTAACACATGATTATGTTTTTTAGCCATAAATAACGCATTTAACGGCAGATAATAAAACGATGCAAACCAACCATCACATACGAATAATGCAACATTATTAATACTATTTTGTTAGTAGGTATAACGCATGTACAATGTACACATTAAACAATATTGTTCAAATATTAACATTTAACACAACTAAAGCTGCGTTGTAATAATATGTTTTATAGTTTTATCGGCTGTTATCATAGCTATTAGGTATCGATTTTGCAATGCTACTTGGCTGAACCACAGAGCTCGCAGATAAAACGCTTCAAACAATAAAAATAAATAATAAAAATAAAATAAAAAAGACGTCCTAGGATATTGGGGACGGGCGCATCCACTGTTATAGGCAACGATAAACCATTGCTCACAAAAAAACGATTCTGAGCGGAGTTCATTGATAGTGATGCTTTTTCAACAATATATATTTCATTTTATCATATATTAAAATAATTAAATAAACTTTATATATTTTCTTAAATAATATTTGTTTAATCTTGTACCGATTTTCCCTGTTTTCCTACGTTTTTCCCATATTTTATTCCGGGTTTTCACATTTGCTGAGAAAACTCCTAAAAAAATCAAAAATTACATCTCTAAAGTACCTCCCCAGTAAAATTTTCTTTTTGAAAAATTTCTATCATTGAAAATTTTTGGTAGAAAAATTGTGCACAGAAAAAAAAAAGGCCGTAATATATTTTAACTTACTAACTCGTATACCTTATGTTTTATTTTTACCTTTTTTTTTTCAGTTTTTCAAATTTGAAGAGAAAACTACTGAGAAAATTTAAAAAGAGCCTCTTTAAAGTACCTCTTTAGTAAAATTTCCTTTCAGAGACATTGCTATTATTGAAAATTGGAGCAAAATTGCTAGTAGAAAAGTTGTGCATGGGGAAAAAAATAAAGTAATATTTTTGTAATATATTTCGTACACATTCCCGCTTTTTCGGTTTTTCAAATTTTATGAGAAAACTCCTGAGAAAATCGAAAAATTACCTTCTTAAAAGAACCTTTTTACACCGATTTCCTTTCAGAAAAGCTGCTACGCTTAGAAATCCGAGTAAGTCTTCTGGTTGAAAAGTTTTAACAAATAAAAAAATTAAAAAAATAAACATCTTATTAGAAAAATTTTTCTAGATTCCCCCAAGTAATAATGAACATTGTTTTAGTAATTAGAAGTGTAACCTAGTTACCCATAGTATGTATGCTTAGAAACAATTCAAGATAATCGAAGAATCTTATTTGAAAAAGATAAAATGTTGACATTTTAATATTCATTTATTAAAATAGTAAAAAAAAAACAACTAATTTGTAAGATATTAACCCCCAAATAATCCCCAAGTAAGACCCTTAGAGAGGGCGCTTAAAAATGAATACACTTGAGTAATAATTGCCTTAACACGGCTCTGATATAGAAACTAAATTATCCTATATCCTATAACTTCTCATCTAAAACACAAGCTCACAAGCTTTATGCTTAAAGGGGAGTTGCGAATACTAACTTGTTTTTTTTTCTGTATATTATTGTAAAATGTTATATATATTTGCTAAATAAATTTTGTATTGTTATTTTAAAATAGTTGCCTACTCATGATGTGAAGTATGTTCCGCTTTTATGTTTTTTTTTTCTACAATCAAAATAAAAACCTGTTGCATCTATAAAAACGTGCAAGCATAAATAAAAAAAAAAAGTCGTCCGCAAATGACTACACTAATTAAAACTGATAGTAGTGGCATTGATCGTACGCCCATAATAATTGTCTTATTAATTTACCAGTTTTTTTAATCCACTTGTACAGAGTTGTACCTACACATATAAAAAATATTCTACATATCGGTTTGTACATGTAGGATCGTGTATGCATCTTTCCAGAATAATAATGAGATTTCGGCAAACCACACATTCAGTCCTATATTTAATATAGATATATTGTATATTGTGATATATATGTATATAACTTATCGTGAAGTCATCACATTGTCTGCAACGGCTTATGAGGTTTAACCTCAATGAGGTCGGTTGATAACGCTTTAAATAATAATAATAAAAGGATTTCGTTTATTACGCTTCCGTCTGCAGAGACAAATTATGTTACTATTATTATTTTTTTGTTTTTTATTTTAACAATATAGTATTGTTAAGGTTAGAAAAACTTTACAAACGTGTTTTGGAATATTATACTATTTTGCATACTGTGTAGCGTTAAAGAACATAGAATAAACACTATTTTTAATCATATAATATATTAAATAAAAATCAGATTGATTGAACAGCTTATCAATGGTTATTTTAACAACCGGAGGTTTTTAGTAGATTTCATCACAATTAAAAATTAACAATTGACAAGAAATATTATAAATACGAAATAATTGAAACTAACGTAAACAGCAATAAATTATTTTTCACTGAATTTTCCTCTTCTCCCACCCTCCCACACAAATAACTATATTATAGCATTTTGATAGATTAAACGCTAATACCAAGGTAAACAAAATGTCACCGTTTGTGTCTGAGTAAATTTTAATTTTATATTATTTGAACGGGCTGGGAACGTAATGCGATATTACGCGCACCCGGACACCAATTTCTTTTGTCCACCACTAACACCTAGGTACAAGGGTATGGAAGGACAGCTGGATGTGTAGTGGTGTGATAGCTCGAACTGCAGTGGTCGGGGTCGCAAATACTGTCCAGCTATGTAACGCGTGTTCTGTATAAACGTGTATGTGTGTATATGGAAATGCGTGTGTACATATAACTAACGGAAAAAGGAAACTAAATGAAGTCGAATACGGTAAATTAATTGGCAACTATGTTGCTATACAATAATAAATTCAGAAACTAAGTGATATACATGATAAATAATTCACAGCAATAAAATTACAATATCGGAATGCGCAAATAATTAAGAAATCGTGGTGATTTGAGAACATAAAAAATAACAAATTATTTGGCGATTAGCACAACCTTCAACAATATATCATAAATATCTACTAAAATAATATGTACGAAAATAAACTCACAGTACCTAAGTCGGTGCACTGCTGACCAGCTGCTACCTGTACCGATTCCTAAACTAAAACTTATTCACAACAATCAAAATTCACAACGGTAACAATAATAATAGTAGGTAACAATAGTATTACGGTTTAATAATAAACAGGCGTCTATTTGAGACGCTGGAATACTTCAAGTATGTAAGCTATTAGAGCCGCAACATTAGTAAAAGTTTACAAGAAACGCAAAAAGCCTTACATACGGTACCACTGCTCACGGTATGAACGGTTAAAACAGACTAAAGGTAGGTAAAGGTACACCGGTCTGCCGTACGGCGTTAATCTCTTCCGGAACTTAAAACTACTAACAATAATTATTGACAAAAACTTCTAATCTAATTTTTGTGTGTATGTGTGTGTGTGTGTGTGCCAGCTATCCCTCCCGTGACCGTGAATATTTATTTATTTCCGTCTCAAGTTGCGGCGGCAAAATTATTTTATATAATAACATTCATAAATTAAATAAATTTTAACTATATTGAAGTGTTTGAGTATATTATTATAAATAACAATTATTATTAAAATACTATATTAATATTTAACGTAATAACGTTCCTTTATATATTATTTTCAAAAATATTTATCGCGAGAAAATTCACGAAAAAGCATGCGTTATATTTCAAATACGATACAAATTCTATTATAGAATTGTATAGAATAAATTAGATTAATCATTTTCTAACGTTAAATTATCATAATTGCCATACTTTTACGGTTAAAACCGGTACACGAATTGAATAATTTGTTTAAAAAATAACATTTATATCGAATGCAGGTTGATGTTAATGTTTCATATTAATCATAGTATATTATATACATGTAGACAATATTCAAATTGATTGATTTTAAATCATTTCGTCAATATTTGAAGTTAGTTAAATATCATTCTGAAACTGACATACTCAGTAAAAGATCTATAGGAAGGGAGTTCAGGTGGTCTCTTGACCCACAATTAATTTTTGATGATAAAATTGGCCTCTTTGGTCTCTAAAAAAGAACTGAAAATGTACATATACAGCAAAGTGAGTAATTATCTATAAGTAATATTAAAATCATATCTTTATCCTACATGGCGTGATCTGTCACTGGTATTTCCTATATCCCTATTGAAAATAGGTCACGTTATTGTTGAATGAGATAAAAAAAAAATACCACCCAAGTCTGATAACCAAGAACCTTCCTTTATTATCTGGTTCTGCTGTAGTAGTATAATAGAATGCGTTCGCAGAACTGATAAAATGTTATATTTATAACCTGATAATAAAAACAAAGCAATCAATAAGTACCTTAACCTTCCCCTTCCCCAAATGGTTGAAATATTAAAAAAAGTATTTTATTAGGTACAGATATATACTTCACTTGAAAACAATCATTATAAACTATATAAATTGAAGCATATAATAATGTATATTCAGAGAATCAAACTTGAGTAAAATTATTTTTAAAAGTATTTAGAATAAATATTCCAATACATACAAAAATTAGTATTCAGAATATGTATTCAAATATTTTACAAAAGTATTTTCAAATTTTTCCGTTTCCATATTTTTCAAATACTTTCAGCAAAATGTAGCGTTTTTCAATGAAAATAAACGTAAAAGGAATGAATAGGAAAGGAAGACCGAAAAAAAGATGGTTGGTTGTAATTGAAAATGATATGAGGATGGTGGGTAAATGCGAGGACGATGCGGGGAATTGGGTTGAGTTTGAGTTTAAGACAAGAGTTACTGATCCTAAATAATTGGGATCAAGGCAAAGGAGAAGAAGAAGATTTTAATAAAAATGTAAAGTTAAGTTCGGATAATTTGAGGGAACTATAAATATTATGTTAATAATTATACATTATATTTTAACTATTGGGAATTTCGAAAAATGTTTTAAATCAAATACCACTGGGTGAAAAATTATGTATATTTTAAAGTAATATGTCAGACAGACCATTTTTACTAACCGTAAAAGTGTTTTCCGAGAAAATAAAATAATATTTTTCCAGTTAAGCATTCAACAATCTAATACGAGACTAAGAAAAATTATTCTAGGGATAAAATAATACAATTTTTAGAAATACTTAAATAAGAGTACAATAATACTTTTTAAGAGGACTTAGTTTATTTATACGACATTTACTGTCTCCGTCTTACAAATGCGAGACAGCAAATCTGTGTTCAGTAGAGCAAATTTCGTACCCTTAATTTCCATATTCAAGTAAATTGATTTATTACCAAAATTAAAGGTGATGTGTGCCCTAGCATTGATGATTTTTCGATATTTTTATTTTTAAACGAGGTATGAATATGTGGAAATATCACAATTGAAAAATGATTATATCTTGCTTAAAAATTAAAATATCGAAAAAAAATCAACGCTAGGGCACATATAATATTTTTACCTTAAATTTTAGTTATAAGCCAATTTGCTATAATGTTAAAACTAACAGCACAAAATTTGTCATATGTCACGTGTTTGTAAGACGGGGACAGTAAATGCGGTTGTGGCGTCCTTTTAAAAAGTATTCGGAATATTATGTCTGTATAATATAATATGTTTTTATAACAGCCATAACGGGTGATTTTAAATAATTTTATTTAGACCTTCCTCTCTTAAAAAAATTCCTGAGTGTGTCCTTAGTCCTAATTAATGACACTAAAAAGTAGCCTCTCAAAAATAGCTGACCCACAGTTGTGAAACTCTAGATCTGTTACTGGACCTACCCATAATTTCACAAGATTCATCACTCACCAGTCAAATTAACTCATCAAAAGTAAAAATTCCAATAAACAATATTTAAACACTCCCGTAAAACAAATACAAATTCTAACTAAGGACATCAAACTATAATTAATTTTTCAACTCATAACATGGATTCCTCCTTTAGTGTAATTCAGTTTCTGTGACTCCTTCCAGTCGAGAACCACCAAAATAAGTAGTATTTGGATATTACATCAATATTTATCTGTTTTACAAAATGTTTTTTTCTAATTTTTCCCAATTACTGTGAAAGCCAATTGGAAAATCCAAAAATTCACTAACTACATCCAAAATTATACAAAGACCGTCCCTTATTGTCATTTTTTGTTTGGAGTAAGAGTTTTGATAGAAAATGTTTTCAACGAAAGATAAAATAAAATAATAACCATATATCATAGTAAGACCAACGGATTTCTCACTTCGTTTAGAATCTAAAAAAATATATAATTATAATACTTACAAGTAACACTTAAAGAATTTTACAAATGTCCTGTCAAATATTAACAAAATAGGTGAATATTACAAACGAGGATACCCGACCCCAAATGGTTGGGATGAAGGCAAACACAAAGAAGAAGAATAATTAATTCTTAATAATTAATTAAGAATAATTATTAACAAATTAAGATTTGTATTCTATTTAGGTTTATATACATAAGCATAATATATTAGGTTACTAAAGTTTTCAAAAATGTGTATGCAATTATATAGTTCATTGTTTAAAACATGCTTAGAAACCGGAAACTTAGCATGTTTATAGAGTGAACTTTCCTGACTTGTTTTTTTTTTTTTACGAAACCCTTCCAAATTCAACACTATTAATATTGTTAAAAATCCGATCCAATATTTATATTAATATAAGCAATAGTTTGTGCTAGAACAAACGGCATAAATGTTAATTATTTCTAGTCGGAATACAATAAAAAAAACTTAACAATTCATTAAAAAAATTTACAAAACCAAAAAACATAAATGTACATTACATTAGTTATACAGTTACAAAATAACTACTGTGGAATGTGGAATAATATTATTGTTGATAAAATGTAACAGGTAGAAAAATGTGGTAACATAATAAGATAACATGCTAGTATATGATTATTGTTAGAACATAGATAGGTACCTCTGACTTTATTATATAAATAAACGATCAATGGTTGTACGAACGCAATTATTCAAGACCTAAATCGTATAGGAAAAAACATATGCTGGGTTTTTTTTCGTCTGGTTTACTTAAATTAAAACTGTTAAATAATCAGTATACATAGTATACATATTGACACATGTTTTAAAACTGTACACGGGTATACCTACCTACCTAAGTTATTTCATGCGCCTGCTGCAGTGTATGTTCATTAAATTATTAATAATATACGGTTAAATGTTCACCGCTCGCCCGTACGAAATAAAAATATATTTTTAATTTAATTTTTAAAAAACGCGTAGATTAAGCATACAGGTACTCTACTAAAAAAATATGGCAAACACACAATAAGTAGTATAGTAGGTACTTGTTTTGTTGCGAATCATTAACTAGTCAAATTTGTCACTATGAACAAAGTTTATAATATTATTATCAAAATCATAAGCTTTTTATTATTATAATTGTATTTTTTTTGTCAAAAATATCGCAATAGCAAATATGTGAGCTCACCGGAATTTTAAGACAAGGTATAAGAACAGCGTGTGAATGTTAAAAGAAGAAAACATATTTTTCTTTGACAATTGCGGACACGAGAAGACGATAAGCCAGTCTATAAATTCATCACTTTTGCACGCGTAAGACAATATTGACAAAATGCAAAATGCAAAAAAAACAATTGAAAGCGCACTCACGTTGGTTGAGGTTGGCCGTTACATTTGACGCGGTCCACATTTCTGAAACCAGAAAATTATATGATTTTTAAACAAATATCTACATAACATATTGATAATCCTGTAAAACATACGTTATAATTTAATACTGGTGCCTAAATTGCAGTCGCGCCAAAATTGCATGTACAATATACATTCAAATATAATTTAAGTAATTTTTGACAACGGCTTGCAAGGATTTTTTCAAATGAAACATTATCCCTCCCTACTTTGAAACCGAATTTCGACGAAAGAAAAATACATTTAGACAATCTACGCTAAGCAATATACAATTATTAATTAACTTGTTTGAAAAACAATTTTAAAAATAAAAGATTTTTAAACAATAAAACGGAAAAATTAAACTTACTGAGATCCATCCATATCTTAGGATATTGCGTGAACCATTTTATTCAACGTCAATCATGTACGTATATACTTAGGTAGGTAGATAGGTACTATAATAATATGGAAATAACGTTGTAATATACGTAAAATAATGAAAATTGAATATTATTATTATCGAGTTATAACAACTATGTTTGAGATCGACGAAAGAACCGCAACTGAATGAACAATACGTTTTATTTTTTGTACCGACGTATATACTTATGTAAAAAACATATAATATACGAGCCATACATCGGTTATCTCTCGAATTTCTCATGACTATAGAGACCAAAGACCTTTCATTAAATAGATATAGGCCGACTGGGCACAAATTTAATGATAACAATAATTTACGTTACGTGTAAGTAGGAAAATATTGAAGATAAAATGTTGTTAAAAATTTCAGAAATTTAACAAAATCGACATATTTACCGAATAAAAAAAAAAATGATTATTATAATTTAACGGATAAACGGATGACGATAAAATAGAATTAATTCGATAAATAATTTTTTAAATATTTTTTACATTTATACCTAATTCAATTTATCTATACATATTGTTTACTGCAGTAGTTTAATATTTAATGTGATGTAAACCGCAATAGTGCACAATTTTGATAATCAATCATTTACTGCGTACTTCATTCAAATATTTTTGTTTTCTCGGTGTAATTTCTGAAAACAAAAAAAATGTTTTAATCCCCGATGTAACTAAAAACTTGAAATATTATATACGAGTCATTCGAAATGGTTTATTCTGTTCGGTATTCGTCACGGTTAGAAAATCAAACACACTATATTATTATAATTTATAATCTATAGATGTCGTATCGAATGATAATCGTGTTTTGAAAGCATACATATAGGTACGTACAAAAAAAATTAAATCTACACATTTCACAATAAATGTATAATAAATAATAATGTATTGAAAACAATGTTAATTACTATAGGTTTTGCGGTACATAACAACATATGAATAATAATAAGAAAACAAATTATCTATAGATCCTTTATGATCCATTTAAGTAAAAAAAAAACGATCAACTTTCATTTCTCTAGGTCGGAGCTATCATAATAAACCTATACCTATATAGACGTTCTACACCTACCTAGTATTTAAAAATGATCTATCTACCTAGAAACCGGATAGGGCGCAAACCATGTAAACTCGTGATTAATAATTATATGTATTATTATATAATATGTACACACGTTATTGTCACAAACCTATTATTACTCTATCACTTATCACTCATCATCCGTAACCACGTATTATTATTATATTTTATCTGATGATGACGGGGCCAACGAGGTTAAATTTCACTGTGATGGTCTCCTAATTCTTCCGTCAAACGTTAAATTTATTATTAATGTGCTGCATTAATAATATAAAATATTGTCCTTTAAAAACGAACAATATTTTAAACATTCAGTCGATTGAAATTTTTCCGAATGCGAATTAAAATTAAAATACTATACGTGCAATGGTGTGTGCAGGGGAGGTAGATTAATGTCTCATTCCCCCCTTCCTATTGGTTTAAAAATACAAAAGATATATGTATTTATTTAGTATTGAAATGTACGTATAAATTTCACTAAAATTACAAGAAAAATTTGGTTTTTCGGAACCGACTTTTAAATTGCCAGTTGGGCAGGAAATAAGATTTTTTATAATTAATTCATATTTATTATTTTCTGCATCCTCTCCTATTAGAAATTTTTGGAAAAGCCACTATTCAATTATCCACATTACTCCCTTAGGTCCAATCTTTAACTATCATTATCAATTTCTAAGGTATATATATGTTATGGGCAAATATCAAAATCTGGCAAATCTCAGAAACACGAAGTGTCCACGATATTTGGGCAAAACGTCATATTTCGGCTTTTACCTAGACAAACCTAGTTGTGACCAACTTCATTTGGGCAAATCTGTAACGTCCATACATTTATTTTATAAATAAATAAATCGAATAAATTAATATATTTAAAAAAAATCTTACAACAAAAATAGCTAAGGTTTACCAAATGTTTATTTTATATAGTCACTATATGTCGAAAACTAGATATTTTCGTGCAAGAACCAATTTATTACTGAGGAGAGTAAATATTGTAATATTATTAACATAATACTTACCTACTGTGAAAGGTTGAAATTTACGTTACGAAATTAATGTTAGAGATTTGCTTGAATGAGGTTGGTCACAACTAGGTTTGTCCCGGCAAACGCAGAACTATGAAGTTTTGCCCAAGTACCGTAGACAGTTCGCGTTATACATATAAATATATCGATTTATATATATATATAGGAATCAATAGGTTTGAGAATCAACCAAAAATAACGTAATCGTAATTCGTAATAAAAATTTAAAAATATCGATTTTCTTAAGATGCTATAAAAATATAAAACCTATATATATACTTTATTTTTAGTTTTACTTCATAGATCATAATCAACAATAAGCATACATGCATAATATAGATACAAACATTTACTAAAAACTAAAATATTTCAGATAATAATATCATACGCTGTATGGTGTGCAGAAAAAAAAAAGAACAAGTGCCTTGATATTATTTGTATTGCGATGTATACAATAAACATCTTATATATTGATGATAGAATAAAACTATTATAATATTATTATTCGTGAAGACGTGCTAAGGCAGGTGTACAGTTAAACTATTGGTCCCGTGTGCTGAAATTTATTGTACAATGATAAAATACAATTGAAAATTCTATACAAGAAAAAAAGAAATTATGCAGTGCGAGGCAGTTGGCCATATAGTATAGCAGAATCACAAGGATAAACAAGATATATAAATACTCCATATGCTTGTAAAACATCAAATAAATTATCTAACTTGAAATGTCATAACATTTAGAGTTGTGAAAACAAATAAAAAAAGTGAAATTCACCAGATTTATAAGTTGTATATAGTAATGTATACATTATTGTGTACCTTGAATATTACATATATTGCAGTTTTGGATGAGCCACAAGCGAGAGCAAACTGATATATTTCATTATTGTTTAAAATTAAAATTGAACGTATGGGAAATCGATTCGGTTAACCGATAACATTTGGGCAGACTGTTAATTTTATATAATTGTGAAATTCTCTTCTATACACAAACGATTATATGAAAAACATTTATTCATTTTCAGTTACTCTATACAATTTAGATGAACTGTATTATTAGTTATAAAATAGGTAAAATCGTATTCATTGTAAACTGCAGACAGTAAAGAATCGAACCCATCAAAAAACCCACCGTTATCTTCTAAGTCCGTGTCTGAATGAAAAACCGCAGCAAAAGAAAGCGATATTACCAAAATACAGATCTATTATAGATAAAACAATTTTCTAGGGGCAAATAAATAGGTATAAGAGTATTAACAAGTTCCGAAACACTTCAACTATCCGAAAATGTGTATATTTTAACACGTTCTATCGATAGAAAAATGAACATTCATTCTGTCCAGAATATATAAGAATTACATCCTATATACACATAATACTTTTATGAATACAACGTTCATAAATAACCGCATAAACTGTAATCATGTAGATTATATAATCTGTAACTATATATTATAATCTTTGACAATTTGTATTAAAATATCATTATAAATATCGTATATATTGATTTTAATAGCATTCATATACAAGTGCAGTGATAACTCTGATCTCTATAACTGTCTGTTATGCTATGTTTTTATTCGAATTTACTAGGTTATCCTTTACATTTTATTTTTTTAAATTTTGTATCGGTTATAATCGTTGCCTAATAACGTCGTAACATCATAAATAAATAAAACGCATAATATTATGAACTTTCTATATAACTTATGTTAATAATTATCAATGGGAGAGGGAGACAAATTACTATTAACGCATCGGAATACTATTATAATAATATTATACTTTCGATACTTTCATAAACAGGCTAATTCATTTATCATAATAGAAACGGCCATTATCTATATATATATACGGAGATTTTGAGTTAATTCGATTTTCTCAATAATTATCTACAGAATCGCGTTTAATGCACTCATATTTAAAATAGGTTTTCAACATTTTATCCTTAGTCCGTATAGATACACACTACACATATCAACTTTCGATTTTCAAAATAGTAACACACAATTTTTTTAAAAACTCAAATTCAATTAGAGACAATTGTGATAATATCGTTAATTGGTTATTATTTTATTAGATATTTTAAAATTTAGACTGTGTAGACAGTATAGAAGCAATAAGAAAAGTTAATAGTAATTTCATATTCACGCATATAGATAACTTGAACTCATAATATTACAAAATACTATACGCGGTGATCAATCGATTGTAAGATACTCATTATCCCGGAATATATTAACTCTTTTAAACATTTTTTTTTTAAAAAAAAACAAATTAAGAAACATTCTGCTATAAAATGTTACATTATCATTATTTTTGGGGGTGAAACGACTGCCTATTTTTGATTTTCAAATAACAACCTATATTAAAAATGCTATAAATATATGGAATATTAGTGTTTAAATTTTTCATTTCCGTCAATCCGTTAACGAGATACTTCACTTTTAAGTTTAGGCAGAGGGAGAGTAGTGGAGCTCCGGGCACTGTGCCGCCACATAAATTATGCTCCGCTACTCTTCCCCAACCCAAACTTTAACGTGGATTACTCTCGTCAGCGGATTAACGGAAATGAAAAAAAATTTAATTTATACAAATTACAATTCGTGTAAAAAGAATCAGTTTGCAGTAAAAATCAAATGTCCTTATAATATTATAATGGTATTATATATACGTTGTTCATACATACATATGTATATAATATATATATAATAACACTGTATGCCGATCCTTGATACTAGGAGCGCAGAATACGTACTTCAAGTGGTTCAAATGAATCACCTAAATTTAAGAGTGGGTGGGTGGATGGTGACATACGTGTTTCAAGTCTTCATCCGATTACGAATTGATATAATTTACCAATCGAGACAGATAAGTTTATATTAAGTAATATTACTGATAAATTCTGTAATTATTAGTCAACTGCCGTCCTAACCTAACGCCGCATAGGCGTTTTGCGTCCTCCGTTTCAATCAATGCAAGTCGAGAATAATTGTTCAAGATGATTTTCGAAGAACTCATGGAACTGAAGCCTCAACTACTCAAAGCATTCGACATTGGCATTAAACGTTCCAAGAAATTGGTTGTTTGTGTGTACAGAAACGCTCAGGTCGACCTCGTACCTTATTTGGGATGAATTTGAATAAGTACCGTATAGATGTATGTCAGGTGGCCTGTAGGGGTCATATTGAACATTTGTTAACCAAATTAATTAAAACTTAATTATTTTAAAAATACTTCTTACTTCATTTTTAAAATATATATACATTTTTGAAATCTGATGAAGACTTTTGAAACATACTGTATAATTTTTTATTGCAATTAAAAAGATTAATAAAATAACATAATCTACTCTAATAAATTATTAATAATCAATATTTTTTAAAAAGTCACTAATTATTTATTAATTATTGGTTAATGTGCTGGTAGGTGGACGGGTAAAATTAGGAATTAAAAATTATAATTTTAAAGTATATACATGTTATGGGGATTTTACTTCCATAGCCCCCCTCCTTTGTTCGCCTCTTGGTGGGTGGGTAATAGTGGGCAGTAGAGTTCAAAATTAATATCATTTGAACCATCAATATTTAAAGAACTCGGCATCATTACCTTGATATATGCTATACAACACTATTATACAATATCGTAATAAATCCAGTGATGTGTGCGGCCACTCTATTCATTTAAAAATACAACAAGTATAGGTATGAGTATTTATTAAGTAATTTTATCTTAAAAATATAATATATTTAAGTCAAATTGCGAGGGAAAAAGATCGATGAAAAATTAAAATTGACTTTGCTTATGGATCCTGCTTTTAAATGTTTATTGTCCAGTTAAGTATACGTGTATGACAGAAGATGGTATTACTATTTACTCATAAATCTTGATTATTATATTTACTATATCCCCTCCCGTTAAAAATTCCCAGGTACGCCAGTGAGATAATAATACTATTTACACACACAAATACATTATAGTATTCCAGACATAATTGTCTAATTTATGTTATTACTTTAATATTATACTATATCGTAATTACGTACAATTATTAGAAAAAAATCTTAAAAAAAAATTGTATGTGCACATTAGTAGACTTAGATAGCTACTTAGCTGGGAATTTCTTAGTTTTAATAATAATAAAAAAAACATATTATAATCACGTATACTCGTATAGACGTACAAAAGTGTTTAATAATCTAAACTCTCGTATATAATATTATAGGAACAGTGATATGAAACGATTATTTTTATATCTGTACGCAAACCACTGACTATGAAAAATGATTCTGAGTAAAATTTAGCACGACATATTTAGAATGCCATAATTTTTACGATTTTTATCAATATTTGATCTTAAAATCGATAAGTACAACTTATAATGTACCTTTCATTAAATTTTCAAGCATTTCTCTTAGGTGATATATAATTTTAATAACAAAAAACTACTAAATTTGTAATTTTTCGATGGGAGCAATATTTCTGGTAGAAAATATAAGTGACAAAAATTAAAAACAATAAAATCGGTAACGACGCGACGCGCCATAAATATTTACCATTTTACCTATAATTTTCTTTTTCGGGTTTTTCTTAATTATTTTAAAAACTCTTTGGAAAATCAAAAAATCACCTTTTTAATGCTCCAACTAGACAAAATTACCTTTCAGTAAAGGTGCTTCACTCTATACATCGGAAAAAAATTTCTTTTCGAAAAGCAGTTTACAAACGGAAAAAAAAACACACATGGATTGAAAATCAACAGATTTTATAACACGGAGTATAAATACGGCCAATAAGAAAAGTTAACCTCATAATTCCTCCCCCCCTCCCCCCATGTGTACGCTTATGGCCCAAACGGTTTATTCATGTATAGGTATTGTATAATACCTATACTTACCATAATAACCTAATATCTTACCATATAAGATTTACGTACTCGAACGTTCTACATCCAAACCATAGTAGTCTTAATCAAGAGCATTTGATCTGTTTCTAAATCGACCTTGGTTAATCAACATTTAAAAAATCATCATATCATCGTCATACTTGTCTGATGAAGATGATAGTGACAAAACTAAAATTATATTAGATATTTTGTAGTTTTTATATCACCTTACACTGAAGAACGCGTCGATGAATTAAATTACATTTTCTTATGATAACAGAATTATAATTATATGACAAGGAAATTATTCACAATTCCACAGAATATTTTTGGTTAAAGAGTTCTAAAAATTGTACAGAACTGAAATCAGCTCAGAAGTATTGGATAACTGTACCAACTATTGGATTATTAATTTTGCAGAACGGATTTTAATTTTACAGAACCGATAGCCTGTTCTTATCCGTTCTATAATTTCATGCAACCCGGTATAAGCATATTGACTAATAATAGTGATAATAAGTAGCAAATCCTAATGTATACTAAAATATTTATATACGATTTTTTTTGAAATATTCCGTCGTCTTTTTAAAAAATCTACCGGTATCCAATAAGAGGTAAAACTTGCGATAACATTCGATAGTTTCATTTTTTGTTATGAGCATTCGCAGGCTTTTTCCAGAAGGAACGGCAAAGGTAATTTCAAAAATAAATTATGTTTTTGAACCAACCATGTTTTTAGTGTTTCTTTTAATAATTTTGATACAATATAGTGGCGTACATCGATGATCATATTGTGAAACAACTTACTGCAGTTGTTAAAACAAAAATAAAATGATCGAAAACAATTTATATATCTTTTGTAAACAAAACAAAACCGTATGATATTTTGTCGTCGTCGTCGTCGTAAAAAAAAAAAAAAACAAATTAGAAATCGTAAAATTATAGTACCCACTTTTTTGTGGCTAGTTTAGCCAAATATGATGATAAAAATTCTATTATTTTCAGCTGAATTGTGTAGACCATATACTATATGTAATATATAATATATATAAAAAATAATAATATTACATAGGTAGTTATTTTTGCTCGAGTATAAACAACGCGACGTCACGAGCAAATTATATGAGTATCTATTATTTTGGTCCTTAACAAATATTGATGGTCCATCGTCTTTTCGTCATAAATTAGGTAATGTACGCGTGTGTATCGTATAAAATACTATTTTTTAGCGTTTTTTTTTTTTTTCTTTAGAAATATACAATAATAAGAATAATGTATTATTACGTCTAGTATACTCGTGTGATTTATATTATATAATACTTATAAATTTATAACGAATATATTTATATATCTGAATATTTCAATGTTGTCGCCGTATTAAAATGAACTATATTAAATTTAGTACTGTTTTTTTTTTTTTTTTTTTAATCATACAAAAAGCATATATTATAATACAAAAAAAAACAACTTAAATGTTTGAATTGTGTTTAAAACGGATATATGTATACATATATATATAGGTATGTAAAAAAAATTAAATAAAGATAAAACGGGTTTGATTTTAATACGTACATTAATAACCCGACTATAATATAAGTGTAATTTATTGTTTAATTGCAAATTATGCCAAAAGGCGTTCATATACCTATACCAACTATATTTAATGTATAATAGGTAAAAGGAAACTAATTTTCGATTTACACTGTTTACAGTATTAATATTTTTCGTTGAGTTTATCACTCAATTTAATTCACGATACAAAATTTTAAAACTAGGTATTATACGTTTTTCGTAAAACGTAAAAAATTATATTCGTTTGCAATGTACAATATATCAAGGTAAAATTTTTAAGCGTATTATATAGTTAATAATTTTAAACGTACCGTTGAATACTAATTAATTATTTTATTTTTCATGTATTTACTTTGATACGTAATTATTAATATCACCCGAAAATCATAATTTATTTTACGAATATTACTCAAACTAGGATATAGCCGAATTTAATTATGTTTATATTTAATATTTATAGGTAAAATGATTTTGTCGAATTAATTTTGAATAAGTTGTTGTCAGCTGATCAAAAATACCTAATGAGATATACTAAAGTAAAAATACTTTTAAAATATTATACATTTTTAAGTGTGTGTGTGTGTGTCTTTATAAGTGCGTGTATATATTTGATAGGTCAATACTTTATTTAAACAACTAATAAGCTTTTAACTAAAGAAAAAACTTGTCTAAATAACATATTTTTAAGGTCATTGACTTTAAAATCGAGAAACATTCTGTGACTAAAATCATACATCTTTTGCGCACATTTATGATAGTAGACAGCGTTGTGCATTAAAAAGTAATAAAATCTTTACTACGCGTACATAGATACTTAAGCATTTATAATTATCTGGAAAACGAATTTCAAATCTTATGATGACTTGCTAGTTTCTGCATAAAAAAATATGTTTGAACAAAAACGCTATAACAGCATACCTATTATTCATATGTAATAATTCAAAAATTACGAAACATAAAATAAAAATTCAAATATTAATTTTCATTAAATCCATAATTTTAAAATTAAGATTGACCAGATTGATTATATAGGTAGTTATTATTATACAAATGTACCAAATTAATATAAGTGAAATTATCAGTATTGTAATATAAATAAGTTTTAAAACAGGAAAAAATGGATCGACGTTCTCAAAGAGAATCCAAGAAATCTGAGAACGGAAAACTGGAGAGACGTGTGGTCCAAAACGCTGATATAGGTGACATAATGTTTTAGCGACGGAATCTCTCAGGGAAAGTTGTAAAGGCCGTAAGAATAAGAGAATGAAAAAGCGTGATATGGCATATCTATTATAGATCTATATCGCCATGACTATTGCAATTACAATATTATGTTTTTTGATAAAAAAAAAAAAAAAAAAAAAAAATTGTATAATAATATATTTTGTCCTTACAGACAACCTTTTCGCAAAAAGTAAGGACGTACAATTTGTATCATTTTTTTTTTCAATTTGACTTCATATAATTTTAATAAGAATTACCTCGCCATTTGTTTGTAGGTATATATATATATATGTATGTGTGTGTGTGTGTGTGTGTGTGTGTGTGTGTGAAAGAGAGAGAGAGAGAAAGAAGAGAAAATAATATTATTTTATTCCATTTGTAATAGTCATAAAAACACTGATAATATTATATAGATGTAATTTAATGATAAAAAAAAATAAAAAAAAAATAAATCAAGCAATTGTTATTGTAATGCTTTACTATCATCAGTGTCATCGATATTTTGTAAATTAAATCACACACACACATACACACACATATAAGTAGATAAGTTTCCAGTTCTACAATCTGTCTATACGACAGATTGTCAAATTGCGAATAACTTGACAGAAATGGGTTTAATATGTGATAATATTATGAACCTACATCTGTAAATATATCTTCGTTGTTAAAACAGTACCTCATATCTCCAAAAAGTATTTATTTTTTTAAGGAAACGCAAAGCAAAAAATTTATTTTAAAATTAAACTCGGATAATGATTTAATATGGTTAGACAACAGTTTATTAACATGTTTTGTATTTTACACTTTTCGATTTCACAAAATGATAACCAGGTATTACGAGGATTTTAACAATAATATATTGATACCAGATTTATGTAATGATGTTTCAACGTTTATATTCTCTTTGGATTTTGTGGTTTTACGTGGTATTTATACTGAATTACGTGCCTTTTTTTTCTATTAAGTTTTATGTATATAACCCATTTTTTATATTTTTGGAGATACATAGTACTGTTTTGACAGAAACAGTAGGCATGTAGACATATAATACGTCTATAAAAACAAAAAAGAATCTTCACGAGCTTTACAGAATTAGCATAAGTATACGTTTACAATAATATGTCAGAAGCTCCGCAATCAATTTAAAGCTAATTCATTCAACAATTTTAGATTAGGTAAACTGATAATAATATAATATTATGAACGGCACAGAGAAAGAAAAGGAATATAATCTTAAGAATTTCGAGAAAATGATAGATTTTAAAGTTTACCATTCCTCTACATTTTCCTTCCATGTTGGTTATATTCTAGTTTCCAGACAGAGAGGGCACAGACTTTAAATCCCTTTTGGAAATTTATAACTTTAATCAGTACGATAAATATACAAATTGTGGCGGTTTTAAATGAAAAAGTTGTCTATAATCGCTCCCATTAAATATTTTCAAGCATGTTTTTGTTCAAAATTCTCCTCTATTACAACAATGTGTATGCAAAAGATGTTTCATATTTTAAATGTTTATTTAAATACCAATAATTTATACATCCAATGTAACTATAACAATATATTTTGGTCAATAGGGTACTAATATTAGTAGTATTTATATAAAAGACACGAAAACCCAAAAAGAGGCCGATCCATCAATCATCCGCTCCCTTTTTAAATACCCACCACTATATTTCCCCCTTGTATACGGATATTATATTTATTGTTCAATAGAATTTACTTACTTATTGACACAAATATACTAACAAAAAAAAATTAAATAATTAAATGGACCATTTTTGTTGTTTCCCTGGACCCTAGTGGTTTTTACTGCACTCTCATGTTCCATTTGTAAATAGGATCGTGAGATTTGATAAATTATGTTCCGGAAGTCGTTATAGTAGTATATCTATTTTCCCCCACAAAAACCGGGGACACGTGATAAAATCGTTATTTTTTGAATCATGCGTAGGGTCATTGATAGGTGATTTCGAAATTCGGGTAATTTGTCCCTTTACAGAGGTCCATTTCGTCAGTATGACCGGGTAAACTAAAATACGAATGAACGAGGAATTGTTCATATATTTTTTTATAAATGTACATCTGATCAAAGCGCGTTCAGTTTTTTGAATTTCCCGAGGACAAAAATAAATTGTCGGTCACCGATTTCCTGTTCGAGACTGGAACGTTTGTCGAACAGATTGTAATACGCATGCTGATCAGTCTTTCATAAGGCAATCTTATTATTATTATTTTTCGTCTATATTATTATGTCGGAAAAGTATTAAGGTTTTCCGAAATTATTTTATGAGACAATTCTCAAATACTTTATGTGTTAGATAAGGAAATAAGTCAATACTTTCCAAAATAATTCAGATAGAAGATTGAAAACCGCGTACAAAATTATACACAACCGGATATAAAAATAAGTGTAAACTAAGCCTCTTGAAACTACTCGGGGCGGAGACGGACACCCTGATCCGGATATCCTGTCGGATACGCGTGAACGGACAATGCATAACTATGTGTAAAAAAAGGAATAAGGACATAACCGGTAGGAACATCAGGACTGACCTGCAGTGCGTCTTGTCGGTCTTGTTCAGCGACAGCCTGGACAGTAGGGGTATGTGTCTGTGCAGGGTTCCGAATATGCCACCGCTGGTACCGCAGCCGGTGCCGTCGGCCACCGGATCACCAGGCAGCACGGGTCCGTTAGGATCCGTCGGTTCCGGCGGCTCGTCCGTGACGGCCAACTTGACCGCCACCGCGGTGGTCGGCGTCATCGTCGAGCTGATCAGCTGTTCCCATGGCGTCGACATCCGGCAACCGGTGGCCACTCGCGGCCACGCGCATTTACCGCGGCGGTTCCGGCGTACCCACCTCTACGCGCACGGCCACCGCGGCGTGCGCTGTACGATATTCACTACGATAGGTGGCGCGCGTCAAACACACGGCCAGTTAATATATATTTTTATATAGTTTGTATTATGATTATTAAATTTATTGGGTATGCCACTACGACGTGGTAGTCGGCGTCGGCGGCGACAGCGACGACAGCGGATACGACGTCTTCCGGCCGTTCATCGCGACATTAAACACAATGAAAATGAATAATAAAAATAATTTATCGTTCCTATACAATGCGAAACAACGGCCACAATAATATTTAACGATAACGAACGATAACCGTACGGGTTTCGGCGACGTCCCGTTTCGCGCTCCCGCACAGGCCTCGACGACGCGTCAACTATATACAACGTGTACGTATACGCGCGGCGACGTGACGAACGGATTAACGAAGACCGTCGACCCGAGATTAACGTGCACTAATAACGCGCGGCGGCGACGGATTCGCGCAGCAGCAGCAACAGCACGGCGGCAGCGGCGGCGGCAGCAGCAGCAGCTGACGGGCGGGTGGCAGCGACGGAGGTCCCCGTATGGATGTGTATGCGTGTGTGCGTGTGTGTTATAGTCTGCCGGAAGAGGGCGGAGTGGAGAAGGGGGCCGGAGGGGCTGGCGGGAAACCGAGAGCCCCGCGTATACGTACGCTATGCATATAATATTATTATTATTGTTACTATAATATTATTATTATTATTATTATTATTATTATTATTATTATTATTATTGTTATTATTACAACGATACTACATTATTATAATGGCGCACTCGTGGCTCGTGTCGCGCAGTGTGCACTATTAATGGCTGCGTTCGAAAATTCAGAGTAGAGTCAGAGTCAGAGTAATATAGCCATTGCAGTATCAATAACACTGTATGTTTGAATGATAACGTCACGGTTTAAAATTATAAGGTTAATATTGATAATAAACGATAACAACTATTGCGGATTATGCGTCTCGCTGTTATACGATACGCGTCTTTATCAATAGAGTTAATAAAAACTTAATTCGGTGGCGTAAATACCGGTTGGGCAAGGTGGGCAATCGCCACGAGCCCGTATCATTTAAGGACCCCTAATCAGAGCTCAAGGCATTATTGGACAGGCTTTTTTTTTTTTTTTTTTGGCTCATCGGCCCTGAACCAATGCCATTTTTTTTTTAACAGGCATTAGGAGTTCTAGTTGAGCTACTGGCCCAACTATTTATCTCGGACCGTCAGAGTTAAAAACTCTGCGTTAACAAACGACACACACACAGGAGTTCACTCGAGTTGAATTTTCGAATGCAGCCAATCATAATATTACGCAAGTACGACCCTTTACGGACGTATTTTAGATTCGGAGCGTAGCAAGGGATCTATTAAACAGGTTCTCTTGGTACTACTATGACACATTGTGTGTTTTTTTTCGTGTAATAGTAACGTATTTTAATGTTTATAAATTAAAAACGATTTTTTTTTTTTGAACAAAACACTTGCTTTGAACGAAAAATGACAAGAGAACACTTTTCAAGCATTTCGGATTTAGTTGGTGCATTAGGGAAACCATTTTTAAATTTTCCAAGGGGTTTTCTAATAATTAATAAAAGCAGGAAAAAAAAATTATCCGGCAAATCGGCAAATATTTACGACACGTCGCAACGTTGTTGATTTCATTTTCAATTTGTACGCATTAAGTTTTCTACCAGAAATCTTACTTCAATCAAAAAATATTAAATAACGTTTTTGCTGCATTTTTGACCTAGTTACTGAGAAAGTAAATCATTTTAATTTTTCTAGCAGCTTACATTATAATGGGGAAAAACCAAAAATAACGTAAAATAAAAACTAACAATTTACGGCGCACGATTTCATTATTTTAAATTATTACGCACGATGTTTTTTACCGGAAATATTTCTCCAATAAAAAAACGACAGTTGGCTTTTTTGTTGTATTTTCAATTTAGTGGGCGAGCAAGAAATTGGTTTTTTTAATTTCCTAATAGTATTTTAAATAATTGAGCAAAACCGAAAAAAAACTTAAAAAAGAAACAGGAAAATTTCAGAAAATAATACTTTTATTATTTTCAATTTTTAATTTTTTTTTCCAATATAGTTAAAAAGTTATCAAGAGGTTCATTATAAGTTGTACTTAGTGGTCAAACCTAATGGCTTAACCTCCATTTTTTTTTCGGTTTTTCACATTTCATGAGAAAAAGGTTAAGAAAATCGAAAAATTAACTCCTTAGAGTACCTTGTAATGATATGCTATTTAGGCTATCATACATTATGTAATGTTAATAAATCAAACAATTAATAACAGGAATGATAGTAAAACATTTACATCCGATTCCATTCTTTTTTATTATCAAATAACATATATTTTAGTGCGATATTTACTCATTAGTATTAACCAAATTAAGATAGCACATTTACACACGCACACACACATATTTCTCCAGTTATAAGGAGGCCGGCCACTTCCAATAAACACACAGTGTATGTATTGTTCCCGTTGCTTTTGGACAGATGATCACAAGCGAGTGTAAAAGACTACGCAGAGATTCTTACAAAAGCACGGGAACCNCAACATATCAATTTGCCGCCTGAAGAAGAAAGGTAATCAAATTTATAATTAATTTATACGTGTGAATCGAATTTACATAACTAGGCACCTCCCGCCTTATTTTTGAATTACTACAACCTCCTCACACCGATTTCCTTTCAGAAAAGGTGCTACTCTTTAAAATCAAAATTTCTGGCAAAAAAGTTACGCACAGATAAAAAAAAAATATTTTTATAAAACCATAAGCTTCTTTGCTCCACTTAGAATCTAAAAGGCTGTAGTTTTTTTTCAACTAATACCTACATTTTCTACATTTTCCCGTTTTTCCAATTTGCTGGGAATATCGAAAAATGACCTTTCTAAAGTACCTCCCCAGTTAGATTTCCAGTAGGTATAAGTTGAAAAAAATACTAAAGCGTTTTTTTTTCTGGTGGAAAAATTTTCTACAAGAAATTTTTCTCCAATTTACAATGATAGCAATTTTTCTGAAAGTAATTCTGGCTGGAGAGATACTTTAAGGAGGTCATTTTTTGATTTTCTCGGAAGTTTTCCCTATAAACGGGAAAACTAGGAAAAACGTAGAAAAACAGGAAAATAGATACAATATTAAATAAATTGTATTAAAGAATATATATAATGCAAAAATGCATAATGTAATTATTTTACCATAATATGACATACACATATATTGTTAACAAAGCAACAATATCAACCGAACTCTACTCATAAGCGTTTTGTTCACTAACAATGAATGGTTAATCATTGCTATAAATATAAATTATAATACTTTATGTGTCCTACCTTCCTAAGTTCTCCTTTATTTAATCAGTAGTAAAGCTAATACTTTAGCTCTTTTTTTTCGTTCCCGTCTTTTTTGCAAATTATCGCAAATTGTTTTCCCGAATATTCTCGCAGGCTGGTACACGTTGTGCAGTCCCATTTATCCCGGTCCTCTGTCGACGTGTATTGGATATCCATCAATGCTTCTTTGCCCGCCAGAGTATAACGAACTGCACCTACAATTAATAAAAAGTATTCCTGAAAAAAATTCTTTGATAACTGTGATAATCGTTGGCCAGGATAATAAATGTATTTCATTATTTATATTTTTCTACCTATGGTATAAAAAAATTCACATTATAAATAATTTAAAATTGTTTTTATCATTATCTACCAAATGTACTGACAGGAGTTGGTGTTGTCAACCCCCTCTTCCTCGAAAATGAATAGTTGTGTAATTTATTTATATAAATTCTACATTTTTTTTTTACAAATACTGATTATATTGATAATATTGATAATTGTAATTTTTTATATAAAACCTCCGAATTATTTTTTTGTGTACTTGCCTGGTTTACTATATATTTATAATTAATATTTATTTACCTATATCTATACCTATAAAATGATAAAATAATGAAAAAAACTGAAAACCGCCAGCGGTAGTGGTAAAATTCGGTCATGCAGCGGTTGTTATAAAAATCGCGACACGATATTTTACCGCGACCGTTTTTGCCGCTGCAGTGAGTGGACTCCAATAAGAGTATACGAGTTTCTGTTGAACCGCTACCGGCAGTGGTAGCGATATAATACGAGTAAACCACCGCCGAGCCGTGTTCACACTATTGTGGTGGCGGTAGCGGTTTACTGTAATGTTTAATTAATTTATTTATTTATGTTACTTATTTACCCATATATTTTATTTGGCAATAATGTTATTATAATCAATTATTAATTGTTTATGCTCCGACGAGGCGATTTAAGAGTTCGTTAGAATATAACGATATAATGGTATTTTATAATATTATTTATTTATTTATTTAAATTATCAACGCCTCAAGGGTCAGGAGTACAGAAAAAATAATTAACTATAAAATATAAAGAATATAATAATTAGAGATACAATTGTATTTTATTTAAATACACGCCCGAGGGCATAAGTACAGATAATTACATTAGATACTTATAATAATACGAAATATACATGTCGCATTTATACATTTGTACATTATAAGCCATGAAGACTTAGAATATAAAGCTATCATTTAAATACTGGGCACGGTGGAAATGTCAAACTTCGTATGGCAATACAAAAGGAGTACTACATTCCTAGACCAGCTATTGAAATTGTTTTAACCGTGTGTCAAACTTGTAGTTGTAAAAAATCAATGAACCACAAACTTGTTATCAAACCCATTACGTCAAATGATTTTAACAAAAGAGGACAAGTGGACCTAATTAATTTTTAGTCTGTCCTAAATGAAAAGTATAAATAGATATTAAACCATCAAGACCTCAACACAAATTTAAATCTCTCCGTCCCATGGAAAGTGCAAGAGCAGTAGAGGTCGGTACTCATTACTAAGTATTTTCCTAACATTTGGAGCGCCAAACTTGCAAGTATTTCCAAGTATTTTACAGAGTGATAATGGCCTAAAGTTTGTAAGCTGTGTACTGGATGAATTAAAACAACTTTGGCCCGATTGTGTCATAGAACATGGACGTCTAAGGCATCCTCACAGTGAAGGGAGATTGAGCGGGCCAATCAAGACGTTGGACATATGTCAAGAGCATAGTTGAAGAGAATATGTCCCAGAAATGGTCAATCAGACTCTTCAGTTAGTTTATTCAGTGGCAAAAAAACTGTTTCACCGTTTTATTGGTAGAAACCCATATAATGCGCTATTTGGAAACGACCCGAAAGTTGGATTGAACAGTTCAAGACTTCCAATTGATTGTGTTAAAAATATTATTACTGAAGAAGAAATTGAAGAAAGTTTAGAATGTTTAACAGTTAATTATACATGTCATATATGTAAAATTAACCTAAATGAAGTGGAAAATCAAAAAGATCTGGACTTAATATAAGTAAATTATGTACGACAAAAGAACATATTAAAATTCAACGAAAAAAAGGCTCTGACGGCATTAAGAAATTTGCTGAAAAATGTTACAGGTAAAATTTTTAATATAACACAATTTTAAAAATAAAATAAAAATACGTATAATACTTTTTTGGGCTATTCATACAGCCGTTCTAGACTTCGAGATTAATGATTGTGTGGTAATGGCTGTTCCAAAAGTTGACAGAGGGCCTACAGATCCATCAAATATTTTATGCTCAATTTTTGAAAAAATAAATAAATAAATTGTATAAGCTAAGAACTAAACATGGAATGATAAAAGGATTATATGGGGGAGATTGCTTAAAAATATGTGAACGGTTTTTAACGAGTGATTTTGTTGGACAAAGAGCTAAGTGGATGCGACACGCATATGTATATAGTTGACAAAGCAAGTCACTATCAACTGAACTCCACACAGATTCGTTTTTAAGTTAGCAGTGGTTTACGTTGCTTACAGAAGTACATTCAATTTCTCTTCAATACTACCTTCCTAACTTCTCACCTACAACAATGATCCACCCACGTGCGAAGTACGTCAGTCTTTTTTTTTTGGTCATATTGTGACCGAATGTTTCCTACTAAGAAATTTTTCGAATATAAAATACATTTTGTGTATCTAGTATCTATATACAACACGCATATTCTATTGCATATTTATTTAAATTTCGAATATTGAACCGTCACTAGACGTTGAGGAATCGGTACTTATTTTGCTATAGGTATTTACTATAGAACGCTCAAATACTTGTATTTGATAAATATTAAACAATACAATTATTTTTGGATTTAAAATGTACGTAAAATGAATGGTCATTAGTAAGCCCGTATACAGGGTAGGGAGAGGTTAGGGGTTTAATCCTTCCCCCAAAAATTTGTTTAAAATAGATACATATTAATAATATAACAAAGACTAACTACAAATTCATGTATTTAAAATAATTTAAACCACCTTGAAAATTGATTATGAATACGTGCTTGGTCTTTAGTGTCTTTAGGTTATACGTAGTTACTAGATATATGGTATTACATATCGTATTTATTACTTTATAATAGTTGATAACTCGCGTGTTTGTTATCATGGAATACAGAACCTTATTCACAAATCGTATCAGAGTTCAGCCCAAGCTTATTATTCGAATGAGAGCAGTATCAGCACAACAAAGATTGCGTGATCATAACCTAGATTAATCTAATAGACTTTGTTTCCCCCATAATCATATAGTAACATTGCATTTACAGTTATTTTTCGTTTTATGGAATATGTCCATACATTACGCTTAAATTTAAAATATTATAATACATTCAAATTAATTTAGCCTTTTAAGCAAAGCTTAATAAATTAGTTATTATACAATTTCAATTAATTTAATATTTTATAAAATAATATTTAACAATTAACATTAAAATTCTTAAAAAAAAAAAAATTGCATTGCATTTTAATTTTATTTATGATTGTCATTTGCATTCACGGTCTTCACATGACTGGTCGACTCTATACTTAGTATATCTCCCATAGTTTTTTGTAGACTTGAAAGCGCAATATTTTTTTTTTTTTTTTTACTTAGAAAAAAGTAACAATATCATATTAACAAGGATTAATAGGTTTGAAAAAAAAATATATTTCTTATTAACATTAAAAAAATCGTTTATATATTTGAATATACCTATTAGAAACTGTATTAATACACTGTACTCAAATATGTAAAAAAGTAAAATATATTATAAGTAACGTACCTATATATTTGATTATACAAATTATATTATTATTTATCTATTTTATGTTTTAAATTTTTATCATGAAATTATATGCAGTTTTCTTTTATTTATAATTAAATATAACGTACAAACAATGCTCTTAGCTTGTAAATAATCATTACTTATATGATATTAAATATATATATATAAATTGTGTATAAAATATTCAACGTTACTACTGCAGAAATTTATTTCAATGATGGACTAATTATTTTGAGTACACTGTATTTTGGAGAAATTAATTTTTATGACCGTCGTATGTATTATTTTAAAACAATTATTATTTGAGAAATCAATTTTTAAGGAAACATGATAAATGAATAATAATTTTATTTTGTATGCAATACAATTCTATGCTCGGTTTTTAAATAGATGACCTTTGAATGATTAATATACATTTAGTGTCATTTAAATACGAGGTGTGACTATTAAACAACGAGACTGCTCGCCTAGAGGGCGCCCTAGATGGGTAGTGAAAAAAACGAGTAATACGTTGGGTATCTAGATATCTTATCTATGCACGTACCAAAACGCGTTTTTGTCACTATTATAGTATTTGTGCAGTAGTGATTTGAAACGAACGTGTTTTTTTCTCGTGCCGAAAACTATGTGTGATAAAAAATATGAGCAACGGATAAACGTAAAATTTTCTCGTTAAACTAAAAAAAACTCCAACTGAGTGCTATAAGTTGTTAAAAGAGGCCTATAGTGAGGATTTCCTATCTCGGGCGCGTGTTTTTGAGTGGCATAAATTATTTTCTGAAGGTCGAGAGTGCACCGGAATCCAATTCAGTCGTAATCCAAATTCAAAACCGTTTTCTTCGATATCAACGGCATCGTGATGACTGAATGGGTTCCAGAGGGTCAAACTGTGAACCAACATTACTATTTGACAGTTTTGGCAACATTGCGCGAATGAGTTCGTAAGAAACGGTCGATATTGTGGAAAAACAGGTCGTGGATCTTGCACCAGGATAAAACGTGAAGCGTTATTTGGCCGCTTAAGGCACTCCAGTACTCGAACACGTGTCTTACTCACCCGACTTGGCACCCTGCGACTTTTACTTGTTTCCGAAGATAAAGTCTGCCTTAAAAGGAATCCGGTTTGAGTCGATGAAAGAGGTGAAACAAAAATCGGCGGAACTCCTGAATGGTCTTACGAAAACAGACTTCCAGCACTGCCTCGAGCAATGGAAGAAACAAATGAAACGGTGTGTGGCAAGGGGAGGGAAGTATATTGAAGGGGAGCATTTGAATGCAGAATAATTTTTATAGTAACATTTTTTCGTAACCAGTCTCGTTATTTAATAGCCACACCTCGTAGTATATTTTATATACTCCTAACTTGTGAGATATCCCCATTGTCTTTAAGACGCTCAAACGAAAATATTATAAAAATGAATCTGTATGATATACCTATACAGCAGCTGCAATACTCTTATAGAATCATTGTATGTAAACATTTATATTGTGTAACGAAAATGGCTTAACATATATAAGCTGTATGTTGTATAAACTATAATAGTATAAGGAATTAAGTATTTAATATTTTAATTTTTTTGTTAAATTTTGTATATATTCAAATTCTGAGTTTTGGAATTATGAAGTGTAGTTAAAGTCGATATTACCGAATACTTAGAGTTTTTACATTTATGGAGTATAGTTTGGTGATATTAACTTTGGTTTTTAAAATGAGAACCTACATACAAAATTTCATAAATAGATGGATTATTAATTTAAATAAATGTTGATTTTAAAATATTTGATTTCCGTAAACCCGTTTACGAGATATTCACTTAGTAGAGGAAGAGTATAGAGCACTAATAAAACGCCGTGCGCTGTACAAATGATACTCCACTACATTCCCCCTACATAAACTTAAAAGTAAAATATAAAAATGTAAAAACGTCCTAGGATAATGGAGACGGGTGCAGCCACTGTTATAGATAATTTAATGTATACCTGTAAGCAACGATAAACCATTGTTTATTATGAACCAAAAGTCGATGCTGCGGACAATTAGCAATTAATTTGCTAGAGCAATGAAAAATGGAAAAGAGAGGATGATTCCTTGAATTAAAAGAAAGTATATTAAATTATTTGTTTAAAAAATACTCTGGGCAAACCAATTGTCCATTAATTAGCTTATAGATAAAAGCAACATCATTAAACAAGCGTCTCGAAGTTAATGATTCTAAACCAAGTTCTTTAGCTAGAACGTCCAAACTTATGGGTAAGACTGACATATCAGTGTTACCCAATTTAAATGTTACTATCCTCAAGAAACAGCGTTGTAATTTATCAAGATTATCCACTAAATTATTTTGTTTAGGATTTTAAACAATAGATGAAAACTCAATAATCGATCTAATAAAAGAGCAATACAATACCTTTAAGCAAATGATATTTTTCAAGTCAGAACAATTACTACGCTTTATAAAACCAATAACACGTAAACCTTTACTATATACCGAATCGACATGGGTATTGAATGTCAAATCTGAAGATAGTAACACACTTAAATCGCGTATAGAATTTGCATATTTCAAATCGATGCCAATGATATAAAAAAATTACTTAACCCCTTTTTGATATCACAATTTGTTTAACTTGAGTTCGTTTTTTTTTTAGTAAGATTTTTATACGTAGTTGACAGAGGGTTTTTGTTAGAATAGCACTAATTTTTTATTAAAATTTTGGATATAGCTCATCTGTTTTTTTTTTTTTTTATCAAGTGAAAAATGATGGGGACAAAATATCTTTGTTATTTTATGGATTGAGTAAATGAATATATGATGTATAGCTATGAATCGTAGAGTATTACTCTAGTCTATGAATACAATTTATGAATGTTGCTGGAAAACGATACTGTAGTAACACAGCGATAAAATAAATAAACAAAATTGTTTTTTACTCGCCACAAACGGCCACCATCGCAAATACGTGGTAATAACGCTTGGTAATAACGCATATAACATAATATACCTATATTGTTAAATGGTTGAAAA